ACACTGGATGGTCCCAGATGAAGGAGGCTCTCCACCCTCAGAGCTTCCCATTCTAATAAGAGGAACTATCTCCCAGCCCTGAGTACCTTCAGGTTTGATGATTGAGAAATAATTAATAAAATGACTTAAAGATTTCAGAGGTTACATAATATTCATTAGAAACTCTAGATAGGGGCAGCCCCGGTGGCTCAGCGGTTTAGCGCCGCCTACAGCTCAGGGCGTGATCCTGGAGCCCCGGGATCGAGTCCCACGTCGGGCTCCCTGCATGGAGCCTGCTTCTCCCTCTGCCTGTGTCTCTGCCTCTCTCTCTCCTCTCTGTGTGTTCTCATGAATAAATAAATAAAATCTTTAAAAAAAACTCCAGATAGGTATCTGAAACTGACTTAAAATCTTCCTACTTGTAGGAGGAAGCAACAGCTCCTTCCTCTGAGCTCTTATTAGGCAGCTCTCTTGTTCAGAATCATTTGTGTAGCCTGCCTCTGCACTGCAGTCTCTTTCTCTTCAGAAACCCCCCAGAGGGAGCCCCTAAACATTTTCTGCATGAGCAATTCCACATTTGCAGATTAAATTAGAAGTAAAAAAATCAAAGAATGCTCAAAGTAACAACTTTGATTTAGATTTTAAACATGAGGACAATTGAAGGAGTAAATTGATATCGGGACTGTAATCTCACATTCATACTATATTAAATAGTTCACAAAACAATTTGATAATTACTATAATGTTTTCTGTTCACTGTAACATTAAGAATTAGTACATATACCAATTTATGGATCAGGAAACAGAAGAGAGATAGCTTATTCAAACAGAATTGACAGGAACCAGCTAATCTAAGTCCAAATATTTTCTCCTGGGTATGGCAAGTGGCAACTTTAGCAGCCTTTATTATTATTGTTATTATAATATTATTATTATTACTTAGATACATTTCTGCCAATCTTTTCTTTGTTTCCTTCCCTTTCTCTCCATTCTATCACTTCATTTTCCAGATGTATACTGTTCCCTCCATTTGCCTACATTTCCTTCTCCATCAAATGTCCACTAGTTTTTTTTTCTAAAGATTTTATTTATTTATTCATGAGAGACACAGAGAGAGAGAGGCAGAGACATAGGCAGAGGGAGAAGCAGACTCCATGCAGGGAGCCCAGTGCAGGACTTGATCCCAGGTCTCCAGGACCACGCCCTGAGCTGAAGTTGGCGCTAAACCGCTGAGCCACCCGGGCTGCCCATATGTCCACTAGTTTATAGAAGATCCTCTCTTCTCCTCCACGAGCCCTCACTGTCTTGTTTCATAGACATTGTTGATTCTCCAACTAGTCTTCCCAAGAAATCTCTCTCCCTCACTCTCACTTTTATGGAGCAATTTGAGAAATTTAAAAGGAGAGAGCCTTAAACCATGAGTTCTAGTCTTTAATTCAATACCCACATATGCCCTTTCTTTTCCCTCTAGTATTCAGACTCCCCAGATATTGCCAAGAGTTGTTGAGGTATTAACTAAAGTTGTGCACATGGAAACACATCATAAGCCTTAAAGGACTAAAAAAATGCATGTTCTCTTTTAATATGTGACTCTCATATTGAAGGGAATACCCAGGGTGCCATTAAGTAACAAATCTAGTTTGAAGGAATTGTCAGAAACAGCCAAGTTGCTGAACACGAGTAGCCCAGAGCAGGGGCAGAAATCAGTGTCCCTTCCTGGAAAAGCAAGTACCTCTGGACATCACTCCAGACAAAAATTGGGTAAGAAAAAAATAATATAAGGACTTTAGTACCTCCAAGTCCTCCAGAAGGTTAATGAATACAATGTAGGTATATGGAATAGACTTTGGCTAGGCCTGGGTTTAAGCTAGACTAACCTGAGATCTGGTAGTTAACATTGAGGACTTGGACAAATCTTATAAATTATCTGGGCTCCTGAATGCTGATATGTAAACTGAAGATAAGGATACATAGTTCATGTATTGTTTGAAAGCATTAAATTAAACATAAAATAATTGACATATGCACGTTGTCCAATCCCTCAGTGATAATAAAGACCATACTTTCTTGGTGGTGAATGCCCAGGCCCATGTTCAATGCTTAACACATAATGTGCCCTCAAAAATATTTACTGAATGAAAAAATAAGTGAATGAACCATTTTCTAAGAGGAAAGATTGCAAGATTAACCTGATAATGGGAAGAAACTAAAATGAGTTATCCATCTATAGTCAATATGGAGTCTTACTCTCTGAACAGTTTGGGGAGGGCAGGGAACAGAGTATATAGAAGGACAAGTCATAATTTATTGGAGATTTCATGTTTTCTGACAAAACAGGGAGTAACACTCCAGATCCCACCAACCTCGCTCACGTACTCTTTTCCAACTCAGAACTCAGGAGAAAGGATATTGAAGCAAAGATGTATAGCCTACAAGAAAGAAAGGGCCTTGCATACCAAGAGGTCAGCGAGCCCCAGGATGATGACTACCTCTGTAAGTGACCACCTTGGCCCACTCTCAGAGAAAATTGTTCTCTCCTGATACAGTAACTTTGTCTTGTCACTGGGTCCCCAAATCATTCCATTCCTCTAGTGACTAGTACAGGCTGAGTGAGTGTTTCTTTCTGAAGCTACTTAGGTCCAGGAACATGTACTAGCCCTTTCCTAATCCCTGTTGCTCTCACCTCCAGATTGTGAGAAGTGTCAGACCTTCTTCATTGACAGTTGTACTGTTCATGGGCCCCGTACATTTGTAAAGGACAGTGAAGAGACAAGGGATAACCCACTCACTCAGCCCTCACTTTGCCCCCTGGTCTGAGAATCAGAACATCAAGCATCCCTCAGGCTGGGCTTGGAGTATGGAACGAGGCATCCGATCTGCCATTGGGTCTACACTTTGGCCCCTATGAGGGCCAAATCACAGAAGATGAAGAGGCAGCCAACAGCGGATACTCCTGGTTGTTGAGAATAATCTACTTCTTCCCCCATCCTTTGGCCTCCCACATCCCTCCTGTGGACTGGTAAGACATCACCTTCTATGTGGATGGGGATAACATGGTTAGCTCTATGTACTGAGTGGACTTTGCATGAACCTGGAACTCCTACTTGAAGATCAGAGTTGGTAAGAAGGAACACAGTAGTACAGACACAAATAGGAGGCTCCTCCCTTGCAGAACCCCAGCTCTGGGTTGACAAAGTGATCCAAATATGTAGATGATGACTAAGGAGCACACTAGGGATTGTTCCCATGCAGGCTGAAAGAGCATTGACCACAGGAGAGTAAAATACTCCCTGTTATCTCCACACACACACACACACACACACACACACACACACACACACACAAAATGTCTTTAATTTCTCTTTCTCAAACTCAGATCACCAAAGGGAGAAACTGCTATGAGTATGTGGATGGAAAGGATAACTCTTGGGCAAACTGGATGAGGTAAGGGCAATAGGGTTCTGAGTTCCAGAGAGGACATTCATCGCCCTATGTTCCTTTCCTTCTTTCCGTTCCTTCCTTCCATGCTTCCTTCAATGATCTCCCTCAATCCTCTGTTGCTCTTTTTTCATCATGTAATGCTTTTTCATTAGAGATATTTTTGGAAAAAAAGGAGACAACATAGTATATGTCCTCAAAATATGCTGGATAAAAATTGGACACAGTGTGTTGGCAGAGTCAACCCCGAAGAGCCTAGATTCATGAGGAATACTAGATTCACACTTTATCTAACCAACATTTATAAGCACTTACTATTGGGATCCCTGGGTGGCGCAGTGGTTTGCCGCCTGCCTTTGGCCCAGGGCGCGATCCTGAAGACCCGGGATTGAATCCCACGTCGGGCTCCCGGTGCATGGAGCCTGCTTATCCCTCTGCCTGTGTCTCTGCCTCTCTCTCTCTCTCTCTCTCTCTCTGTGTGTGTGTGTGTGTGACTATCATAAATAAAAAAATAAAAAATATATAAGCACTTACTATGTTCTATAGTGGAGTTTATTACTTAAACACATTATACAACTCATGTCCTATGGAGGACATTGCAGATAGACAGTAGACAGTTGATCTTGGGAATATTTAACTATAATTTCCTTATTTTTCAAGAAGTATACAATGTAGGGATAACCTCTAATATGTGAGGGCAGCAGCTCATCCTAGCCGAAGTTCTAATAGAACCGGTTCTGAAGATGGTGTAGAAATAGGCTGCAGTATGGCCACAGGCTTCTGTGCATCATGATCCAGCCCCTTTCCTTGAGGGGCTCACATGTTATCAGGGAATCCATTATGTGAATAAAATACTGTTTTTCTCTATTATTGTGATCAAAGAGAGCTCTAAGTTTCTTTTTTTAAAAGATTTTATTCATTCATTCATTCATTCATGAAAGACCGAGAGAGAGAAGCAGAGACATAGGCAGAGGGAGAGGCAGGCTCCATGCAGAGAGCCCGATGTTGGACTCAATCCCTGAGACTCTGGGATCATGCTCTGAGCCAAAGGCAGACACTCAACCACCGAGCCACCCAGGGGTCCAATTTTCTGTGGGAACTCAGAGGAAGCACGTGAATGATGCTTCAGGTACAGTGTAGGGATATTGGAGAAAGGCCTCTCAAAGGAAGACAGACTTGGTCTGAGTATGGAAGGATGTGTAGTGATCTGGAAGCAGAGTCTATGATCAAGCAACAGTTCTATGGTATAAAACAGAACTTAAAGTTTAGAGAAACTACATGTCCACTGGGTTTTGTAACTAATCAAGGTGGTGGGAAGTCTGGAATTGGGATTTGGAAAATGGTTAACCAGGCAACCTTGGAAAGCATTCTAGGCAGGCTGAGGGCAGTAAGCAGAATGCAGAGATAGGAATTCATGATACTATGAGGGAGGCTTAAGTGTGAACAGACCATTCCCTGAGGAGCGGTGGGGGGAGTGGGCAGCATCACAGCATGGAAGCCTTCAGCATCAGAGGTGGATCTGACAGGTAGTGGGAACTTATCTCCTGTGGTCCTCTTTCCCAGGTATGTGAACTGTGCCGGGGATGACGAGGAGCAGAACTAGTGGCCTTTCAATATCACAGGCAGATATTCTACCGAACCTGCCGGGTCATCAGGCCAGCTGCGAACTGCTGGTCTGGTACGGGGACGAGTACGGCCAGGAGCCGGGCATCAAGTGGGGAAGCAAGTGGAAAAGCGAGCTCACAGCAGGGAAAGGTGGGCAGCACTGGCTCTTCAGAACCGAAAGAAAAGGAAAAATTCTCCTTGGCAATGTCCACAGTCCAGCTCTTAAATAGAGTAAAATCCTGTCTAATGTCAGTACAATTGCAATTCAGATGCTCCAGAAATAAGGCTTCATTTCTTATACACTGGACTCTTAGGAACAATTTTTAAATTTTTAATTTTTGTTCTGATTTCTTAAGTACTTCATACACAAAATATATAACAAATATGCTGATTTAAAAAAACACCACCTTAGAGGCAAAAACCAAGTTTTCAAGCACCTACCAGCTCTCTCACCAAGGCAGTTTCTTCTGCCCTTTTAGCTCTTTCTTCTTAATTTGCTCAGTATTTCTAAATGATATGTGTATGTTGGTTTGTATTCACTCATAATTCAGTTAGCTGTCATGTGAGATCCTACTCTGTGCCAGATAGCCATCCAGAAGCTGGAGATACAGATTGAACGAGATTTTCAGAATTACTGCCCTTCAGCAGCTGATGACTGAATGAATGAGGGAAACATATACATATGCATATGTGTACATAACATCACACAGTAATTAGTGCTTTGAAAATAAAAATTATCCTGGGAAAGTGTCTGGGGACCAGTGGCAGAGGGGAGGGGTGCGACAGAGTTTGGACAGGTTAGGGCTCTTTCAGGAGATAACATGTGGGATGTGCAAACACCTGTGAGCAAAGGATTCCAAGCAGAGGGGGCCCACTAGGACAGCTGCTCTGAGGCACAAGAGAGGTGGAGTGTGTGGTATGTGGCTGAGCACCCACTTGGATGGAGGAAGCATAGAGGGGAAGAGTGGAGGCCAGGTAGATACACAGATGCCCTAGAGCGTATGGTCCACGCCCACGCACTGGGGATTTTCTGGAATGACATGGAACAACTGTGCAGTTTTCAACTGGAGAGTGACATGTTCTCTGTTTTTAGATGATGCTCTGGTTAATTTTGGAGAAAGACTGTAGTAGGGAATCCCCTCCGAGATTACTTCATCTTTAAATGAGAGGAGATGGTGGGTTGGCAGAGGATGGCAGTCAGGGGTGTGATATATATCCCCGTAATTGGTTGGGGAAATATTTTGAAACAGGACTTCCTATTGTATTTGAAATGGGCTAAGAATGAATGAAATAAATACAGTATTAAGGGTATGTTTTTACATTATGATCTGTGGAAATCTGTGGAAAACTAAAAGAGAAGCAATTTATGATCTAACTGGGGCAGCAGAAGCCAGGGCCCTTTAGTCCATGAGACCTGAACTACTCTGTCTCATCTAACCTAAATTCCACTTTCTGATAGAGATCCAGACACATATTGGTCCCCAATTAACTATATCTTTTTAAATGGGGAGATTCAAGTTCATATTTACTCACACATTCCATCTTAAGTCATCAAGAGAGTTGTTGCCTCTCAAAGGAATAAAATCACTGCAGACACTTTCACAGAGTCATATGACTTAGAAGGTACTTGTTTGTGGGGAAAGGTCACTCTACTTCCATCTATATAAGGAGAGAAGCTGCCTCTGATGCTACTTGAAGGTACCTAGTCTGGGCAATACATAGAAAAGGCTCTTGATATAGGCTTTCTGGATTTAGTAAGGAGATGTAGTAAGTAAAAATTGAATGAAAAAGTGAAAGAACACCTGGCAGCGGACAGAACTTGCATTGTCTACACAATGAAAATGAGTACTAGAGTGGCCTTACCAGGAAAATAAGCATACAACATAGGCAGTCTTGTCAACATCTACCTGACCAAAAAATTCCTCTTTCAGCAGAACCTAACCCAGAGATACATCCATGTCCATCCTGCTCTCTGGCCTTCTTCAGTCAGAAATTCCTCAGCCAGCATTTGGAACACAATCACCCTTCTCAGATCCTCCCACGAATATCTGTAAGAGAACATTTCCTACCAAAAGATGCATGCCCAGGTTGTCAGAATCAGCAGCAGCAGCAACATTCTGATCCACAGTGCTGGAATGACAGAGCTAAAGGTCAAGAGGGCAAAGAAAGGTTCAAACCTTTGCCTAAAAGTATAAGGCAGAGAAGAATTTCAAGGGCCTTTTCCACCCCGTGCAAAGGACAAACAACGTGTGAGGGAATAGTGAAGGAAGAGCCCAGCGCAGGCTCACAGAAACTGAATCCAGAGGACACAGGCAAATTATTCAAGGGGGTAGGAATGACAAGAATTATAAGAGTCAAATATAGAGGCTGTGGGCGAGGCTTCAATGATAGGTCACATCTCAGCAGACATCAGAGGACACACACGGGAGAGAACCCTTATGTTTGCAGGGAGTGTGGGCGAGGCTTTACACACAGAACAAATTTTATCATACATCAGAGAACACACACAGGGAGAAGCCCTATGTTTGCAGGGAATGTGGACGAGGCTTTACAAAGAGGTCAACTCTCAGCACACACCAGAGGACACACTTAGAGCTTCGTCAATAAATTGCATCTCGGGGTGCCTGGGTGGCTCAGTGGTTGAGCGTCTGCCTTCAGCTCAGGTCGTGATCCTGGGGTCCCGGGATTGAGTCCCACATTGGGCTCCCTGCATGGAGCCTGCTTCTCCCTTTGCCTGTGTCTCTGCCTCTCTCTGTGTGTGTCTCTCATGAATAAATAAATAAAATCTTTAAAAAAATAAAAGAAATAAATTGCATCTCAGCTACTGGAGAACAAATGTAGCCACTGCACACTCCACCTCAGCTCTGAGGGAGGTTAGAGGAAGCCTACTGAGTGCATACACTCCCAAAGAATATAATCAGAGTACATATAACTGGTTAAAGAAATCCTCTACTTTCAGGACAAGAGATCAAGTATACAAACAGGGAAAGATTCCCTAAGTTCTCTGGGGATATGGACACCAATCCCCTCCATGGTTTTTTGGCCTCTTGTTCTAATAAATTTTGTGTTCATATCAATCTGAAGTCCACATCACATACTTCATTCCCCGCTTATCACTGAAAGCAGAAGGGTCCAGCAGGGCCAGAGAATTCATACTCTTAGCCCAGGTCTCCACAGGAAAACTCAAGCCCTAGAAAGGTGTAAGTCAGGAGTGAATCTGGGTAGAGCACTGAAGAATCAAATTCTGGGCTAAGGAGAGAAATCTAGGATTTGACACACTCTCATCAGGGTCTCATCTTGGTCTCATGGTAAGTGTGGTGTTTTCCCCTAAGAGACCCCTGCCCTCTGCTGCCACCCTCCTCCCTGAGCTTCTCCTGGTTCCTCTCCTAGCTCCCACCCACCTCTGTAGCTTCAGAAATGAACACGGGGGTGGAGAGAGCACGTGTGCATATGTGTGTATATATGTGTACTGTGTGTGTGCACCTCTGTGTGCCTGGCTCATTCTAGGGCAGCTCCTCTCTCCCACTCCTTGCTTTCCCATCAGGGTTGGCATCTCAAGGTGCACAGCATATGGGCTCCATATCAGACTATAGGGGGTTTAAGTCTCAGCTGTGCCCTCACCAGTTGTGTGACAGGGCAAGATGCTCAACCTCTGCCAGCCTATTTTATAATCTGGAGAATGGGAATGCTAACCCCAGCCTTTGGTTTGATGTTCAAAGTTGAGTAAGCATGGGCAGAATCTGGCACAGAGATGATGAGAATACAAGTCCCCCCTCTTTGTTGTTCTCTCGTGTGCAACTTTCAACACCCCTCTCTTTAAGGGCTTTAGTGCTGCCCAAGGGGAGGACAAAGAGAGGGTAGGGGCCAGAGAGCCAGATTCAGAGACTGGACAGGCACCACTCTTTTCTCTGCAGACTCAGCTAGCCCTGAGAAGGAGGTGTGAGGTCAGGCATGCAAAGTGGGTGGGTCCATCTCCCTCCAGGCCGCTGCCCTTCCCATGAGCCCAAGGAAGGCAGTACTGACAATAACCTGTGAAATGAGAACCTCGGCCCCCCTTGCTGAGAACAGACTCTGTTCAGCATCTGTAGGAACTGGACGTACCATCGGCGAGTCTGAGCCTCCTCACTGTCCCACCCACATAGAGCGTTCACAAAGCCCACAGCTCAGCTCGTGCCTGGACCCTCTAAGGCTTAATGCACAGCCGTGGCTATCCTGAAACTCTTGGCTATTTTATCTTTAAACTTATGTACAATAAGTGAAGTCTGAAAGGACAATGGAGCAGGGAAGATACGCACAACATCAATCATTCCTGGCCACCCATCCACAAATAAAATCCACAGTGCCTCCAGAAGCACAGAATTCCCATGGACACAGCAGGTAGCAAGACTAGAAGTGAACACTAAGTAAGCATGTTACCTCCACTACTGGGCAGGTAACATGAGGCTGCTGACAGCTTTTCTTAGAACCAGAACTCACTTCCAATACAGAAAGGAGGCAATGGTGTTCCAGGAAGTACAATGAATGAGGGCCGCTACCACATTCACTCGTGCAGGAGCTCCACATCCACACACCCCATCCCCCTGCTTCTGAGGGAAGCATATCTCAGTCTAGTTCCTGCTAGAATGGCTTCGTGAGGCTGAATTCTGAACCTCAACTCCTAGGAGATACCAAAAGGAGAGTGGCCCATGTGAGGGGCACCCAAACCCCATGACCTGGAACACTGATCCTTCTGTCCCTCCCCCCATACCAGGCTTGTAAAGAATCTCTATGTCAGCAATGTGGATTTCAATAATAAATATTCATTACCATTTTCTCTGGTCCCATATGCTTTTGTAAAGGAAGGTGCGTATTGGTGTCTTTCTTTCCCTATGGGAAGAAGAGAGGGGATGATTCTCTTCCCTATACAGCATCAGGCTGAGAAATCACCTGAACCCTCAGTGTTCTGTGACTTAAGCATGAACCATCGCAGAGGACAGGGTTAGGGGTCATGCTGGCAGAGAAGCTCACAACTGTAATATAGTGGAAGGAGAACCCATAAACTTCCAGGTGATTCCTGCCTCCATTTCCTCCCAGAACTGACCTGGAACTCCCCCTGGGAGGTTTACCAATTCAAGATGAGGAGACACCTGTCTGTTCCTTCTTCCTCCCCTTCAGCAACAAACCCCATTCCCAGTGTGGCCACCAGCCTACAAGAGGGCTCCCCCACCCCACCCAATCCACCTGTGTGAAGTCCCACCTTCATAGAACAGGGCTGACCTGTGCTGTGAAAATGCCAGTGAATGATACCTACAGTGACTTCACCCTGTCCTCACTATCTCACATGTTCCCAGGTCACAGCATGCAAGGGAGCTAGCCAGGTGTTTATATCAGCTGCTAGCAGTCATTATCCTCCTTTCGAAGAGGAGGCTCAGAGGAATACCTCACATTGGCTGGTTTCCGAGTCTCTGTACCCTGGTAGACATCTGAGAAGCCCTTAGCTGAGGCCACCGCCCTATTCCTGTAACACATGGCAGATCTTTGCACCTGTTGTCTTCCCAGCACCTGCCCCACCACCACACACACACACTGTGGTTGCCATGGACAATCGATAGTCCCTGGGCAGTGGGACATCAGGGGCTGAGACAACCAGGCAGTTTGGCCAGCGATCCCCATCACACACCACTCTGTGACTGCAGGGGCCACCACAGCTATACTATGGCTGGTCCCACCTGCTTTCTGCTCTTCTTGTCTGCCACCCAGGTAAGAACACTGAGGGCTTGCTTGAGGACCATTGCTGGACGGGTGAGGCTGTCACTCACCAGGACGGTTAACAAAGAACCTAGAACAGCAAGGCCCCTTCCACAGAGAGGGTGGGGACAAGTCTAACCAGGGCCCAAGCAGCACATAAGGGTAAACTTATACGAAATTGACCAAATTTGTCTTTGACCCTCGGACTCTCCCTTGTCTGGCTGCACGCAGGTCTGGCCCCAGTCCTATTAGCCGAGCCAGTATCTGAATCAGCCTCTGAGAACCCTTGAGGAGGAATGTCACCCACAGATGCTGTTTCAAAGACCAAACTGCTTGGGGCACCTGCTGTCTCAGTCAGTTAAGCATCCAATTCTTGATCTCAGCTCAGGTCTTGATCTCAGGGTTGGGAGTTCAAGTGCCACATTGGGCCCCATACTGGGTGTGGAGCACACTTGAAAAAAAACGAGGGGATACCTGGATGGCTCAGCGGTTTGGCACCTGCCTTCGGCCCAGGGTGTGATCCTGGAGTCCTGGGATCGAGAGTCCCATGTCGGGCTCCCTGCATGAAGCCTGCTTCTCCCTCTGCCTGCATCTCTGCCCCTCTCTCTCTGTGTCTCTCATGAATAAATAAATAAAATCTTCAAAAAAAAAAAGATCAAACTGCTCAAAATTTACTAAAGAATTTTTAAAATACATTTTAATTTAAGAGGCTCTTAATCTCATAACCTAGAGAAAAATCCTATAACATTCTGATATATGTACTTTAATATCTTAATTTGCAAGCTCTCCTACTTAACAGCAATAACTTATTGGGTTTTTCCTGATAATATGCAGTTGTCATGGTTTTAAAAATTAAGAAAACACATAAAATAAGAACCACCCAGTATAATAATTCCATTATTCAGAGGGAACATCTGTTGATCACACGCAACTGTGCACACACACTTGGACACCTGCACATTTTTCTCTTACAAACACTCCTGAGCCCTTATCTTCCTTTCTCACCTGTTTCTTTCCCTGCACAAACTATCTTGAGCACTTTTCTTGCAGTTTTCCCTGTTACATCATAACCAGGATTGGGCTGTGGTTGAACCAACCCCCTGTCGTTGTACATGAAAGGTGTCTCCAAAAAGAGGTTTTATACCAGATTTTGGCCTAGTTTTGGTAGATTAAAACATGCACTACATTCAGGGCTTAAGAAAGTTCTCTGATCTCCTGGGTTTAGGGAGAAGATGTTCACTCCATCTCACCCCTCCCATGATATCACAGAGCACCCCCTCTCAGCCTTCCCCTCAGGGGAAGGTGTTGGGAAACCCTGAAGGCCATGGTGGAGGTGGAGGCCTTTGTTCTTCTGGGCAGCATAGGAGAACAAGACACTGAGTGCCGACACACAGGCTGGACCCCAAGCATTGTCCCAAAGCCTGTCCCCTGTGCTTTTAACCTCCTTCTCATTGATTTTGCAGCTTTTTGCCCAGAGGATGCCTTTCAGTGAGGGGGCTCCCAAGACACCTCAAAAGCTGGGGTTGGGGGTGAAAGATCAGCATGGCAATGAGACCCTCCAGCAGGTCAGTGTGGTGTTTATAAGAGCCAGCTTCCCTGAAGTTAGGTCTGTGCTATGGTCCCTCACTTCCTGTCCTTCTAGGGTGCTCACGCTGGATACCAGATGGAAGTGCTAACCTTCCCTCATGCCCGCTTCGGTCTCAAGAGGCAAAAGAGAGACTGGGTTGTCCCTCCCATCTCCATCCCAGAGAATGAAAGAGGGCCATTCCCAAAGATGGTGGCTCAGGTATTGCAAAGGGAGGACTCTGGTTTCATCCTAGAGTTCCCTACGGAGAGGGACTTACACTTGACTGGGGTCCTTCTTGGGTTGTTCTGCTTCTGTATTGCCTTCAGGTCAAATCTAACAAGAACAAGGAAATCCAGGTTTTCTACAGCATCACTGGCACAGGCGCTGATGAACCTCCTTATGGCGTGTTTATCATGGACAGAGAAACAGGATGGCTGAAAGTGACGAAGCCCCTGGACAGAGAAAAAAAATCCCACTATGTTGTGAGTGTCTTGTATGTGGCTTCGGGGGAGTGGGGGGTTCCCATCAGGGCAGCCATCTGATTTTCTAAATATTTCAGACAACCATCTAACTTTTGGAGTTACTCGTGAAGCATTTTTTGAACATTCCAGGTGTTATATTCCAGGTGTCACACTTGACAGTTAAGTGGGAAAGGTTATATTCCACGTGTCACACTTGACAGTTAAGAGGGAAAGGTAGGCAGAGGTGGGTACAGATCTGGGATTTACCACTTAAGAACTAGCTGTGCACTTGTGGACAAGTTCCAAGACTTTTTGGGGTGAGGGTTCCATGAGATGCAAGCTTCTGCGCTCAGAGAAGACAGCAAGCAGCACTGCAGGGAGATGTAGGCTGTTGTTATGGTTTCTGCCACTACTGTTAGCTACAAAGACGCATCACGAAGACTCCCGCTCTAGAGGGGAGAAAGACAGGACCTGTGCGGCAAAGACCAAGGTGCAGCAGGGAGACAGAAAGTAGACTCTAGATTGGAATATTCTAGATAATCTCTAAATGTTAAGAGTGTAGGACCCAGAGTCATACAACCTTTGGTAGAGCCCAGCTCTGACACTTCTTTACTCTATGTCCATGGATATGGTCATGACACCCTCAGCCTCCCTTTGCTGTTGGATTAATGTATGTGAAGCATTTTGAATGATATCAAGCTCTGGCTAAGTTCTTGATGTATGTTAGCTGAGCATCCTTTAAATATAATTCTCTGGGGTGTTTTGTCCAGAAGACTCTCCACCACACCCCTCTGAGGGAAATGGAGGCCCAAATAAAGCCTCAGTTTGTTCTCCTCCCGAGGACACTGCCTTCCTTCAGAGCTGGCCCACCTCTCCTACCCGGTAAGGGAGAAGGGGCTCAGACTGCAGAAACCAAGCCGTCAGTCCCACCCAGCTGCATGGGAGGCAATGTGCCCAGCGGAGGCACTTTCTATGGAGAAGGGAGTGAGTAGGATGACAGCTAGCACTCTGCCCTGAGCATCACATCAGAGAAACCTGAGGTGACACAGACACAATCTTTAGTGACATGACCAAGGTTGAGGTCAGTGCTGCTTTCTCAGACTCCTAGGCACTGAAGTGTGAGATTAAGGTAGGAAGTGGGCTCTCACTGTAATGAGCTTTCTGTGGGACAGCTACCCACTGGCTAGGGTGGCCCCCACAGGCCCCTGCTGTACTTTTATTGCTTTTCAGCTTTTCCTTCATGCTGTGTCTTCAACTGGGAATGCTGTGGAGGATACATTGGAGATTGTGATCACAGTGACAGACCAGAATGACAACAGACCCGAATTCACCCAGGCAGTCTTTGAGGGGTCTGTGATGGAAAGAGCCCATCCAGATGAATTAGAACAATACAGGGTTTTAGTGAGACATGCCAGTAAATTCAGGGAAAATATAAAGAATTTGGGAAACTGAAGTATAAACACTAGAGGAGATGAACATCCTGAGTTCCAGTGAACAGAAGAGTTCCACTTGGAGATGAAAAGGGAAAGATTGTAAAGACTGGGTTGAGGGGTGGGCAATGTTCAAGCATCAGAGACTCCCTCGGGCTTACTCAAGAGAGTTTGGATTAAGGAGGGCTACAGGTGGAAAGGACCCCACAAAGGAGGTCCAACAAGGTCCTTCTGGGCCCAAGAAGTGCAGGGATCATGGGTCTACCACTGTCCAGGTAACGCCCACCGGTTGCCTCACTTCTGTATCTATATCCTGTCTGCATTGCTGGTTTCTGCATCTCTATAACTGGTGCCCAGACAGACCCTCCTCCATATTGTGGCCATTCTCATTTCATAGCTTCCTCTACACCTCCTTTCTGCTTTAGCTTCCATTTCTCCCTGATGGATTCCCTACAAATTTCCCAATTCATGCTCTTGCAAACAAGAACCTGACTGATTATTCTTGATTCAGGGGACACTCCGTTTTCAATTGGCTCTTACTTACACATTGAATGGTTATTGGACTTCCAGGCATGACATTAAACTTGTGGAATCCCATGATAGTATCATAGGCAACACTGATAGGCCCACATGTCCCTGGCTTCTAACTTGACATTTTGGGAATGGATGTTGAGGTCCTCATTCTCTGGAACTGAAGATAAATGAAACAAAAAATCACAGGGTATTTCATATGAAAGGACATTGTGATGGATTCTTTCTTCTCCTTCCTGGCCGGCCGCTAGCAGCCACTAATGCTTTATTCCTCATTCTTTTTTATCTTCATGCTGCCTTTGGCCCTACAACAAACCAGGGCTCACCAGCCAGTGCCAGTTGTACTCTGATCACCCACATGAGGTACACATGTTTCAGGTTATCTCGGTAGACCAAACTCCAGAGGCTGCACTGTCCCCACCCACCTTTGCCCAGCACTTCTCTCCATCTAGCTTGTGTGCTTGGCTCCAGTCCTGTCTGGTCTCTGTCGACAGGACTCCCCTGACAATGGCAGGGGACCAAGAAGGACAGAGAGGCCTAAGAACCATCAAACAGCTAGACAGATGAGATATAAAACAGCCACTTCACCCTCCCCTTGAGCACCTGCAGATCTCAGCATCCATGTTCATGAGGGACAAGGACCCCACAATGACAGTCATGTCAAAAGATCCCCAAAAGAGAAGAGAGAGAGAAAAAGAGAGAGAGAGGCAAACCAAGAAACAGATTCTTCACTATAGAGAATACACTGCTGGTCACCAGAAGGGAGGTTGTGTGTGGGGGTGGGGGAGGCGTGGATGGAGGAAACAGGTGATGGGGATGAAGGAGGGCAGATGTCCTGATAAGCGCCAGGTGATGTGTGGAAGCATTGCATTATTATATTGTACACTTGAAACTAATATTACACTGTATGTTAACCAACTGGAATTTAAATAAAAACTTTTTTAAAAAATTGGAAAAGATGCCCTGGGGCGCCTGGCTGGCCCAGGAGCTTGTGACTCTCAGTCTCAGGGTCGTGGGGTGGAGCCCCACACTGAGCGTAGTGCTTACTTAAATAATAAATAAATTTTTAAAAACAAAAATAATAAATACAACTTTTTTAAAGATGCCCTGAAGATTTCTGGAAAAAGTAAACAAATCATCTAGAAATTATTATAATTTGCTGAATTATTTGAACTAGAACTTATATCATTTGATAAGTATAGTGATAGACTAAAAAAGGAACATATTTAATTTTAGATTTTGATATTAATTTGTATTGCCCTGCCAGTTGTTAGCTCTGAGATTAACAGCTCTTGTCCCCTTTGTCCTTGTAGGAACATCCGTGCTACAAATCACCGCAACAGATGTGGATGACCACGAGAACACCTACAATGCAGCCATTGTTTACACCATCCTCAGCCAAGATCCCTTGGTACCTTACTCCAACATGTTCGCTATCAACCGGCAAACAGGAGTCATCTCTGTGCTCAATCCTGGGCTGGACCAACAGGTCAGGGAGTAGCAGGAGCCAGCAGGTGTGGCAGTTACATGTAAATTAGTCTCAGCCGGTTAAGGCACAGGCACCAGCCAATCAATGCAGGTTCCTAACCAATCAGAACAGACACCTGACCAATCAGAAGAGGCATCTACTACAGATAGGGTCTTGCTGGTGCAGGCAGGCTGTTGGAGCCCTGGGCATAGTAAACCCTAAGGTATCACTGGGGTTAATTACAAATGTGATCCTCTCAAGACCCCTCATATAACGAGCAAAATGAAATGACTCTGTTTCCCACAAATTTAGACCACATTCTCTGGTGGAAACAGAAGAGTACTAACATCACACCCTCCATAACTGTTCCACACATAAATGAAGGGGTCCCAGGACCCCCTGGCCTAGTGCTGAGACTGGGAATATATATTGATCAGATCCCAATCCAGGAAACTCTCCTCCTGGGTCTGATTGGGAGGGGATGGTCTGATTTATCCAAAGTCTGTTTCTTTGAATGGTGACCCAAGTCTCCCCTTGAGTGCCTGACAGGACCCTTGCCCCTGAAAGCCGGTCATTTACTGGAGGGGTTTGCTGCCTCTGGCGTTCCACATTTACTCTCTGAGTGCCACTGGGTGGATGAGCCAAACCTACATCTATAATCCTCAGTGCTGACTGCTACACGCCTGTCTCCAGAGTGCTCCTGCATACACCCTGACAGTCCAAGCTGCTGACCTCCAAGGTGAAGGCTTAAGTTGCAGAGCAAAGGCCGTGATCACAGTCACCCAGAGCAACCCTAACCCTCCCATCTTCAGCCCCACTTCGGTAAGTCCAGGAAAACCTGGTGTATGTCTCATGACCTTTGTACAGTGATCTGTGTGTTACTGTGTTGGGCAGTAGTATCATGATTCAGATCTCAGTCTGACTGCATTTTAGAACCTTCTGGACATCTTTGGGTCACACTGACCAACTCTCCCTGTCTCGGGGCACAGACACCCCTCTCTGGGCCTGTGGTGACTGGAATAGGCAGATGAGTGTGGAAGGTGGAGTCCATGACACAGACAAGATGTGGTTGTCCTGAGGGCAGGGAAGGGGCTCCATCTCTGGTCCCATCCCTCAGCTGCCCCCCCACCCCAGCTCCAGCCTTTCTGCTTCCTCACCGGTCCTTCAACATGCCAGTCCCATCCCTGTTTCAGCATCTCTCTCTCTTTCTTGGAGAAGACTATACTCAAGCCCATTGCCTGTAACCCCCCAGCACAGCACACCGTATTTCTTTCTCAGCTCATATCACCATCTGAAAATGTTGGATTTGTTTAGGTGTTAGGACTGTCCCTACCCCTTGTCACTTTGTGTCCCGTCAGTGCACCTGGTGAGACTCTGTCAATATTTCCTCAATAAAGAAAGGTCCCAAGTGCCTTTATGTTTTCTCAGTCGAGGCAACAATTGGAATGGGCTCAAAGTCTCCGAGTTCCAACCACAAATCCCCATCACAATAGCCTGGGAGGACTCTCAAGATGGGCTGTGGCACTCTTCCTGTGATGAGTCTATCTCCGATGCCTCAGTGGGGCCCCAATGGGCAGTCCCACATGCGCCTCCTCAGCACCTCAGGGCAAGGCAAGAACCTCCCAGCTCTCAGTGCTCAGCAGCTAGACCAGTAACTTCTCGCTGGGACACAGGTATCTGTAGCTGTCCAGGGCTGCCAACAGACCAAGAACAACTGTCAATTCCAAGTTACTGAGCTGTTTGTGTGCCTCACAGCTTCCCTGCATGATCTCAGCCTCATGAAATAGGCATGCTATCATCTACATGAACAGAAAAATCAACAAGAATGGTTTAGCACCATGACTGGTTTACTGCTCCCTGTAACACCATCCAGACACAGAAGGCCCGAGCTGCTGGGCAGACCAGTGGCAACACTGCGACACAGCTTCCTTCTTTTTGCCTCGTCTTCTTTAGTGTGTGTCTTCTGTCCTCATGGTGGCTGAGCTGCTTTCTCTCAGGGGAAATAGGCCAGAGCCCTGGCATGAAGTCCAGGGATGTGCTCAAGGCAGTGGCCCTTGGAACCAAGTTCCAAGCGTCCCCTTTTCAGTCCTGGGACTGTGACCTTAGTCTTTCTGTGCCCTTCTCCAAAATCGATGGTGACAGTAGCACCTGCCTCCAGAGCTGCCAAGCAGATTAATATCACCTGAGAGTGATACAGATCGGACAGCCTAGTGAAATGGAGAAGTCATCTGACCTCCCTGTGTTTATCTTCTATGAAGGGAGGGCAGTAATTCTGTCTTCTGAGGGTGTGTGAGGACCACAGTAAGTAATGTACAGTGCTCACAGGAATTCATAGGCAGGAATTTGAACCCAGACCAGTCTGATCTCAGCATACTGTCTCCACTCTGGGAGATAGACCCTAAAAATAATTGAGAAAATTGTTTGAACTCAGAAGGTTGCTATTGCTTGACCTGCTACAATTAGGAAGTCCATCCTTCTCTGTCACTTGTTCCCAAGAAGAAATGCCAGGATAGGGGCTCCTGGGTGAGACATCCACCTTCAGCTCAGGTCATGATCCTGGGGTCCTGGGATCGAGCCCCACATCAGACTCTCTGCTCCATGGGGAACCTACTTCTCCTTCTCCTTCTGCCACTCCCCCAGCTTGTCTGTCTGTCTGTCTGTCTCTAATAAATAAATCTTTAAAAGAAAGAAAGAAAGGCCAGGATACAAAGAGACAGAGGACGGCAGAGGTCCACATACCTGTAATCCCTAAACTGAAATGGAGAGGCAGTTGTAGGTGTTCCCATATCATCCAAATAGTCCTCCTGAGTGATAAAGCCAGCATCACTCCCAAAGTGACTAGAGCTGGAGTCAGGGTCTAGCCTGGCAGGTGCTCCAGCATAGCAATTCTGACAGTCACATGGGACAGACTTAAGACACAGACACTTGCTCCCTATGGAGACTGAATCAGAAGGGACAGGAGGGGCAAGGGACAGGTTTGAAGAGCCACTCCAGGTCTGACTTCTTGCTCAGTTCCTGGGCCTGCCAGGCTGACGGCTACAGTTATCTACTGACAGGGGCTGCAACCTGAGAATAGAGCCCGGGGTAGATGCACTTGGTCAACAGGGACACATTCTCCTCAGCTGATACACACCTGGGACTGAAGCTGCGGGAGCTTGGGAGACATGGTGTCAGCTTTCCAGCCCCTTGCCTACAGGGTGAAAACACTGAGCTGTTGGAAGCCCCACTGCCTCCATGTACATCCAGGGCCTTTGCAGGTGCTCAGCTTAGATTCACATATACCCACTTTAAGAAAAAGACTGCCCGCCGTGGCCCATCTTGCTTAAGAATAGTGGAGTCTGTGAGGCTGGCACAGGCTGTTTGTTTCCCAAGTCCCCACACAGAACATCAGGAATGAGTGCCCGTGTCCTTCTCTTGCAGTACACGGGCCAGGTGTTTGAGAACAAGGTGGATGCAGGGATAGTGAGGCTGTACGTGAAAGATGCTGACGCTGCTGGCTCCCCAGCATGGAAGGCAGTGTTCTCCATCCTCAATGACAGAGGTGGCCTCTTTACTATCACCACGGACCCTGAGACCAATGACGGCCTTTTGAAAACAGCCAAGGTGGGTATGAGCTCTGAGGAGATGGCTGCCATGATCTATTAGTCCTGGGACAGGACAGAAGCAGACACCACACTCTTAACACCAAGATGGCAGCTTCCCAGTGACGACTTTCTGCTGCGATGATGGTCCTCTCTAGTCCTTATGTCAAAACGGTCACATCATCACCCTAGAGCTCAGAAGCTCTGCCTGTTTTCTCCCAGAAAAACACTAATCTGGGATGTTTCCATAGGGCTAAACTGGGACAGGTGTCTTCATTTGGATTCCCCTCAAATTGGGAGGGGCCCTGAGGGGGAAGGGGGGACAGGAAGGAGGGAGAGAAAAGGGGTCTTAAGAACAGACAGAAAAAAAAATAAAAATAAATAAAAAAAAAAAGGACAGGCTCAGGCTCTCGAGTCTTTCTGAGCAATGCCTTGGAATCGTCTTGCCTGAGACATTTGTCTGCCCTCCCTTATGCTGGAAGCTGTTGCTTTACCCCTAGAGGCAGGAAACCAGGTCCCCAAAGCCATAGTCTTCAGAGTGGGTAGAGGGCCTGGAGCCATCTGCTCCCCATTCCCCAGAAAACGGAAGATGAGCTATCAAAAAGAGAGAGGAAAACAAGAAAAGAGGGGTGGGGGCCCCTGGGTGGCTCCACCAGTGAAGCACCTGCCTTCGGCTCAGGTCATGATCCCAGGGTCCTGGGATCAAGTCCTATGTTGGGAATCCCAGCTCAGCAGGGAGTTTGCTTCTCCCCGCTTCTGCCCCTTCCCCTGCTTGTGCGCATGCGCTCTCTCTCTCTCTCTGTCTCTCTCTTTCTCTGTTGCTGTGTGTGTCTCTCTCTCTCAAATAAATAAAATCTTTAAAAAGAAGAAGATGACAACAGGGAGGGAAGGAGTTGTGGGGGAAGAGGACAGTCCCAGGAACCTCTGCTGGGCTGGGAGGATTTTTTTCTCAAGAGGCTGGGGAGGGAGCAGGCACTTATTGCTCTTTGTACAAATGTGGTCTTTTGGCCTCAAAATATGGAGACACTTGGAATAGGCATGGAGAAGGCCAAAGGGAGCATCTAGACAAGTGTGCAGACAGAAGGGTATGCCCCAGAACATTTACCTACCAACCTGCATCAAATCTGAGAATGTGCTAGGGGGCGAACTGACTCCTGGGAATAACCACATGCCTTGCTGGGGCTGAGGCCTAAGTCAGAGGGATCCAATTTCAGCTGACTTCTGGGCCAGCCACCTGGGGACCCTGTTCAGGGCACACCACTGCCTCACAGGTCCGAGGATAAGAAAACAGAGCTAACACACAGTCTCAGTAAGTACCACAGGCTGTCTATACACTAACACTCAGTTTTTCACACCAACTCCATCAGGGAAGCGCTGTAATTATGGACATTTGATGGTGAGTAAACCGAGGGCCAGAGAAGCAAAGTCACCAGCTTGTGCTGCACAGCTAATGGCAGAGCCAAGATCTTAACCACAGTCCACCTCTTTACTGCTATGCAAAGTGTGAAGTATCTGAGAGCCAGCTCAGCAGAGAGCACAGAGTACTCTCTACCAGGCCACTTCCGCCCTGCCATACCAAGCTATGACCTTCCCTCAGTACCAGCAGAGGGTCACAAGCCAGGGCCTGCGCTCTATTGTAGACCAGCAAAAGGGAGGCCTGCTGTGCTAAGTCCCCAAAAGCTATGTGCCTGACTCCCTTGACTCCCCTTTGCTGTGTTCTTCAGGGCTTGGATTTTGAGACCACGCAGCAATACACGCTTTATGTGACAGTGGTGAATGAGGTGCCCTTGGCATCTCTTTCCACATCCACAGCCACAGTCACTGTGGACGTGGTTGACGTGAATGAGGCTCCTGTCTTTGTACCCCCGACAAAGATGGTGGAAATGCCCAAGGATGTTGGTGTGGGCCAGGAAATCACATCGTACAGGGCCCAGGACCCAGACAGCTTTCAGTCTCAGAAAATCAGGTAGGACCAGAGGTGTGATTTGGCCTGCTTCCCCCAGACCTGCCCAAGACCCCCAGGGCAGAAATCCAGCCATGTGCCTGGAGTGCCAGCCAGAGGAAATACTTAAATTTGTCAGCACCCAGTTACTCATTATGCCCTGGGAGGGTGGTTGGGGGATACATGGCCCGAGCCCGATGAGAATGAGGGTGTATCCCTTTCAGGTACCAGATATGGGACGACCCAAGCCATCGGTTGGACATCAACTCAGAAACAGGTGTCATTTCCACTCGAGCCAGTCTGCAAATGGAGGACATGAAAACCCAAACATTTTCAGCTGTTGTCATAGCAGCAGACAATGGTAGGGGCTTGGATGTTTCATCTGTGGGCCACATCCCTCCATTGATGTGATGCTCTGATGCAAGTTATGCTCCATGTTGTGGCTTAGCTGTGTGTACATTATCTCAACACATCTTTACCAGAAACTAAAGAGGAGGGGCTGTATTATCTTACCTGTTTCATTCTTGAAAATGTAGACTTGAGGAGACTAAATGATTGGACCAGCATCTCAGGGGGTGAGGAATGGCTTGAGTGAGGCTGAATCACACAGGGGTCCAGCCTGGATGCTCTGTTCCAGCAAAGGTGACCAGGGGCACAGTACCATCTGCACTGAGAAGAGTAACAGGCTCTGCCCCCAGATCCTCTAAGGGACAGGGTGCACCCTACAGTGCCATCTCACATGCTCATACCTCATACCTACACAGGCATGCTCACATCCACACAGCACAATACACAAGCTCAGACATGCACATTCACATGCATTGTCACATGCATACACATAGTTTCAGGTTACATTGCCTGTGACCCCCAGCACCTGGCAGGCTGTACCCATAAATGGTGGTGCTAGACCCAGGCCTGAGGACCCAGTGAATACTCAGGGCTCTTTGAAGAAGCTCTGTTTGGAGTCAGATAAATGGTAAGATCAAGTAGACTCTTTTCAGGCTGGATCAGTGAGCCAATGAGAAATGGGGCTCTGGGGCTCTGGGGGGACAGCAGACGACAAGAGACTTAAGTTAGAGGACATGCGGCAGCTCACACATTTGTAGGGTCTGATCTTCTCTGTCTCATTCCTTCCTTAGGCCAGCCTCCTGCCACGGGCACCGGGACCCTGCTCCTCACTTTCTCTCACATAGACTGCCCAGGAGTAGACTCACACTGCCTTGACATCTGCCAGAGGGGACCAGAGTCTCAGGCTGTAAGTTTGGGTCACCAGGATCTTTCACCAAACACTTTGCCCTTTACAGAAATGACCTCCCAGGTGGGTGTCCAGCCTTGTCACAGCAAACAGCAAGTTACTGTATATAGCAATTCAGATTGTGCACTGACTTGATAAGTTACACCTCACAGTGTTTTTTAAAAAAAAATTTTTTAATTTATTTAATATTTATTTATTTATTTATTTATTTATTTATTTATTTATTTATTTATGATAGTCACACACACACAGAGAGAGAGAGAGAGAGAGAGAGAGAGGCAGAGACACAGGCAGAGGGAGAAGCAGGCTCCATGCACTGGGAGCCCGACGTGGAACTCGATCCCGGGTCTCCAGGATCGCGCCCTGGGCCAAAGGCAGGCGCTAAACCACTGCACCACCCAGGGATCCCCAAAAACACTGTTTTTTAAAAACACAAATTTTTTTTATCACTTTCAAGTGTTTTCATATTTTATTATAACTTTGAATCCAAAGATGGACCATTTGAATATTTATTATGACAATTTTCTGGTAGATATGGGTCTTGAAGAAGAAGCACCTTATTCTAATTTGCCTATAGATGCCAAAAGAGACCTTGTCATCTTCTCATTAGAGAAGTTTCCAGAGTATGCAATGTCCCAATGATAATCCTGGCTCTCAGAGAGGGCTGAGTGCCAGAAGGCCAGGCATGGGCTGAAGGTCTCAAGTCTCTTGTGAAAAGGGCAGGGATCCTAAGCACTGCAGTTCTGTCTGGGTGGATGCAGGATGGGGAAGTAGGCCCCAGAGAGGCCCTGCTCTCCCACTCTCTCCCAGCCACGAAGTTCTCTCCTGGGGCAGAGTGTCAGGTCTCTAGAAAGGGAGTAAGAGGGTAACAACTAACCGTATTCAGAACTGCTCATCCCAGAGATGGTCACTGGTATAAGTCTTCTGTGTATCATACTAGAAAATATCCTACTACAGAGCCTCTCTGGGCCTCTTCTATAAAATGGGGATAATACTACCTACATCATGAGATTATTGTGAGGATGAAGAGAGTGACTCTTTTTAATGTAGTTGAAGCTACATTCACAGCATCAAGCTATAGATGCCTCCACCTTGCTACATCCTGTTTAATGCCTCGCCACTACTCCCACTCAAGGAGTGTTCATTTTACACACAATTGGGCTTCATTCTTTTAATGGACTGCAGAACGTGCTGGTCTGTAACAGTGGCCATTTATTTAATTGTCGCCAGTGGAGACAGTGGTTATTTCTCGTCTATTGTACCCATGGGTGTTTGAAAAAACAGGTGGGACCATCTGTTTCGGATTATCTCCTATAAACATAATACCAGCCAAACATCATATGTGTTTAAATCTCAAAGTTATTTCTTAATTACCTCCAAAGTAGGTGTAACCAGCACACTCCCAACCTTTGCTAGGAGCGTCTCCTTCCCCACCTTGGAAGGGGCTGCTTCTTAAACTATACATGCCCCATGCTCACTATCCAGCAATTAGAAAATGCATGCACTTTGATGGGAAGAAAAAAGTTCTCATATCCAGAGCAACACAACCAGTCAACCAACACGATGGTGTAGACCTTTCCAGATTTTAAATATAAGAGTGTCCTTATTTTAATTTATGCTACCTAAAATGTTTTATATGTATATAATTGTAATACTCAGCTGTTACTTTTCTCATTACTGCATAGCCCAGCCCTAACCTGTAGTGTGTAGAGCCTCCTTAGGGGTGGAGGGCTAGAGGGGAGTAAGACCACGGGCAGGTAGTGCAACAAGAGCGACAGCTCGGGAAGCTTCGCTTCATCTGAACCTCGGGAGTCATTACTGCTGCGACTTTACAGAAGAGGAAACTGAGGCACCATCATGTGATCTCTCGGGGCAGTTAGTACCGGAAAATCTATCTGCCCCCTCTGAGGGGCTTCCATCAAAATTCTTAGTGTCCCAGGGAAGGGGGAAAAAAAACAAAAAAACAAAAACAAAAACAAAAAAGAAAAACAACAACAACAGAAAAACCCCAGTAGTTCCGGGGGAGAGTCCAGCTGGCGCGCGCGCCCCACCTCCCGCTCCGCCCCCAGCCCTGCGCCCCGCCCCGAGCCCCAGCTCCCGCAGGTGCGCTCCACTACCCTTCCGGCCCTGGGAGGAGCCTCTGCAGCCCCCGCAGGTCTGTGCACCCCTGTCGCCCCACCCGAGCCCTGCAGCGCAGCCCCTGGGACACCCTGGTGGACCCCGAGGTGGACCTGCCCTCCCCGCCTGAAGGACGCGCCCCCCTACCTGGTCTGGTCCGACACGTGGCTCTTAGGCCCTGGGAGAGGCCAGGGTCAGGACGAGGGCGGGCTCGGGGAGGTGCCTGCGCCCCAGGACCACCTCCCACTCTGGCAGGATGAGCTCCGGGGCCGCCCCGAGACTGCGGGCGCTCCAGCGACACCTGGGCTCCTCGCAGGTAGGGGGCCGGCATGCACACTGCGCCCCTGGCTCCTCGGCAGCGGCCAGGGGGCTAAGGTCCCAGGTGACCCGTGAGCCAGGGGACAGAGAGCTGGACTCCGGGAGGATGAGGAGACTGGGTCTGGACCGGCCGGAGGGGGAGGCCTCCGGGCGGAGATGCTCTGCAGGGCTGGGTGCAGGGGAGGGCGCTCTGGTAGAGGTTAGTGTGGCGGGGTGGGGGACTGGCCAGCGTTGTCTCAACTGTTTTTCAGTGTGTTCACCCCACAGCCTCACGTGGCTGACTCAGCAATTCCTAGCCCCCACCTCATCCCCACCCCCACCCTCCAGGGTCCCGCAGCACTGTGAACTCTATACTCCAGGGCTGTTTACTCTAGGGCTGCTGTCTCCAAGCCAATGTGGACATAAGGCTGGGCCCCACGCACTCATTCCTGTCCCTCTCTTGCGGCTCAGGGCGGAGGCATGGAGCAAATCAGCAGCCCACTGACCACACATGTGCTGGACACTGCCTCAGGGCTTCCAGCTCAGGGCCTCTTCCTCCGTCTGTCCAGGCTCGAGGACCATGGCCAGCAGTGGACAGAGCTGAAGAAAAGGTAAGCTTGAAGTCTGGGGTGGGACAGGAGTCCTGAGCACCTCTCCCCAGTCAGGAGACAAGGAGAAGACCCAGCCAGCCAGTGAGTGTGGACCCTGAGGGCAGACGGCAGTGCTGACCACTGCCTGGGGCCGTGGACAGCTTCACACCCCCAGTACCTCTCACTGAGAGCAGGGTTGGCTAAGGCCTAAGGCCTAATCTAAAGACCTCATTGTCACTGTGATTAACAGGCAGTTTACTTCTGTTCTTATTCTCACTACAGCCTGTGGGCAGGTGCCATAATTATCCCTTTTACAGATGGGGAGACTGAGGCAGCAAGAAGCAAATAAAAGCTGGGATCCCACGCCTCACCTGGCAGTGCTGGGCCCCTGAGCAGGCCCTGGGCCCTGGCCCCAGGCTCAGGCTCTGCTGATGCAAGCCAAGCGCCCCGGCCACCGCCCCCCACCCCCGCTGGTGCTTGGGCTGCCTGTGAGCCTCTTGAAGGAGGCAGGCTCCCTCTAGTGTTGGGAATGGGCCGCTGGGCCACAAAGGTTCAGGGCCTGAGGACATGGAACTCATCCGCCCCGCCCCCCCATCCTTCACAGAAGCTGGGCCTCTGGGTCACATGGGAGTGGCTCGCTCTGGAGGGTAGTAGAGACCCATTCCTAACCCCATACACTGTGTGGGTCCCTGCTGCTCCTTCCAGTCACAGGACAGAACCTTGAAAGTACAGCTGGTGAGAGAGCTCTCCAGAGGTGACTGGGGACTGATCAGTGAGCCAAGGGACAGGCCCTCAGAGCCCTCCATGCAGACACTTGGTGCAGTGGAAACAGGCCACCGTGCAGATGGTGGTTTGGGTACAGTTACTGATCCAGAAAGCCACACACAATAGATTAAGTGAAAAGTACAAGTTATCAAATAGTATGAACAGTATAATCCATTTTAGAGTATTTCCCTAACTATAAATAAGCAGTTATGTATAGAGAAAATCTGGGAGAAATATGCCAATGTAAAAGGATTGTTGCTCATAAAATAGGGGAGGATTTTTTTTTTTTTTTTTTTTTTTTTAGTTTTCTACTCCTATATATTGGGAGTTCTGTCTAAAAAGTCAGTGCAGTGGTATCCCTGAGATGCTTCAGGAGCCCAGGCCCTAGATGGTCCTGCTAGGGGGCTTTCCCAGTGACTCAGGCTGTGGGGGGGTCTGAGGCCACTGGCCATGCAGACCCTGGGGGGCCAGGCAGAGGCAACTTCTCACTCCCCATCCCTCAATGCTCCCCAGCTACACCGACTCAGATGGCCGCTGCCCAGGGCTCCTGCCTCCAGGCCCGATGAAGCCAGGCACCTACAAGCTGTCCTTTGACACCGAGGGCTACTGGAAGAAGAGAGGGCAGGAGAGCTTCTACCCATATGTGGAGGTGAGGGCCAGGGGTGGGCCAGAGGGGTGGAGGCCCATGATTCACCCAGGTTCCTACAGTGGTCAGGCTAGTCCTACCCCTCCCACCTCTCCCAGGGCAGTGGCAGACGATGAGTTCATCTGCTTTGAGCTCCCAGAGGAAAGGTGTCCAGGGACTTTACCACAACACAACCATTCCTGGGTGAGGTGGGGGGCGGGGCCAAAAGTGACTCAGCCCCTGTGGACAGAGGCAGTCACCTGGCCCCATCCAGGGTGGATCCTTTGGGTTCCTTAAGCTGAGGGCTCTCTGGGCAGGGTTCAGCCCCATCCACAGCCCTGGCCAGGTTTCCAGCTCCACCCAGCTCCAGCTGGCCCTTGGGGCTCCTGCCCTGCTTATTAATTCCTCCCCCCTGCCCACAGTCTGGGCTACATACAGGCAGTGTACTACATACAGGCAGGCCCCTCACTCTCTTCTGGTGCCTTCTCTGCTTCTCAGGTTGTTTTTACCATCGCCGAGACACACAGGTTCCACGTGCCTCTGCTGCTGAGCCCATGGTCCTACACCACGTATCGAGGGAGCTAGTGGCTAAGCCATCGCCTCTGGCTAACTGCTGGCCTGTGAGCATCAGTTCCATCCCCATGGCTCACTGAGGCACCCACGCAGAGGGCACCAGGTCACACTCTCTGTGGGAGACTCTGGTTCCCCCATCTCCAGTACAGCTGAATCTCAGGCATCAATAAAGTCAGTGCTGGCATCTGTAAAGCTGCTTCGATGCCTGGCCTCTGCTAGTGCTGCCCTGGCCCCGAGGTGGGAAGGAGGGCAGGGGTTTGCAGAGACTGGACAGGCAGCAGGGAAGGAAGTGGTCAGGGCACCACGGGCCCAGGAGGTGCCTCTCCTCCACAGAGCCAGGCAATGGGACACAAAGCAAACATAGAAAACCTTCATTTGCAGATGATACAAATCTAAAAAACAAACAGCTCCTGTCCTTGGTGAAAGGGAAGTCATCCAGGGAGCAGTCCCAGTCGAGCTCTACGTTGGTGTGCCCACAAGTCCCGCAGGGCCCTGGCCCAGGGTCTGCCCAATCACAGCCGTCTCCAGAGGCTTGAAGCCCACGTTATCCAGAGGGATCCCAAAGGCCAGGAGCTTCGCCTCATAGGTGCGCAGCAGGTCATTGTGGGCCTATAGGATCAGAGCGACGTCAGGGCAGGGTGCAGGGCCAGGCCAAGGCTGACTCCAGCCCAGGCCGACTCCGCTCTGGAGGACATGGGAGGGTGGTGCTGGGAAACCACAAAGCTAACCTTTACTGGTGCCTCATGTGAGGCCGCACCTGGTCATAAGCACTTTTACATACATGAACTCAGGTAATTCACAATGGTAGATGCTGCCGATGTTGTTATTTCACAAATGGGGAAACTGAGGCAGAAGATACAGACTCAGAGCAGAATTGTGGTCTGAGGATGCTCCTGGTTCCTTGTCCGGCATTTCTCATTCAATCTGGTCACCTTGACTTCCTGGGCATGACCTTCCACGTATATGTGCTCACTGAGCCTCCCTGCTTTGTTTGATGCTATCTCCTGCCCCAGGTGGAGAGTGCAGATGGCTCTCCCTCCCCACTCCCAGGAAGGCTAAGGTCTGGGCAGCAGTGCTGGTGGGGCCAACATGAGGCAAGGTTCCTGTTCCCCACTCTGGAAAACGGATACTTTTTAAAGGGTGAATTGCATCAGACGATTCGAAGTGTTTGAAGAGCTGATGCACATGAAATGCCTGGAGCCTGCCCTGACTCATATCAATGAGGGCTTATTATACACACCATCAACAAAAAAAAGGGTGCTGGAGCTTGGAGCTGAGATTTAAAGGGTGAACTATGGCCAAGCCCCAGAGAGAACTAGAGGGCTGCGTCCTGGCTCTCACCCCTCTCTAGGGGACGGACCTCCTGACAACCAGGTACGAGTGATGGACGTTTCCCCAGAACTGCACACAGCAGTAGAGGGCCCTAATTCTGTGTGTCAATATCAGGGGATACCAGAATATCTAAGGGAAGGGTCCAGATGGGCAGGCCGAGGAGAGGCCCAGGGAGGGCTGGTCACCACGAAGCCTAGCGCCAATGATAGGCACTGCCTCCCTCCTAGGGTTCCACAACCCAGGATGCAGAGTACAACCAGGAAGGTACATCCACCCTGCAGATTTATAGGCTTATCTGAGTCACACTCATGGGGGTGCTGCTCAAGGTAAAGGGATCTGTAGGCAGCACTGTGTCCACATTCCCCACAGGCAAAGCCCAGACAGAGCTGTGGGCTCTGGCATGGAGGTGAGACCACTGGGAGAGGGCCCAGGCCTCTTGGGTTCATGGCCCAGGCCCTCTTGGGTTCTTGGCGATGGGATCAAGGCACTCACTGCCCCTCCCCAACTACAGGAGGCTTCCATGCTGATGTGTGTTTTTGGTGTGGGACAGGGTGTGCAGCTTTCATCAGACTTACAAAGGAGTGAAAAAAAGGTGAGACTCGTAACTGTTCCCTGTGTGGAAGAAACAAAGGAAGCCCATCCAATCACCCCAGAGGCCAGGTCTGCAACAGCAAAGGTCAGAAAGGGAGAGAGAGACAGAGTCTGCTAGACAAACTGCCCTCATTTACCCGCTGGGCATGCCCTGTAAGGGACACAAGGATGGTGGCCAGAGTTGTGGTGATGCGGCCCAGGCCACACACAGATTGACCTGAGAAGGCACAGCCAGCCTCAGGCTGTGTATACCTGGAAGGTGTAAATGATATGGGGGGGCCCTGAGAGAGGGGCGGAGGGGGGGGGGGGAGTTCCTCGTACCTTGCAGACCCGGGCCAGCTCATACTGCAAATCCTTGATAGTGGTGTTCTTCGATTCTAGAACGTCCTGAGGAGAGAAAGGTGGATGTATCTTTGAGCTTGTCTTTGGGCAGAGGCAGATGGGGGTGGGGGGCCTGGAGCTCCACAGGGAACCCCAGACATCCAGGGAATAGCAGCCTGGCTCCATCAATGTGTACGTCCACACAGGAAGCAGCCAGCCAACACAGAAAGGTCTTCAAAGGGGAAACAGAAAATAGGACCTGCCTCTCTGTAAGGAAGCTGTCTAGATGATGAGAAGTAAGGACAAGAGGTTTGAGAAGCCAGGGCAACCGAGGCCCCTTGAACTCCCACCTGCCTCCTGGGAGGAAAACTGACCAGGAAAGGCCCTGGCCCACGGGGACAGCTGCAGTGACCATTGTGCATAGGACTGCTTTTATCCCCTTTGGCAACATAGGGTTAGCTCACCCAGCTCCAAGACCAGCTGCCCTTCCCAACAACAGAGGCAGGAAAGCTCTCCTCCCCTTTCCAATGGGGAAAGGGCAACTTTTCCTGCCTGACAGCGTTCATAGGGTCTCACACACAAGTAGGGACAAGCACCCTGGTCCCTGGTGCTGCCAGCCCAGACCAGGCCCCTCCTATGCGGCTGCACCACCTCAGGCCCCAAGAGCCTGTCCCAGTGGCTCGGGTCCCACAGGCCCTGCTGCCCACTGAGCCAGGACTCACTGCTGCCCAGAAGCAATGCCTGGTCTCACCCAGAAACAAGCATATGTCACCTTGGACTCCATCAGCAGCAAGTCCTTCATCCCACATCAGTGGCAGCTCACCTCCTGCCTTCCCAGGGGGCTGTCTCTGATCCAGTCCGCCCCACCCAGAACCCTCCATGGTTCCTCACTAGCCTCAAATTCAGGCACAGGAGACATGCTTCAGAACCACTCCCATCCCTCTGGCTCTGCTTCCCTCCCTTCAGCCTTGCATTCCCCCCAACACCAGAGCAAGGGGCTCCCAAGTGTACAACACACCAGGTAGCAGCTCAAGCCTCAGGTCAAGGCCACGTGGGCAGTAGGCTAGTCCACAGTACTTTATATATATATATATATATAAAATTTATTTGAGAGAGAAAGAGAGAGAGAATATGTATGAGAGTGGGGAAGGAGAGACAGACTCTCAAGCCGACTCCACACTGCGTGTGGAGGGAGCCTGTCTTGGGGCTCAATCTCACAACCCATGAGATCATAACCTGAGTGAAACCAAGAGTCAGCCAGACGCTTAATCAACTGAGCCCCCTAGGTGCCCCTAGAGTGCTTTAAGAAAAGATTAAGTGACCTAACACAGTTAATCCTCTGGGCCCAAGTGCCATGTGAACAGATGGGGTTTATGTTCAGCTAAACGGTATGTTGACAAATCACCTTAAAAATGCTGCCTGTAGGGATGCCTGGATGGCTCAACAGTTGAGCACCTGCCTTCAGCCCAGGGGTCCCGGGATCGAGTCCCACATCGGGCTCCCTGCATGGAGCCTGTTTCTCTCTCTGCCTGTGTCTCTGCCTCTTGCTCTCTGTGTCTCTCATTAATAAATAAATAAAATCTTTTTTTAAAAAAATGCTGCCTGTGAATTTCTCGGGTTAAAACACACCTGCACAGTGAAACCTCCTTAGGCCCCTGACTCAGAAGATCTGTTTCTCCACACAGGAGGAGCAGAGACACAAGCACCCTCCACTCTGGAAAGAGGGACCTCTGGGACAAGCTGGCCTCCCCTCACTGGGCGTCTCTACGGAAACGTGCAGACCTGCATCCTAACTTCCGGGCCCTCAAGGGAACTGTACCTGGGGCTGCCCCAGATCTGATGGCTGCAGGTCATCCAGGGGGCCAGGATCCCAGCACAACCACCTTCCCTGGCAGCAACAAAGACTGCTTGTCCAGCATCACCCATTCTTTCTGTGACGCGCCCTCACTAGGCCCAGGAACAGAGACACCAGGCCCAGTTCTGGGCAGGAGATGACCTGCCAGGTGCTGTCAGGTTTTTTCTCTGCTGGGCCATAGGTGGTGGTGATCACTGTCCTGATTCCTCAGTTGACTCAGGTAACCCCTGGGCATCCAGGCCTCATCTGTCTTGTTCAGTGCTCTCCCCTCTGCCCAACACAGCCCCAGCAGAGAGGAACATCACAAATACCTGTGAACTCATGACTGGACAGATGCTCTAGCCTTGGCTCAGATGTTAACTCCCTCTGGGAAGCCTGCCCCAGGCCCCGACACAAAGGCATGCCCATAGCCCTGCCCACAGCCCACATCAACCAGGACATCTTAGTATGCCAGGTGGACTGTGGCAGTGGCCTTGGCTGACAGCTCACAGGCTCAGCTGTCCCCAGGGACTGGTTTGTCACCAGATGCCTGAGGACCACAGGACCAACATTTTCAGAGCAGCTTGAGAGACCCAGGGCCTGACAGGCTAAGCTAAACCCGTCTTGAGGACTGGATGGGCAGTGGCTCAGGGCCAGATGGTACAAAGAGGTTAAGAAGAAAGACCTCAGAAAGACATGAGCAAAACCAGTAAAGAGAGCATGGGGAGCCTAACAGCACACACAGGCCTGTGTGCACACATCTGCAACACCCATCTATGCTTGGGCCACAGGAAACCATGACGGTTCCTCCCCAACATTAACTGAGGGTCTCCACTGGAATGACAGAGGATGACACACACGTATGACACAGTGACCCCCAACCTGAGCCCAGGATACCCGCTGGGTGGGGCAAGAACATGAGGCTGCAGCCCAGCCCCTCCCCAGGAGCCCACCCGGGACCTACCTCCAGTTTGCGGGACACGAGGGTCAGCGCTGTGGGGTCCAGGTTGGAAGCCGCCAGCACCTCATTGAACTGCACCTCTTTCTTCTCCACAGCAGCACTCAGAGCCTGTAGCTTACGCTCCAGAACCAAGTTTTTGAAGCCCACCTTCTGCTGTACCTCCAGGATGGCTGCAGTGAATTTCCGATATAGCTCATCCCGCTCCTGCTGCACCTGCAAGGGTCAGGTGGTGATAAAGAGGCCACCTCCCCTGGGGGCGTGGCACTGGGGAGAAGCCTCTTCCTACCTCTGCCCCCCAGCTCCACCCCCACCTGGGCCAGAACATACCAATTCTGCAGAATGAATTCCATTCACCAGTACCCACCCATGGGTGGGTCTCTGTGTTGTCTACACTGCCTGCACACCCACGCTCTATGACAGATTAAAGATGTGCAGCCGTCCACGCTGTGGAAGGCAGGAGGAAACACTAATCAGATCCACTTCCACTAAGCTGTTTCAGGAAGCAGCCAGGTACCCTGGTGAGAGGTAGTCAGGCCCCACAGAGGGGTTGGGTTTGGGCAGTAGGCTCAGGAAAGGCCCTGTCCCTGATCACCCCTACTGAGATCAAGACATCAACTCCATCAAGCAATGTTGAGGGGATGCACTCCCTGTGCCAGCCTCAGAGCCCAGAACTCCACATGTCAACATGCCCCACAAATAGCAGATCTACAGAACAACTCTGGAGCCAGCTGCCTGCCGATAAATAAAGGTGTTCTTTTAAAAAGAGCTTTCAGTTCTTTTACTTTTCACTGTGCACATAAAAGAGCAAGACTTTGTGGAAGTATAAAAAGTAAAACACCCCTTAACCAACCTCCCAGAGGCCACGTATGAACATCTGCTGTAACCCCTTCCAGAATGTTCTCTACAGGTATAAAAACATATCTTACAGCTAGAAAGAGAAGAGGATTCTGCTCAAACCCACAGCATCTTATGCTTCCCCTTACTGTACAGTTTTCCCTAGATTTGCTTCAATCTAGTCCCTGTCACTTTGGTCTTTAAAAATTGTTGACAGAGCAGCCCGGGTGGCTCAGCAGTTTAGCACCACCTTCAGCCCAGGTTGTGATCCTGGAGACCCGGAATCAAGTCCCACATTGGGCTCCTAGCATGGAGCCTACTTCTCCCTCTGCCTGTGTCTCTGCCTCTCTCTCTCTGCCTCTCTCTCTCTCTCTCTCTCGCAGTGTCTGTCTCTCATGAATAAAATAAATAAAATCTTTTAAAAAAAATAATACAAAATTAAATAAAAAATAAAAGCTGTTGACAGGGGCACCTGGGTGGCTCAGTTGTTGAGTGTCTCTCTTTGGCTCAGGTGATGATCCCAGGGTCCTGGGATTGAATAAAACATCAGGCTCCCCACAGGGAGCCTGCTTCTCCCCTCCCTCTGCCTGTGTCTCTGCCTCTCTCTCTGTGTTTCTCATGAACAAATAAATAAAATCTTTAAAAATTTTTTTTAATTTTAAAAATTATCCAATTACTTAATTAAAATAAGATGAACATAAAAAAAATAAAAAGAACAGCTCCTCTGAGCAAACTTTATCCAAATTCTGAACAACAAACCTTCTGGCCCAGCAATCCTACTGCTAGAGATTGACTTTCTTAAAAGAGATGCTCACAGTTACACAAAGATAAACTCCATAGGCACCTTGGTGACTCAGTTGGGGAAGCCTCTGCCTTGGGCTCAGGTCAGAATCCCAAGGTCCTGGGATCAAGCCCCACATTGGGTTCCCTGCTCAGTAGGGAGTCTGCTTCTCCCTCTGCCCTTCCCCCACCCCATTCGTTTTTTTTTTTTTCTCTCTCTCAAATAAATAAATAGAATCTTTTGTTAAAAAAGAAAAAACTTAAAAGGATGATTATGTTGCAAACTGCCATGTTTGCAACAGCAAAGGACTGAAACAGATATCTGTCCAGGGGAACTGGCTGCATGAACAGTGGGGCCCTCAGGCAAGGAGCCTAACCTGGCTGTTCTATGTGCACAATCTGGAGAGAGAGCACAACTAAGTGGAGATTAAAAAAGAAAAGATAAGAAAAAGCGCATGAAGCCACAGCTATACAAGGATACACAGGAAGTCTGTGGGAAACTCAAGGAGCTGCTACCACTTGTGAGGAGAACAGCGCTGAGCAGCAGGAAGGCCCTCTCATGTTCACTTACAGATGTCAGGATTCCATGACTTCCTTCCTTACCAAGCACGCCTAACACTTTAGTACTTAGAGACATGTCTATAGATGAAAAAGATCCCAGATGCAAGGGGCCAGGTACCCTTCATGTGTCTCAGAGATGAGCCTGCAGGAGAACTGGGAATGACTAGCTCCCACCAGGGCATCTGCGGGGCCTTCTACAGAACATGCCACAGGTTTGTGCCTCATCACCTCATAGAGCCTTGCAGAATGAGGAGTGGGCAACAGGACTCCTAGCTTCAAACCTTGAAAACCCAGCAACAGCACTAAGACCTCTGGGAACCAGGTGCAGGAAGAATTCCTCGCTGATCAGGCATCCAGCCAGCCGGCTGCAGGACCCGCCCAGCACCTGCTCACCTTGAGGAACCGCTGCTCCAGCACCTCATGTTCCCACTGTAGGGCCTTCAGCTCTTTCTCAGCGACCTTCAAACGGGCTTTTGTACACTGGAGAGAAAATGAGGGGTAGGACACAAAAAGTATTCGGATCAGGCATCCACATAGCACAGGCTCCTAGAGGGCGGCAAGCCCAAAAATAATCATCGGAAGAGCTGGCTCAGGATCACCTGGTGACTCTTGATCTCAGGGTTAGTTCAAGGCCCACACTGACTGTAGACTGCTTCAATAGAAAGAAAAAAGAAGAAAAGAAAGAAAGAAAGAAGAAAAGAAAAGAAAAGAGAAAAGAAAAGAAAAAAGGAAAAGGAAAAGGAGAAGGAAAAGGAAAGAAAAGAAAGAAAAAAAAGAAAAGAAAAGAAAAGAAAAGAAGAGAAGGGAAGAGAAGAGAAGAGAAAAGAAAAAAAGAAAAGAAAAAAGAAAAGAAAGAAAAAGAAAAGAAAGAAAAGAAGAAAAGAAAAGAAAAGAAAAGAAAAGAAAAGAAAAGAAAAGAAAAGAAAAGAAAAGAAAAGAAAAAAGAAAAGAAGGCAACCTGGGTGGCTCAGCGGTTTAGCACCACGTTCGGCCCAGGGTGTGATCTGGGGTCTGGGATCGAGTCCCACATTGGGCTCCCTACATGGAGCCTGCTTCTCCCTCTGCCTGTTTCTCTGCCTCTGTGTGTGTGTGTGTGTGTGTGTGTGTCTCATGAATAAATAAATACAATCTTAAAAAAAAAAGAAAAGAAAATAGAAAGCAAGCAAGCAAGCATGAGCTGGCTCAAAGACACAAGAAGCTAAGCCTAACACTGGCAGGCTGGTAGGAATGTCTCACAGAGCACGCACCAACTTCCCCTCCCATCTATGGAGGACACCAGTCAAACAAAGGAGAGATGCATTTGTCCCTAAAGGCCAAACCCTGCTCTGGGTCTCAGGAGACAGCTTACTGATGTTCTTCTCCTGAGCCCTGGAGAAAGTGTGAGAAAGGTAAATTCAGGAGGAAACTCACAATCAGAATCTGCTTGTCCCACTCATAGTTCTTGAGCTTCTTCTGCATTTCGTTCATGTCATCCCGAGCCTTCTGGAGAGGGTCTGCCAGGCGCTTGTTCTGCATGGACACCTCCATCATCTCCTTCTCGAGGTGATCTTCCTTCTTGCGCATGTCCTCCATTTGTTCCTGTTGGCACAAGCGCAGGTGTGGAAGGGTTAGGCAAAGCAGAGGGAGCTGCAGTCTTTGTGGGTGAGGGCCATGAGCCCTCCTGGCTCAAAGAACAGCCCTGAGGTCCTAGACCTATTTTAGGTATAAACAGAGTAATTTTGCACGGTCTTAACTTATTCTGAATTTTCTAGGAATGCCCCTTCTACACAAATTGAGATAACACTTTGCTCATGACCCATGGGGCATTCCCCACTTTGGAAACTCTGCCACTGCCAGCACTTACAGGATGATGACACCACTCGTGCAGCCATGCTGTAGCTCCCACTGCAATTCTGCATGACCTTTTCTACCTGTCAGATGCATCCTGCCCCATAGCCCCATCTACACTATACTCAGGGCAACATCCTGGCTGTTTTCAGCTATAAATGTGGAGAGGTTACACTACCTATGAATTTCAGTCAAGGACAACAGATATTTTGGTAAGTTGGGCCCAATGGGGCCAAGGGCTAGTGTCTGAACTCCTGATCTGGTCAGCCCTTGAGTGGCACCTTGAGGGAGTTGATGAGGGCCAGATTGTTGAGGGTGATGTCGTTGTAGTAGTTCTTGATGTCTGTAAAGGCCTCTTCATGCCGCTGCATCAGCATGTTGATCTGGCCGTTCTTCCTCTCCTCCACCTCATGGATCTCAGTCTTTCTCTGCAGGTCAAGCTCATCCCTAAGCATCTTCATCTTTTTATCATACTTGGCCTCAATTTCTGAAAGGCAGAAGCACAGAGAGGAGCAGATTACCCAGAGGCTCCAGAAGACATGGAACCTATAAACACGGCCCAAGAACACCCACCAGGACAAAGGCTGTGCAAACAAGCTCACAAATGACATACAGCATGCACAACATAGTCTGCCTTCCTTTGTGTGTAGCAGACATTGCTAATCAATCCCTGGGTTAGGGTCACCTGATCCCATGGCAGTGTGGTCAGCCAGTCAGACTACAGAGTCTCATCAGTAAACCAGACAGACTTCTCAAATGGGAGCCCCCTCAGGTCAGGAGCCATGGAAAAGACTATTCTAAGAATACTGCCAGTTGCTCCTAACTGCTGATTTATGCCAGGAGTGGGGAAGTAGGTGGTCATCACAGTCTCTCCAGCTTGCATGGAAATAAGTTGTTCCGGGATTCTGAACAATCCATCAGCCTTGGAAGCTATCACATCTTCTCTTAGCATGTCTGGCCCAATTTAACCTGGTTTCTGTGCTTGGGTTAGTAGCCCTGAAGGTAAATGACCTTCTGATGGGAGGGGCGCTGGCACTGTCTTATTCAGCGTACATGTGAGAAACCAACCTCGCACTTGCCTCTCAAAGTCATTCCGCATCTTGGTGATCTCCTCAGTGTGCTTCTGCAAAGGCAGAGAAGCAGGCTGTTACCAGGTGACACATACACACAGAAGCCTCTCCCTGGGGCTGGCCCAGCTCCTCAGTGGTATGAAAAATTCAACTCAGTAAACCCTGTGCTGTTACTGGTAGGTGCTGGGTTCCTCTCATCTCCAAGCTCACGCATCATGCTCAGAATAATGTGGTTTTGGTAACTCCCACATTTCACAATTCAATTCCCTCAGCTAAAGTCACCTCTGAGCTTGACAGAGAATTATAAGACATTCCAAACACTAATCATGCTTGGCCCTTGGCTCAATCTGCCTGCACCCAGGCTGGAGACCACTGGCCATGTCTACACAGAGCTGTAGGCACTCTCCAGATGCCTGCCAACTCTGCCTCAGCTGTGTCTTAGAGCAGTATTAAAAATTATTATGACAGTTATAGGGACGCCTGGGTGGCTCAGTGGTTAAGCATCTGCCTTTGACCCAGGATGTGATCCTGGGATCTGGGAATGAGTCCCACATCGGGCTCCTTGCAGGGAGCCTGCAATAAAATAAAATCATAAATAAATAAATAATAAATAAATAAATAAATTTATTATTATGACAGTTATATATTAATTTTTTCAATAAAAAGTTTAGATTATATTTTAGAGTAGTATTTTTGTACAAAGGGGAACTGACCATGTAACTATTCCATATGCAGACCTCAGGTAAGCAGACAGCCCCACATTACTAAATTCACTGGAAACCAGCCCAGGCTGTACTTCTGTCAGCAAAGACCAGACAATTCTTGCAGACCAAGACTTCACCCTCAGGCTTCGCTGCAAAGTCTGCACCATTACTGATTTTTTTCCAGATTGAGTTGAGGCTGGTTTGCCTCTAGGCATGAGGCAAATGTGTGACAAAGTCTTCTCAACCCATGGCCAGGAAAGAGCCTTAGAAAACCAAAGTCAGGGATGCCTGTGTGGCTCAGCGGTTGAGCATCTGCCTTTGGCTCAGGGCATGATCCTGGGGTCCTGGGATCGAGTCCCACATCGGGCTTCTGCATGGAGCCTGCTTCTCCCCTCTCTTTCTCTGTGTCTCTCATGAATAAATAAATAAAATCTTTAAAAAAAAAAAAAAAGAAAGAAAGAAAGAAAGAAAACCAAAGTCAGACACATCTTCCCTCACCCCAAGTCCACCAAAGGTACCCCAACTCAGCTTGGGTCAAAGGCCCAACCCTAACTGTGGTTTTTGATGCCAACAGGCTCTGACCTATCTCCCGCACCTCCTTGCCCCTTGTTCCTCTGGACCTTCACACTGGCTCATTCCCTATCCCTTCTCCAGACTTGGTCTCCTCAAGCCCAGCTCAGCCCCCACCTCCTTCCAGCCTTTTTCCAAATGTCACCTTCTCATTGAGGCATCCCCAGAACTTCTTGTGAAAAAATGCAAAACCCCCCCAATCCCCAGCACCCTTTTCCCACAGCACTCATGCCTGTGGATATGCTCTATGCATTCAACAGTCTATTCTGTCTTCCATCTCCTTACTGGACCATCAGGGCCTGGGACCTTACAAGCACTCACCAAACGAATTTCAACCACCATCTGGAACCTCTCCAGCCCCCTCTCAGAAAGGACCAAAAACTCGGCCAGTTTTGGTCATGAACCTGACTTGCATGACAAACTGCTGTGGCTGCCTAGGGGCTAGCACACTGGACACTTTAATGGTTCTGTATATTTCTAGGTGCACCTGATAGACTCCCTGGGAAAGCAGCCAGGTGTCAGGTATCAGCAGCATGTGGAGAGGGACCCTGTGAAGTCAGTTTGTTGCTCAAGTTGAGACATGACTTCGTACTTGGCTCCCAAATGGGATTTGTCTGGCTGTGTGCTTTTTTTCTTTTAATATTTCAATTAATTGCTAAAATGTGAGGAACTTCTAAAAAAAATATGAATTCCCAGTTATGTTGAATAATCAGGAGTTCACGGTCCCCAGGAGCCAATCAGGCCCTGGCGACCGTCACACCTACCAGCCGCAGGTTCTTCACCACCACCTCGTTGGCCAACTCCTGCTCCTTGAGCTCCACCTTTAGCGCCCGCATATCTTTGCGTAGTATACCCTCCTGTGTGTGGTGCTCCTTCTGGGCCAGCTTCATGACCACGGTGCCCTCGGCCTTCATCTCTGTCAGGTTGTTCTGATGCTCATACAGCAGGTGTTTCACCTTCTGCTTGTAGACCTGTGGGCAGCGGGAGCACCACCTGCTCACCTGCACACTCTCACACACACTCTTGCATATGCATGCTCACCTGTACGCACATATCCTTTTATGAAAAATACCCTAGTTTCCCAGTGTAAAGGGTACAAAGGGGTGCAACCCCCAAAGAAAGGAGAGAAAATGCCCCCTGTCCCTTGTCCACCCCTCTGTTCCATACACGAAGACCTGCTGGGATAGGCAGGTCAGCCCCACTTACCTTGATCTCAACCTGATGCCTCTCCTCAGCCTCCTCCATCTCCCGGTCTTTGTTGCGCAGCTCAGCCTTCTTCTCCTCCAGCTGCCTCCGTGTGATCTCCCAGAAGGTGTGGATCTTGTCCCGCTCTAATTGGAAGTAGTTGCGCTCCTCGCGTTCACGGTCCAGCTCCTCGCGGATGCGGCTGATATGCTCCTCCACCTGCCAGGCAGAGCAGAGCCATGAGGACCCAGCAAGGGCCCACCCAATTCAAAGAAAAAAGAAGGACAACTCACACCTACAAACAAGTAAAAACTAAAAGTAAAAAGTGAAAATATGATGCTAGGGGGCACCTGAATGGCTCAGTGGTTGGGCATCTGCCTCTGGCTCAGGTCATGATCCTGGGGTCCTGAGACAGAGTCCTGCATCAGAGTACTGCAGGGAGCCTGTTTCTCCCTCTGCTTATGTCTCTGCCTATCTCTCTGTGTCTCTCGTGAATAAATAAATAAAATCTTTTTTAAAATATATGACGCTAGGAAGGTTCCAAAGATAGGAGATTCAGAAAATAGCAGAAATATCTTGAATGTGGGGACTTCTGGGTGGCTCAGCTGTTAAACACCTGCCTTTGGCTCAGGGCATGATCCTGGAGTCCCAGGATCGAGTCCCACATCAGGCCACGGCATGGAGCCTGCTTCTCCCTCTGCCTATGTCTCTACCTCTCTGTCTCTCTGTGTCTTTCATGAATAAATAAATAAAATTTTTAAAAAAAGAAAGAAATATCTTGAATGTGGGCAATAATCATAATATGATTATATCCTTTAATCCATTCCTGGGAATTTAGACTAAAGAAATTTTGCAAAAAAACACAAAAGCTTTCTGCTCAAAGATATTGGCCACACCATTATTACGACAGCAAAAAATTTTAAAAGGATAGGGCACCTGGGTGGCTCAGTTGGTTGAGAGTCGAACTCTTGGTTTTGGCTTAGGTCGTGATCTCATGGATGGTGGGATAAAGCCAGTCGGGCTCCACGTTCAGTGGGGTATCTGCTTGTAGGTTCTCTCCCTCTGCCCCTCCCCCCCACTCACACACATGCACTCTCTCTCAAACAAATAAATCCTTTTTAAAAATTTTAAAAGGAAGTAATCTAAGATGATTTTAAATAGTGAAATGATTGAAAAATTAGAGTAAATCTATAGTAGGATTATAGGTCCCAAAGACACACAGATAAGAAAATGTTAGAGCACCATAGATATTCACAAAATAACGCTAAATTAAAAAACACTCACCTTTAAAGGTATGTGTTAAGCAAAAAAAATACACAAAACCAGAAGACCCCCTAACAGTCAAAAAAGGTTTGATCCAAAACCAACTGCAAATCTGCAAATAGGTTAAAAAAAAGGAAAGTAGGACAGGCTCTTGGTTTCCTTGTGAATTTTATTTCCATCAAGATTTGGTCATCAGTGTCTCCACAGGCAAGGGAAACAGAAGCAAAAATGAACTATTAGGACTTCATCAAGATAAAAAGCTCCTGCACGGCAAAGGAAACAATCAACAAAAGTAAAAGGCAGCCCACAGAATGGGAGAAGATATTTGCAATGATATTTCGGATAAAGGGCTAGTATCCAAAATTTATAAAGAGCTTATCACACTCAACACCCAGAAAACAAATAATTCAGTTAAGAAATGGGCAGAAGACATATGTATAGACACTTTTCCAAAGAACACATCCAGATGGCTGACAGACACATGAAAAAATGCTCACCATCACTCATCATCAGGGACATACAAATCAAAACCAGATTGAGACACTACCTCACACCAGTCAGAATGGCTAAAATTAACAACATAAGAAATAAGAGGTGTTGGCAGGAGGATGCTGAGAAAGGGGAACCCTCTTACACTGTTGGTTGGAATACAAACTGGTGTGACCACTCTGGAAAACAGCAGACAGGTTTCTCACAAAGTTAAAACGAGAACTACTCTATGACCCAGCAATAGCAATACTAGGTATTTATTACCCAAAGGATACAAAATACAGATTTGAAGCAGTACACGCACCCCAATGTTTACAGCAGCATTATCTACTATAACCAAATTGGAGAGAGCCCAAATGTCCATCAACTGATGAATGGATACAGAAGATGAGGAATATACATATAATGGAATACTACTCAGCCATCAAAAAGAATGAGGTCTTGCCATTTGCAACAACATGGGGAGCCTGATGTGGGGCTTGTTATCAGGACCCCGGGATCAAAACCTGAGCCAAGGGCAGACACTTAACCTACTGAGCCACCCAGGTGCCCCACCATAAAAGACTCTTAGTGATAGAGAACAAACTGAGGGATGAGGGAGGTGGCTGGGGGATGGAATACATGGGGGGTAGGCATGTTAGGGTGAGCATTGGGTGTTGTATGGAAGTGATGAATCACTAAATTCTACTCCAGAAACCAATATGGCACTGCATGTTAACTAAGTAAAATTTAAATTAAAAAAAAAAAAGAATTTGTCATCTTCTGAGCACAACATCAAGCCACTCACTGTTAAGGGTTTCTCTCCTGATAACCCCACTTCCCCACAAAGAAATCACATTTCTCACTTGAAGAGAAGGCCAAGATAACAACCACCTGAGGAGTGGTAGCCGGAGGAGCTCTGTGGTGAGGAACCTGCATGGAGCCTGGCTGCCCAGGAGCGTCTGACTAGGGCCTCAGTGGATGGCAGGGTCTTCGTGTCACAGACCTTTAGTGTCCAAACTCAAAATAGCTTACACTAGGCTCCTACCTACTTTGACTAGCTGACTGTCAGATTTCAATGAATATTGGGTTTCTTATAAATATACGGATTTCTAGCTTCTCTTTAAAACTCAGGAAACAGGATCCCTGGGTGGCTCAGTGGTTTAGTGCCTGCCTTTGGCCCAAGGCATGATCCTGGAGTCCCGGGATCGAGTCCCACATCGGGCTCCCTGCATGGAGTCTGCTCCTCCCTCTGCCTGTGTCTCTGCCTCTCTCTCTCTGTGTGTGTCTCTCATGAATAAATAAATAAATAAAATCTTAAAAAAAAAAAACTCAGGAAACATGGGTGCTTGGGTGGCTCAGTCAGTTAAGCATCCAACTCTTGATTACAGCTCAGGTCATGATATCAGAGTCATGAGATCAAGTACCTCATCAGGCTCTGTGCTCAGCAGAGTCTGCTTGAGATTCTCTCCCTCTCTATCTGCCCTCCCCTTGCTCTCACTCTCTCACTTTCTCTCAATAAATAAGTAAATAAAATATTTTTTAAAAATAAAAAAAAAACATACCACCCAGAGCCCAATGCCCATAGAGTAATCATCCAATTAACTGACTGCAGCTGTCCCCAGTCCCTCAACCCTGCTGGACCCTGGAGAGGTCTGGGGTGGCAGTCGCACACGTGCAGAATGACCACTGCTGTGTCCCAGTCCTGTACCCACGGAGACAAGAAATAGCTCAAGTGTTGGGACAATGTGATGTGCAATCCAATCTCCACACAGCAGCTCCAGTGATCTCTCCAAAATACAAACTTGAACCCATTACCATCTGCTAAAACTACCTATGGTTTCCCTGCATACAGAATAAAGCAACTCCTCACCACTGTGCAAGGGCCTCTGCCCAGCTCTCCACCTTCAGCTCGTGGTATTCTCCTTTGTATTTAGATCTTATCATAAAACTATCAAAAGAAGGACACCTGGGTGGCTCAGTCCATTAAGCCTCCAACTCTACTCTTGGTTTTGGCTCAGGTCATGATCTCAGGATCCTGGGATCAAGCCCTGCGTCAGGCCCTGAGCTCAGTGAGGAGTCTGCTTCTCTCCTTCTCTTGCTCTTTCTCTCTCAAATAAATAAATAAATCTTAAAAAAAAAAAAACTATCAAAAGAAAGTTAGGTTTACTAACACTAACACACAAGCTGACATGGAACCCTCCACAGGTCCCTATCAGACACTCATGGGTCAGTCATCAAGATGGAGGCTGAGGGAGGCACTACATCTGCTCTCATCATTCATAATGTGTTACAGTTGTTTTTTTTTTAATTTTTATTTATTTATGATAGGCACACACAGAGAGAGAGAGAGAGAGAGAGAGAGAGAGAGAGAGGCAGAGACATAGGCAGAGGGAGAAGCAGGCTCCATGCACCGGGAGCCCGACGTGGGATTCGATCCCGGGTCTCCAGGATCGCGCCCTAGGCCAAAGGCAGGCGCTAAACCACTGCGCCACCCAGGGATCCCTGTGTTACAGTTTTTAAGAGGCTTTTGACTGAAATTATAATTATATAATTATGTTCTCTAGCTCTTCATCAAAATGAACAAGTGACTTAAAATAATTCCAACTGTTTAATGGCAAATAAAATAAATAAGAATACTATATATGCATATACAGTGATAACAGCTCAGCAAACATCAGCTACATAAAAGGGTAAGACTGAAAGGATACACAGAAAATTAAAAATGGGTTTTATATCCCGGGACACCTGCACCCCAATGTTCGTAACAGCAATGTCCACAACAGTCAAACCGTGGAAAGAGCCACAATGTCCTTTGACAGATGAATGAATAAAGAAAATCTGGTATATATATATATGTGTGTATACACACACACACACACACACACACACACATACACAATGGAATATTACTCAGCCATCAGAAAAGACGAATACTCACCATTTGCTTCCACATGGATAGAACTGGAGGGTATTATGCTGAGAGAAATAAGTCAATTGGAGAAGGACAATCATCATATGCTTTCACTCATATGTGAAATATAAGAAATAATGAAAAGGATTATAAGGGAAAGGAGGGGAAATGGGTGGGAAAAATTAGAGAAGGAGACAAACCATGAAAGACTCCTAACTGGGAAACAAACAAGAGTTACAGAAGGGGAGGCAGGTGGGGGGATGGGGTAATTGGGTGACAGGTACTAAGGAGGGCACTTGACGGAATGAGCACTGGGTGTTATACTATATGTTGGCAAATTGAATTTAAATTTTAAAAAACGGGCAGCCCCGGTGGCGCAGCGGTTTGGCGCCGCCTGCAGCCTGGGGTGTGATCTTGGAGACCCGGGATGGAGTCCCACATCGGGCTCCCTGCATGGAGCCTGCTTCTCCCTCTGTCTGTGTCTCTGCCCCTCTCTCTCTGTGCCTATGAATAAATAAATAAAATCTTTAAAAAATAAATAAATAAATAAATTTTTAAAAACATAAAAAAATAAATTTAAAAATTGTTTAAATAAAAAATAAAAATTCCCTTCTACTGCCAAAATAATAAATAAATAAAAATAGGTTTTATATCAGAAAATCATTTTCTTCCAAATTCCTACCACCCTATAAAAAAAAATTCTTCAATGTAGCTGTATTGTTGGGTTTTGGTTTTTTTTTTTTAAGATTTTATTTCATTTATTTATTCATGAGAGACACACAGAAAGAGGCAGAGACACAGACAGAGGGAGGAGAAGCAGGCTCCATGCAGGAAGCCTGATGTGGGACTTGATCTCGGAATCGGGATCATGTCCTGAGCCGAAGGCAGATGCTCAACTCCTGAGCCACCCAGGCATCCCTGTAATGTTTTTTTTTAAATATGTACTCCACTTGATAGTTTTGGAGAAAATGAGAAGAATGGAAATGGGAGATAGCATATAGTGGTTTGGATAGAAGTGCAGGAACAGACTAAGGGGAGACAGACAAGGAGGCAGTAGGCAGTAGTCTGAAAGAAGTTCATAAAGACACACAGCCAGAGACAACTTGGAGCAACACCCACCAGTCCCATCCCGACCCAAGACGAGGCTAAGGCCTTGCTCACCTGCTCCTTGCTCATGTCCTCCGGAGCAAGCCCGTCAACAATCGGGGTACCTTTGGTTTTCCCTTTCTTTCCTTTCTTCTTGGGTGCCTTTGATTAAAGAAAAGATGATTAGGTAAGGAAGGGAAACTCTGTCTAAAGGCATCACCTTCTGGCTGGCTCTGATGAGCCCCTGGGCATACTGGGATAAGAGTACCTGTTCTGGCACCTCTCTCCTATTGCTCACTGTCTCATGCCCCATCTGGAGCACATCACTGTGCCCTCAGGTTTCCCACCCATAACCACCCACACATACTCTATTGACACCTTTCAAGAAGCAAGGGAAAAAATCATCCTTTTCAGAAGAGAACATTTTCTCCCTCAAAAAGGAAGGGAGGGAGAACGTGTTCCAAATCGACTCCTTGGTATGTGGCAGGGACCTCCTGGGCATGAATACAAAATTTGCTTAGCCAGGAAGAATCCCAATAGCACACTGTCAAACATTACCACGTTGGCAATACCTGGTAACCACCATAGAGAAACCTGAAAAAAAACTGGGTAAGGAGAAACGGCCCTACAGCAATGATCACAGGTGGTGACATGAGGCTTCCTTTCTTCCAAATATAAAACTGCTTCCAAGGGCCTTGGTCAAGAGCTGAAGCAGACAGCACTCACCACAGAGTGGGTGCTCTGTAAATGAACCACACGGAACTGGTCATAGTGTCACTTTTGCTTTTAACAACTTGGACAAGATGAAAGAACCTCCCACCCCCATTCACTTGCCAAGGGCCACTCAAGTAGGTATTGAACTTCCAAATCCTTACCTTCTGCCTTCACTTCTAACTAATTCTGTGATTCATGCTTTTGTGTGTGCATGCATCTACATGTTTCTGTAACACGTGTGTGTATGCATCTAAATGCTTCTATTAATGCTTTTATATGTGTTTATGTATGTCTACAGGTCTAACGTTTTTGTGACTACAAAAAAATTTATTTAAAAAAAATTTTTTTACAAAAAACTTTTACATGGATCTTAAAAACACAGAAAAGTAAAAAGAAAACAGGAAAATCACCCATATTCCAACAATCTAGTGATACACGTAGGTATTTTGGTGGTCTTTTCCAGCTGGTTTTAAAAGACCCATGCACTGAAATCTTTACTCCTAGCCTACTGCCCTCTTTCCCAGCCTTCTACTCCAAGAAGTCCAGCCCAAGAGAAGGTCCCACAGGTTCTTAACTGCTTGGTAATTCACAGCCAAGTGCAGGAGCTTGGCATAGCTCTGGGAGAGGCATCCTCCCCACCAGCTGATACTCCCTCCTGCTGCGTCTGCCTGGAAAACCAGCTCCTGAAAACTCCTGTATCAGGGCGGGGCAGCTGAGGGTCCTACTACGGGAGAGAGACAGGGATGTAGAACTGGTGAAGCCATGAGCTCTCACCCTGCTCTGCTCCGTATAGGCCTGACTCCTCCGAAGCTCTGCATGGAAATAGCTACTACTGTACCCTGAGGCTCTGTCCAGGACCCCTTGGTGCAGAGGGACCCCTAGCCACGCTGGTGTGCCCCAGGTTCTTCGTCCCAGAGAATGGAGGTCCCTGAACCCGACTGTGCGCCATGGGACGCTGCATGCATCAGGGTCCTAGGCCTGCCTGTACCTAGGTCCTAAAGATCTGGAAGATTGAGACTTCCAAACAGGAAATCCTTCTGACCAGGTCCTTCTGGACAGCGTGCACGCCAGACCCTGGATCGGGACGGGGCGTCTATGTGCACCCCTGCGAGCGCCGGATCCTGGAGAGCTCAGAGAGCTCGGATCGCTCAGGTCCAAGTGCGTGTGGGATCCGCGATCCAGGATCCCGAGCACCCAGTGCCCTCCTCCCCAAGACGCCACGAGAGTACCAAGGCCTCAGTTCCAGTAACCCGGAGCCCCAGGCCTCCCCATTCTGGGGTCTCAGCGTGCACAGGTCCCGGGGACCCAGGCTTCCCCGTCCGGGGGCCTCTCTGCGCGCAGGGCCGGGTAACCAAGGAGCCCCAAGGCCCCGCTCCTCCTCACCATGGCTCTGGCGGTCGAGTCTTGCCGCCCCCCGCAGACAGAAGCGCCAGCCGGGCGGAGGCTGCGCCGTCTCCCGGCAACCGATGGGCGGTCCTGCGCGAAGTCTTGAAGATCCTCGCGAGACTCCGAGGGCTGTGACAGCCCCTAGCAACCGCGGAGGCGAGTTCCTAGCAACGCGCGCTGGGCGGAGCCCGGGGTTGCCGGAGTGGGTGGGTCTTGCCAGCACCCTGGCATCAACCCCGTGCTTGATCTCCCCGAAGCTCCTAAACGCATCCCGTTGCGATTTGGTGGTGTTTGGTTTTGTTTTTTGCGTGTCTCCCCGACTAGCACCTAAGCTCCACGAAAGGGGGAGGAACTGCTTCGTCCACTTCTTAGCTACAGCGCCTGCTGTACGGAGCAGATGCTCGGTAAAGATGCCTTCAGTGAAGGAGGGGGACAGGGAGGAAAGGAAGATCTGCCACCCAAGGGTCCCAGGCGTTATCCAAATTAGATTCAAATTTGGGCTGAGGTCATGCCCATCGGCCACACACACCCGCCCACCTTCGAAATTCCTGCCCCCACCTCCTCACTCCCCCCACCCCCTCCCCACCCCCACCCCCCGCTGTCCCGCTAAGGATGGAAGATAGCTAGGTTTCGCCCTGTGAGGAAAACTAGAAACCTCTGCCAGGAGTTTCCAGGCAGGAAGTGCAGAAAACAAAACAAAACAAAACAAAACTTCTTGCTCTGAAAACTGCTAGCCATTATATGATTTCGAAAGTGAATTTCATCTTATTACCTTAGGTACATCGCTCTAGTCAACCAGAAAGCTGAGAGTTTGTCATTAGCAGTTGTCCATCTTTACAGACCATTTGTCCTCTTTCTTTCTACACTCTCTACTTTAGCATCTTCCTAACTAGTGCAGTGGGTCATGTTTTCCCTCCCATCTGTTTGGGGACGGAGAAGATTCCAGAATCTCCTCCCCGCTGGAGAGTTGCACTGGGGACAGAGCATGAGTACTGAAGACGGGCCTGGGTGAGCTTGGATCTGCCAGTCTCACCCAAGGAGGAAGATGCCTCATTCATTGGGCTCACTTACGTCCCAGGTGCACACAGAAGCAGGGATCTAAGAGCCACAGTGATGACCCTGAGGGACTTCCTGTTGCTCACCCAAGCCCTGGATGCTCTTGGTTTGGAGCTTGCACAGAGCCATGATTTATTTAGAGCAGGCCCTGAGGCCTTTCTGCTGTCTGGCCATGTCTCTGTGCCTGGACAGCCAAGAGCTTGCGCCTCTGTGCCCAGACACCACCGGCCTGATCAGGGCCTCTGCCCACTAATGCCAGGCCTTCCAGAGGAGTTTTGGCAGGCAACACAGTGCAGCTGGGTAACACAGAGGGGTAACTGTTGTCATTTAACACTTACTTTGGCAGACCCAATATGCTAGGTGCCTCACGTTAATTGGCTTCTTTGCTTTAGAAGTCTGGGATCTCTGAATTAAATAAATGCATTAACATTAATTCCTTTCAGCAAAAAGGGCAAAAATAAGAAGGTTAGCTAAGGATAAGAAGAGAGGGAATTCATTTGTCAAAACCAGCAGCGTTGCTTAGTTTATCAGTGTGGATTGCAGAGATGAATAGTTCAAGGGAGCCTGGCTGACAACTCCCCTGGGCTCCTGACAAGGCCCACAGTGACCTGTGCTTTTCGTATTGGATTTGAGTTCAGATCCTTAGAAAAGAGCCTTCTCTTCACATGTGTGGCTCAAGATACTTTTATTCAGCATCAAGCTGTGCAGCTCTGAAACCAAGATAAATGGCAGCTGAGTTTCCTGCAAAATCACAGAGCAAGTGTTAATACATACAAACCCACTGACCATGTTGACTAATGTCTGGCCCTTCCTAATACCTGCTTACTTGGTGGGTCAGGCAAACTGCCTTGGGACACTACATCAACTCAATAGATGCCTGGATATTAGGATAATAGAGTATTTAAGAAGAGGGATCCCTGGGTGGCACAGCGGTTTAGCGCCTGCCTTTGGCCCAGGGCCCTATCCTGGAGACCTGGGATCGAATCCCACGTCGGGCTCCTGGTGCATGGAACCTGCTTCTCCCTCTGCCTATGTCTCTGCCTCTCTCTCTTTCTCTGTGTGTGACTATCATAAATAAATAAAAATTAAAAGAAAAAAAGTAGACTGAGTTCTCTCTTATTTATCTTTGGGACTCTCTTTTAGAGATCCATAGTGAAGTTTTTACAAATGAAATTATATATGTGTAAAATTTGCTTCACAACAATCTTGCAGAGGCACCTGGTTGGCTCAGCTGGTTAGGCATCTGAACTCTGGACCTCAGCTCAGGTCTTGACCTCAGGGTCATGAGTTCAAGCCTCATCGTGGGCTCCACATTGGGCGTGGAGCCTACCTAAAACAAAACAAAACAAAACAAAACCCATCCAGCAGTGGAGGGAGCTGATTGATAGTAGGGAGGAAACAAGATGAGCCTTGAGTTGGTAACTATTGAATCTGGGTGATGGTGTGATGGGTACATGCAGGTTAATCATGCTATTCTCTCCCCTTTTGTTTGAAAGTGTTCTTAATGAAAAGTTAAAAATAAATAACACACTGGCCTCTGGAGTCAGATCACCTGCTGCTTACCAGCTGGGATTGCCTTTGACAAAACTCCCTCTGTAACCACCTATTCATCTCTCACATGGGAATAATCATTAAACAATTGCAATTACAGTTACTATGATTGCATAACAGGTCACCCCCAAAAAGTAGTGGTTTAATAAGTGACAATATCTCTTTTGCTCATGGATTTACAACTCAGCCAGGACTCTTTGGGGACAGCTCACTTCAGCTCCACAAACTGCCCCCAGAGGGGTGGCTCAAAGGCGAGGTCTCAGGTCTGCCTATTGGCTGAGAGACACAAGTCTGGCCTAATGGCTATTGTTGGCCAGAACATTCACACACAGGTGGCCTGCTGAGTGGCCTGGGCTTCCTCACATAAAGTGGCCAGGTTCCAGGGGGGCTTTCTGGGGGAGAGCTGAATCCCCCTTATGAACCAACTTTAGAAGTCCCATAACATCATTTCTGCCACACTCTATTGGTCAGAGCAGTCACAAGCCTTGCCCAGGTTCAAACAAAAGGGGTATAGGGGATCCCTGGGTGGTGCAGCGGTTTGGCGCCTGCCTTTGGCCCAGGGCGCGATCCTGGAGACCCGGGATCGAGTCCCACATTGGGCTCCCGGTGCATGGAGCCTGCTTCTCCCTCTGCCTGTGTCTCTGTCTCTCTCTCTCTCTCTCTCTCTCTCTCTGTGTGTGTGTGTAACTATCATAAATAAAACAAACAAACAAACAAAAGGGGTATAGAAGAAGGAGTGTCTTGATGGGAGTAGAAGGTTCTGGAAGTAGAATCAGAGACACTGATCTGGCCATTCTAGGAAATACAATCTGCCACCCCAGCTGACTCTGAACAGCCAGTGCCCACCCAACTGTCCCAATTTCCCAAGGCACTCACTGGCTTGCTATGTCCCCACCACCCATCCTATAACTCAGTTTTTTTCCCTGAGAGGCCATTCTCTCCACCTTTTAATGTAGCAGGGAGGCTTGGCTCATAACAAGGGCTAGTTCTAGTGGGTCATGAAATCATTTTAGAAGGTTGCAGATTGCAGTTTTTGTTTTCATTTATTTTGTGAACTAAAGAAAAATGAGAACTATTAGCCTCCGTGATTGACAGTCTTAAAAGCTGTGGGTTGTATATGATTGGAGTCTAGCTAAGCAGTGAGGGCCTTGGTTGGCTGAAGCTGGATGGACCACCTGCCTTTGAGAGGGTACCTTTCCTGCCAACACTAAACTCATACCCACCTCCCTCCTCTGTGGGCCTTTTTCACTCCCAACTGGGAACAAACTCTCTCCCCCTGATGCTTTTCTTTGGTTTGGTTTGTTTTTATAAAAGTGCAGTCTTTGGGCTTGGATTCATACCTCTGGCTTCCAGACCTGGCTGTGCAACCTTGGTCAACTTACCTACCGTATCTGTCCTCAACTTCGTCACCTGGAAAACCAGGACACTGTCTTGTCTTCCTGGGATCTCTGGGGGTATCACTGAGATACTGTGCACAAAGAACTTGGCACAGGGAGGCATTTCAGGGGCTTGTGTTTGGTGTTCTCAGCGCGCCCAGACCCTGCCTTCCCTCCCGGGGCGCTCTCGTTGCCCGCTCCCATCTCCCTAACTCCCATTCCTCGCCCCCCGCCACGCTCCGGCCTCTCCATTAAACCCTTGCCCACCCCCACCCCCAGTGTTCCTCATAGGATTAATCACAATCGGCAATTCTTTGCTTGGGCCAAGGGTGTGGGCGCTGCCTTGGCTTCTCCTCTGTGCCTCCCGGAGCTCCACTGGCCCTCGAGGAGCCGGCCGTAGCTGGCACCCCATAAATATCTGGGAGTGAACAAATGGAAGAAAGTTGGCGCAGCCGCGGGAGGAGTGAGCGCTTTGGGGGCGCAGAAGGCACCAGGCCGAGCCGGGGACCGGGAGGTCCGAGGGAGAGGTGGTCCGCAGGGCCTGGGCCGGCAGGGGGCGCGCGCGGAGCGGGGCGGGGCCGCACCTGTGCTGCGGGGCTGGGGGGGGAGGATGCTAGGGGGAACCCGGGCCCCGGAGCAGCTGCGCGCCCCGCCCCGCGGGCTCCTCCCTGCCGCCGCGGCCCCCCGGCTGCTGCCCCGATGCGCTGCGCCGGGAGCTGGGGCCGAGTCGCCGCCGCAGCTGCAGGGGCGCCCGGGCTGGGTGACGCCGCCGCCGCCCGCGCCCCTCCCAGACCCCGCCGGCCGCATGGAGCCCCCGGAGGGCGCCGGCCCGGGAGGTGAGTGCGGCCCCAAGTCCGCAGGAGTCCGCGAGCTGCGTCTTCCCCGCAGCCAGCCGCAGCCCCTCCCCCGCACCCCCCCCCCCGGCCCACTCACCGGCCGCTCCCGGGGGCCGCACGAGACCCTCCGGTAGCTCCGACTTGAGCCGGGCCTGCCGCAGGGGGAGCCAGGCCGGGGCACCTCCGGGAACGGCCCCGCTTTAGGCGGGGGGCGCACACATCACGTCCCCGCCCCCTTGTCCTCTGCGGTTTGGGCCCCGGCAGCCGCCAGGCGCGCTCCGGGGTGGTTGGCCCAGAGTTTCGTGCTGAACCCCAAACCAGCAGAGCCGGGGCTCCGGGGGCCAGGGCATGGGGCGTGTCTGGGCCGTGGATTGGGGGCCAGCTCCGCGAGGCGTGGGGGTCGACGCTGCCCTCCGGGGCCGCGCGTCTGCTTTGTTCGCCGGGGGCTGGGGCAGGGAGGCCGCCGCCGGGATCCTGCAGGGCACCGCGCTGGGACAGGGCCCGGGGAAGGGGGCGTTGCACCGGCGTGGCCTGGGGGGGCCTGCCCCAAGCGGCAGGGGTTGTCGGCCTGGGCGCGGTCCAGGGGCGCTCACCTCTGGGAGGGCAGGTGTGCACGGAGGGAAGCGTCCCCGAAGCCCCTGTCAGCCCTCGGTGACTGTTTGAGATTCTAGCTAGGTCGCCCCTCTTTGGAGTCTGGCTCGGGCAGGGCGGCAGCTGGTACAGGGAGGAAAACTGTAGGAACCTCCACCTCAAGAGTCCTTTCAGGCGGAGTGTTCGGGCGCCATCGGCGCCTCCACCGGCCTGGTTAGGCCCCAGATGCATCATGGGTTTCCTAGAGGTCCCATCCCCGGGAGCCGGGAGCAGGGAGCCGCTCTTGACCACACAGGGACGTGCGCAGGGACCCTCGCTGCATCAGCGACCTCATCTGGAGCCCAAAGGGATGGCCCCAGGGGGGGTGTCCCGAAGCAATGGGCCCACTCGCTGCTGTGTCTGCAGTCTGAGTTGGGCAGGTGCAGCCCAGACAGCTGTCTGAGGGCCCTCGTCACCCACCCTGCAAACACCAGCAGACACACCCAGAGCTGCTGGGTGTGGGTTTTCTTTGTTTTGTCATTTGTTTAAGGGATCCAGCTCTTTCTTGCCATTGACCCCAGGCCCCAGGACTTCCCAGTGGCAGCTTTGTGGGGACCTGAGGGGAAAGGTTTGGAAGGCAAGGGCTGGGGACCAGAGTTGTGAGACTGTGGGCAAAGCAGCTTGGCCCTCAGTTTCTGCGTCCACTTGTGTCAGTGGGGACAGATTCACTTCCCCTGCAGGACTGTGGGAGCCCTGAGTGCAACAGGGAGGGAAGGCATTTGGGAGAGGGGCCTTATGATCCTCCAGGTTCTGAATCTCACCTATTCCATACACAGATACGTATTTATCAGGTGCCTACTCTGTGCAGGACTAGGGGTGGGAACACAGCCGGGGAACACAGCTGAGGCCACACTGAGGGCTCATATTCCTATGCCCCAGAGCCAATTCCTGCCTGCACAGTGGCCTGGTGATCTCCATTGTCTGGGATCTCACAAGGTCATGTATGGGTGCCTGTGACTGTCATTCTCTCAGTTCACTGACTTTTGAAAACTTTATTTTGGACCATGTGGAGCACACACAAAAGTAGAACAGGGCAATAAAGCTCCGTGTGTCACCTCCTAGTCTGCTCAACCAGACCACCACCAGCCTCCCTTCAGTAGTAATGTGTAGTTATCACCTGACATTATTTCATCTATTATTTCTGAAAATATCTCTAAAAGATAAGGTTTTCATAGAGCATAACGAAAATCCCATTTTTGCACCTAAACAAATTAATAATTTCTTAAATACCAAAGTTTGCAGACATGGAGATGAGAAGGGAGGTGGTACACTTCTTGAAGGGTCCCCAACTGGGGTCTTTGGTAAACCAAGGTTCTGGTCCCAGGCAATTCCAAGCCCGTCCAAACAGCCACAGGGAGAAAGGCCACGGCCTTGTGCTCAAAAGGCTGTGCCTTGCCAGGGCCCCCTGGCATCCTTGCAGTCCAAGGACAAGGGGCTAGGGAAGTGGGGTTGCAGGTGCCCATCTCTCCCTCCCCACTATTTTGTCATATGTGATATTCATTTATTTGCTTCATGAATTTGTTCATCTGTTCATTCAGAGCATCTCCTCAATGCTCAGGGCAAGGCCCAGGACACACAGCAGGGAACTCAAGATTTGGGCCAAGTTCTCACACAAATGTGCCAGAAAATAGGTCACCAGCCTAGCACAAGGTAACCCTATCATATCCACTCACATCAGCCATCAGTGCTGGGGGCAGAACTGTGGTAACCCAACCGCAGTCACCACGGGGCACTATTTTGCTACCTGCACAGGTCAGGGCAGCAATGCCCCCTGCAGGGGCTTGACGGGGGCTGCAGTGAGCTGAGAATCACGGTGTTTCTACCCCACACACTGGCCCCAAGTGCCCCTAAGCCCACCAAGCTACTGCTCAGCCTGGCACCAAGTACCCCCACCCCATGCCTGCCTCTGTGATCACCTGTCTCACCCCCCAGGAAGAGCTGTGGGTCTCATCCATGGACAGCTACTTTGAAACTATGGGATGCGGTCTTGGGCTTGTTCATTCAGCAAACACTTATGGTGTACCTACTGTGTGCCAGGACCCAGCCTAGGTCCTAGAGATCACACTCCTCTTGCCCACCCCCAGCCTTTAAGCCTGGTGCTGGGCACATAGTAGGTGCACAGCAAATGCTAGTTGAGGTCTTAAGTTCTCTTGGATTTGCTCTTTAATTCCATCCAAATTCAACCTTTGTTTCCATTTTGGATTTATCATAAAAATCACTTTAAAGCACACAGTTCGGTGTTTTTAGTATATTTGCAAAATTGTGAGACCACCTCTACTTTTAGAATATTTTCATTAATCTGAAAAGCAATCCCATACACATTAGTCATCCCCTATTCCACACATACCCCAGCTCTTGGAAACCATGGTCTATCTACTGTCTATGTCTTTTCTAATCTACTTTTCTACTCTATGGATTTGCCCATTCTGGACATTTTATATAAATATTATAATACATGGCCTTTTGTGACTGGCTTCTTGCAGTTACCATGTTTTCAAAGCTCATCCATGGTGCAGCCTGTATTAGTGCTTTCTTTTTTTATGGCTGAATAATATCCCCTTGTGTGAAAGGACCACATTTTGTTTATCCATCATCCGTTCATGGACATTTGGCTTTGATTCCACTTTTGACTACTGTGGATAATACTTCAATGAACATTCACATGCAAGTTGTGTGTGTGGATCGGTGCTTTCAATTCTTCTGGTTGTAAGCATAGGAGTGGAACTGCTGGGTTGTGTGGGGACTCTCTACATGTAGTAATTGGAGGAACCACTGAGCCATCTTCTACAATGGCTTTACATGCCAACATCAATCCATGCTCCTTCCTGGGGGCTCAGAACCTCCTCTGTCCCTGGCATCTTCTGCCCTGGCATGTGACTCTTAATCCTTATCACATTCTTCCAGACAAAAGATCGGTGTCCTTGATAACAAAAATTCCATCTTCAGCTTTTTCTCTCCACCCTGTAGCTTTGACACAGACCAGGGACCCACAGTTTACAGAGTACAGACCACTGCCAAGGGAGATGGAAAGGAATAAAAGACTAAACACCTGGTGACTTCAAACATTCAGGGCTCCTATATTCTGTTGACTCTATGATGCCATTGACAGTAGATGCTTTGCTCTTTCAAGGATGTTGACATTTGTCAAAATGTGCTTCTTATAGTTAGTCCAACAGGCTAGTCTGTCTGAGACCCCTGGACCCCAACATCTATAATGATGCTTGTCCCTCAACCTGTACTGTCTCAACAATGAACTTCCACCTAACCTGCATCTCATAAAACAATGGAAGTAGATATTGTCCTATTCAGCTTAAAACCCTTCAGCACCTTCTCCCAGCTCACTCAGAGTAGCAGCCAAAGTTCTGATGATATGTGTCCCCTACCATTGTCCCCCTGCTTCACCTATCACCACGAGCCATGTGTATGGAAGGGTCTCAGAATTAGGACGGCATAGGCCAGCATGATGTGAGCCCATCATACACCCTCAGAGGGACCAGGGTGCTGTGCTGTACTTCCCCACTCAAGGAAAGCAGTGTCCCACAGAGGAAAAGCTCCTTGACGACTCTTGACAGGTATTCTCAGATGGTTGGTCAGAAGCTCAAGGCAGGCGTCCCTCCTCACCCCAGGTCAGAGCAAGTTCTGAATTACATCTCTCATGCCCTCTGGGTGGAAAGGTATCTTTGCTGGGCTGGGGGGCCAGGACACTAGTGGGTGTAACTCTACCCTCCAAGGATACTCAGAAGCCCCATTCCAAATGCATCAGAGAGGTGGAAACCAGATTGTCTGAGCCCCCATCCAATCTGGTCAGCGCCAAACCCCACGTGATGACATAGCATGGGCGGGTCCCCAGGCCCATCTTCCCTTAGCCACACCTCCCAGGGAAGGTGGTACCCTCCTAGAGGAGGCCAGATGCTGCCTAGCCAGCTCTACAGCTGTGAATGGATGGTTTATTATCCCCCTGAGCTGGAGACTCTTTAGACACAGGACCTGGGTGGTATCCTGGCTGCTGACTGCACTGTTGAGGAGAAACCCACCCCTGGCAGGTAGCTGTCAACACTGGTTGCCCAATGGGGACACTGAGGGAACCAAGGGATCTGAAACATTCTGGAGGAACTGACAGATTTGGATGGAGCGATGTGAGCTAAGAGGACAAGATGTTGGCCCAAACAACAAGGGTTGGGGTTGGTGCTAGAAGGGGCAGGGGTCCCATCTCTGAGTGCCAGTCTCTACCAAGCAGATTGCCCACAGGACCTCCTGTTCTCATCTGAAAAAGAAAAAAAAAATCACCAAACATAAGCAATTACATCTTTTAAAAATAAACTGCATAGAAAAAACCTGGAGGAACATCCCCCAGTCTCTTTTACTATGAAAATAAATTATTTTGCACTCAAACAGAACAACATAGGTTTTTATAAGAAGTCCGTCCACTGGGGATGCCTGAGTGGCTCATTGGTTGACCATCTGCCTTCAGCTCAGTGCTTGATCTCACAGTCCCAGGATCAAGTCCCACATTGGGCTCCCTGCGTGGAGCCTGCTTCTCCCTCTGCCTGTGTCTCTCATGAATAATTTTTTTTTTAAATCTTAAAAAAAAAAAAAAAAGAAGTCCTTCCAGAGGTCAGATAAGCAAGTAGGGGCCATTCTGGATCACAAGGATCCCAAAGTCAAGGAAATGCAAGAGTGACCACTGGACCCTTGGTTGGACCTAAAAGTAGAGATAGATGACAGTGTCGGACACCTTCTCCTTCATAAACCTTACGAGGCCACCACGCAGTGGCCCTCATCTGGAATCTGGGCCAAGGCTTCCTCAGGCAACCTGATTACAGTCCAGAGTGACAAAGGAGGGTTCACTGAGCCAAGCACTTAGGTCTTCCCCACCTACCTCTCTCCTCCCAGGTAACACCTTCTGTCTTTGTTGCAGAAATAGTTAAGGAGGTTGAGGTGCCACAGGCAGCCCTGGGCACCGTGGCCCATGGGACAGGGGACAGCTGCCACTCGCCCGCAGCCGAGGAAGAGGTTGGCATCCCAATACCAGCCCCAGGGCTCCTACAGGTCACAGAGAGGAGGCGTAAGTACAGCTGATCTGCCCGGCACATGCTCCACAGAGACCAGGAGCACCCTGGGAAATGGAGGGTGGGGTCCATATCCTGTTCAAACACACTGACAGGCGTGTGGAGGTGGGTGCTGCTGCTGCTGCTGAGACCTTACAGCTCTGGTTCTGTGGGCCTTGGCTGTACCATCTGCAAAATGGGAGACCACAGAAGGCACTTAGTCTTGAGTGTGGAGAGCAGATGGGGGTCTGGTCTACCCCATCTTATCCTGATCTCTCAGGACTTCACCCAAAGCTCTGGTTCCTCCTCAAGTGGACAGACTGTGCCCATGACGAGCTCCCCTCCTCCCCTTGCCCCTGCCCCTCCCAACAGAGCCCCTGAGCAGTGTCTCCTCCCTGGAGGTGCACTTTGACCTCCTGGACCTCACTGAGCTGACTGACATGTCCGACCAGGAGCTGGCGGAGGTCTTTGCTGACTCAGACGACGAGAGCCTGGCCAGTGAATCTCCAGCAGGTGGGCTGATGCTGGGGCACGGCAGGTGGTATGGGGCGGTCCTGGGGCCCAAGCCCATCACAGGCAGCTCTCCACAACCCCTATTTTTGAAAATAATTGTTTCTCACACGTGTCAACATTGCACTGTACCATCCTATTTGCCCAACTTTAAGGAATCTTTCTTCTGTTTTCCTCGATTTTCCTTTCCAAGTGCCAACAAAAGGCCAAAGTCACAGTCCCATCAAAGGCAAAATTTACTACATGTGAATTTAATAATAAGTTAGCCCTGGCCCCATAGCTCAACCGTAACTTAGTTTCCCCTTGGGTGCCCAAGACCCCGAGGGCCCCAGAAATGGCAAGGCAGCTTACGGAGGATGGGGCCCCAGCAACCTTCTCTCCCTCTCCACACCTTGTGCAGGTAGGGGGTGGGAAGGGAGGGGTCAGATCCCAGTCCTGTAGAGCCAGCACCCTGGGAGGGCAAGGGAGCAGTTGGCTGTTGTGGACCAGGCTCATACACAGAGTGGGGTCTCAGCTGTACAGGGACCCTCCTTGGGCATCAGAAAAGCTTTTGCCCAGGTTACATCCAGACCTACACATCCATGTTGCTGGTGGCCTGGCATCTGTGTTTCCTAAGTCCCCAGGAGCCCCCACTGTGTAGCCAGGCATGGTTACACACAGGCCCAGCCCAGTAGCTACAGGAGTGATCTGACCCCCATGTTCCCGTCAGGCCTGCACCCACTGCCCCGGGCTGGCTGTCTGCGCTCCCCATCCTGGACACGAACCAGGGCCGAGCAGAACCGAGAGAAGCAACCACTTGGTGACCCGGAGCGCCAGCCAGCAATTGTGGACACATTTCTCACCGTGGAGAGGCCCAAGGAGGACTAGGCCGGCTGGCCCTGGGGCCAAGGCAGTGCAAATCTGGACAGTTCTGACCCCATGGACACTCTGCCCACCCCATGTGGCTCTGGGTCAGGTTCTCGGGGCACCCTAGCACAAGCACAGCCCAGTGGCCTTATGTACTGCTCCTTTCTTATCCCTGGATCAGGGACGACAGCATCTGAGGATGAGGTGGGAGTGGCCTAGGCCTCTTGGAAACTTCTGCCTGCAGGACTGGTGCTCTCGTCAGCTGCAAGATTCCCGAGTGGGTGCAGGGTGAGGGGAACCTAAGCCAGAGAGAGTTTCTCTGCAAAGTCCCCAAGGGTCCTCAGGGTTCTGGTCTGGGAATGGTCCACCATGCTCCAGCCCATGGGATGCTCTGCTACCCAGCAAAGTATATGGGTAGGGAGGGTCAGTACTGAACAATGTCGCCTCTTTCTGCCACCCGGGAGCATTGCTGGCACCAGGGTCACCCCCAGGCCTGAAGACCCTGCTTGTCTTGTTTCCTGTGTGACAGCCGGGCCCACCGTCCTTGGCTCAGAACACCAAATAGGCACAACCCTCAGACTGTGGGTAGGGGGAGTGGGCATGTCGGCTTTGCCCTGGCCTGGGACACATCTCCACAGCCTGTCATGCAAATGCACACAAAGGCATGCACGGTCCTAGGTCTGTGCCCCTGGCTGGCGTCCTGGCCTGGGGTAAAGCTGCCGAAGGGAGACTGGGAACACAAGGGAACCCTGGCACAGCCCCTAGCCTCCAACTTAAGGGCACCAGGCTCAGCTGCTCCCAATGCTGCTCTTTATGACCTAAAGGACTAAACAGGCTCTGGTCTAACAGCAAGTCCAAAAACAGTTTTAAAATAAATGTGTAAGTTTGCTTTTGGTCCCCAGGCCAACCTGCCCTGACCCATTCCCCACTCAAATATTTCTAGGGAAGAAAAACCTGCTCTTCTGTAGAAGCCCTGGGCATCCCGTAGGCCCACTGTGCACAGCTCAAGGCAAGTTCCCCAATGAGAAAACAGGCCTCAGAAATGCTGGGGGACACTGCCTGCTGCCTATACATGATGAGCATCAACTCAAGGGGCACCCCAGCAGGCATCACCCAGAAGTTCACTTAAAATCAAACCCTATAAGGGCAGCTGCGTGCCCCACCCACCCCACCCACGAGGGTCACCCTCCCCAATCTCCAGCCTTCCAGCTATGGCATCCTTCCTTCTGCAGAGCTTATTTACAAAACATCGAATTAAAATCTCACTTCTTCCTATGGCCCAACCAGTCTCTTCCTTTCTAGGTGACACCAGAGCTCAGGAGTATGTGGTGGGGGCGGAAGTTGGCTACCCTAGGAGACAAACTCCTGCTCTTGTCTTTCTCCAGTGGAAGCCACTGGGGGCTCCTCTGTGCTGCTTATTTGGGTTATGTCTCAGGGACAAGTGCCCTGGATTTCTAGTCCTTAGGAAGTAAAGGTCCTGTCCCCCACCCCCCACCCCCAGCCCAAAAAGGCACAAGGTACACTCTGGCAAGTCATCTCAGCCCAGACAGGTTCCCAGGAAGCTCTAGGTCCAGAGCAGCAGCTTGCATAAGAAGGGAGCCAGCAGGTAAAGCCTGTGAGAAGGCCAAGGGTGAGGCCAAAACCCCAATCATTTTGATTACCCATGAAATAAGAGGCTCAGAAACCAGGCCCTGGGCCCCATGCCAGGCAGTTCCCACCACTCGGCTCTATGGAGGGATACATGAGCTTCCCTAATGAAAGATTCTAGACCAGGTCTCCATCCCTGGGCCCAGGAACTGACTCAAAGCCTGTGTAAGAGTGTGCCCAGGTGGCCCAAACAGGGGGAGGGGGTGAAGGAAAGAGCTGAGGAAACTCAGGGGGGTAGTGAGCACAAGGGTATCCAAGGCAGAAAACAGCAGGGGTTGGGGAGCATCCAAGTGTGCTGAGGTATGCCCTGGATCCCAGAGAGGGGATGCACCAAGCCTCAAACCGAACAGGTCCCCAGGTTCTGGACACCACACACCACCCTCACCTCTGGCAGAGGGAGCCTCAAAGACAGGAGGACCCTGGCCAGTCCCCAAGCAGCTCAGCTAACAAAGGCTGGGTTTAGTGCAGACTTCATGACAGGGTGAGCTCTAAAGATGTAAAAAATTCAATAATAGCACATTTTACAATGGAAGTTGAAAGTGCTTGTCCCACATTGGAAATTCTATTTTTGAGACAAACATAACAAATGATACAGAAATTTTTAGACAAATCTCAGTGTCTGGTCTTGGCCAAGCAGAGAGGAGAGGTCGTAGGGGACAGCAAGTGGAGCCACCCCCTTACCTCTCCAACCCCCACCCCGTTCCAGGATGCCCCAAGGAGCAGCTGGGTGGAGCAACTAGACATCTACCCACTCACCAGCCCGAAGACAGTGGCTGACACTTCTCTACTGGAGACTCTCGTGACTCTGGGAGGCAGTGAGCTGGAGAGCAAACAGGGATGTCACCACTGAGCCCTAGGTGTCCAGTCCAAACCAGCTCCCTGGCTGGGCCCTTCCATGCTCTAAGACCAATCAACCCATAGAAGGCATCAGAGGCCCCAGCAGCCCCACCATGTCTGCCTTCTCCAGTAGCTGCCTGCCCATCTAGAAGTCACAGCTGCCTGTCACTCTGCTGTTTCCAGAACAGCAGGCACTGCTAAGACAAACCCCAGACCCCCAAACATCCTGAAGATGGGAGTGCCCCAAGCACCCCACTCACCTTGTCCACCTGCTCTCAGCACCGGGTCAGCAGGTCCAGTGTCTACTCAGAGGCAGGGCTGATGAAGTGCTGTACCTCCTTATCAATGAGCTGGGCAGTGGCTTCAATGTATGGCTCCTCCACCATCATCTCATCTTGTTGGGGGAAGTCAAAGGACACCTGGCCCAGCTTTTTGGTGATCCCAAACTGCACAATCTGGAAGTAGGGAGCTGGGGGTAAGCCATGCAGAGCCCCCCACTAGGATGGCTGCCCTTTACCTGGGAATAGGCGCTCTGGGCAACCTTCCTCAAGTCATCCTGGGCCCCTGTGGTGATCTGCCCAAAAAACAGCTGTTCAGCCACCCTCCCTCCAGCATAGTGCACATGCAGTCAAACAGTTGCTCCCACGTGTACAGATACTGCTCCCTGGGCAAGCACTGGACGTAGCCAAGCCCCTTGCCCTGGAGCTATAGTGACAGATGCTGTAAGATACAGGCAGGCAGTGCCCTGGTCACTCCCCACACAATGCTCCTGCCCCCCCACCCCCAGGTCTCACCCCTGGAACATCCTAGACCAATTTGTCCTACTATGACCACTGGTCACAAGGGCATGGGAGGAGAGGAGATCCCTAGGGCCCACCCAGGATTAGGTGGGTCTGGGTGGGGTCACCCCAAAGATTAACATGGAAACCACCTCCATCCTATCAGTCCCAAAGAAGTTCTGGAAGAGCCATGCTGTTGGGTCCAAAGCTTAGGAGTGAGGAAAAGTGTCAGGTGGCTGACATCCAAAGCCTACCTGGAACCAACGCCCCCACATGCACTTTGCTACACACCCCTGAGCAATCTTCTGAACCAAATTCCAAACCATTACGTTCACTGAAAAGTAAAAGAGCTGCCACTGAATGTATTGTGTCCACACAACCACAGCCCACACAGTCACCTGGGGAAGGTAAACACCCTGGCCTGGAAGCCAAGGGTCGAGAGATCAATATTCAGCAGAGGGTTCACATGCTCCAGGAACCAGCCCACCACAACATGTCCGGCCTTGTGGTAGGTCATGGTCGCCTTCTCACTGAGCTACAGGACCTGCATCTTCTCAAGGCCTACACATCAAATTCCCAGGCCAGTGAAAGGCAGAGGAGAAATGGACAGCTGGGAAGTGGGTGCAAATCCCCACCCTCCACTCAGGGAAAGTCGGGGGCTGGTTGGAGCTTCTGCTCAGCCAGTACAGATTCACAGTCTATCTGCTCCACACACGCAGCTCAGGCCCACTTTTGTGCCTGTCTTTCCACACCAGACATTATGCTGCCTTCTGCTCTGTAGAAACCCTACCACCCAACTGTAAAGATCTGATGCATCTGCACGCAGCAGACAGCTTTAGGAGGCTTGTTTTCAACCAGCATGATTAGCTATGTTCTGTGGCTTGCTAAGTGACACCAGAAGCTTGGAGCCCAGGAGTGATTCCCAGTGCCCTCCTACACCGTAGCTTACAGGCAGTTATCAGTACGCAGAAAAGGTACCAACAACTCACCCTGGGCCCAGCTTTACCACTGCTGCCAGGACAGCCCTCTAGAAGCTGTGGTGACATCTTGGGCTACCCGACACTCCACACTTGTCTATACATGTTATATTTCACTAAAGACAAACTGTTAGCACTGTTAACCTACTATTGGTTCTCACAGCCATGGAGCTGACCGTGAACAGCAGCCACTGGAGCTGACCATGAACAGCAGCCACTGGCCACAGGAACACCTTCCTGATCTCTGTCCCCAGGAGGGAACTCCAGAGACCCTAACTTGCTAACTGCAGCTCCCTAAACTGCTGAGCTGAAGCCAGGAAGCCAGGGAGCCATTGCTGTGCTGAAGCATGCAGATCAGTAACCCCCACCTTCAGAGGACTGTCCTCATGGCTTCCACAAGGAAGATCCTAGGGAACCCCTCACCTCTGGTCTGCAATCAGCATTTCAAACCAGGACCTGATCCACTGCCCCAGAGGCCCCATCTGTCTTGAGATTCTTTTTTTTTTTTTTTTAAAGATAAGGGGAATTTCTTTTTTTTTTAAGATTTTATTTATTTATTCATTCATAGAGATGCAGAGAGAGAGAGTAGCAGAGACACAGGCAGAGGGAGAAGCAGGCTCCACACAGAGAGCCAGACGTGGGACTCGATCCAGGGTCCCCAGGATCACGCCCTGGGCTGCAGGCGGCGCTAAACCACTGCGCCACTGGGGCTGCCCCTGTCTGAGATTCTAAATGTAGCTCTATACAGAGAATGAAGGCTGCTGGCAGATTCCTGAGTCTCAAATTTTTGTTTGGAAAGCTGTCTGTGGTTCTTGTCTCCTAAAGTAAAGCTGGGGCCCCAAGGTGAGCCTGCCAAAGCTGAGAGCTAGAAGGCCCTCCACCTCTCCAGGACTGCCCTGCTCACCAACAATGACCTCTCAAAGGCCTGCTCAAAGTGCTTCTCCTGAACACAAGGACTCGGGTGGTGGGTGACAATCAGGGCTGCTTTGTTGCAGACACTAGAAATGTCAGCACCTGACCCAGGAAAGGAAACACTGTGGACATCAGTGCTCGGGACTGTGTATTACAAGAAAAGCTCCACTACAGAAACCAGAGCCAAACTAGGGAACGGCTTTGTCAATCACCACTGTTTGGGGCCAGTTTTTTGGTTATGCAACTTATTGAGGTAGGATTTATTTAACATAAAACCTACCCATTTTCTATATTTCAAAGACTTCTAGTAAATTTATCAAGTCATGTGATTAGCACCCTAGTTTCAGACACTTCCATCATCTATATAAAATACTCTGTGCCTGGGGCGCCTGGGTGGCTCAGTCAGATAAGAGCCTACCTAAGGTACAGATCATGATCCCAGGGTCCTGAGGTCCAGCCCTGCTTTGGGCTCCTTGCTCAGCAGGGAGCACGCTTCTCCCTCTCCCTCTGCCTGCCGCTCCCTTTGCTTGTGCACACTCTCTCTCTCTCAAATAAATACATCTCTAAAAGGAAGGGAGGAAGGGAGAGAGGGAGGGAGAGAGAAAGGAAAGGAAAGAGAGATACCCTTTGCCTGATGTGGTTAATTCCAGTACTCATCCTAGCCAACCACTCTTATACTGTCTCCTTGGATCTGCCTGTTAGGGACATTTCACATAAATGGAATCACACTGTACAAAGCCTTTTGTGTCTGGGTTCTTTCACTTGGCATAACATCTGGAGGTTCATCCATATTGCAGCATGTTATCAATACTTCACTTCTTTTATGGCTGAATAATACTTCATTATATGTATACACCTTTGGTTTACCCGTTCATGCGCTGATGTATATCTGGGTTGTTTCTACCTTTTGGCTATTATGAATGACACTGCTGTGAACATTCATGTACAAGTCTTTGTATGGACATGTTTTTAATTTTCTTCGTGAGTGGAATTGCTGAGTCATATGATAACTCTGTATTTTACTTTCTGAAGAACCAAACTGACTTTCACAGCCTATTTTATACTCCTACCAGCAACGTATTAGGGGTCCTGTGTCTCTATATTATATCCCTGCCAACTCCTTTTTGTCTTTTATAGCTGTCCTGGTGGGTGTGAAGTGCTATCTTGTTGTAGTTTTGATTTGCATTTTCCTAATTAATAACAACATTTAGTATTTTTGTGTGTGCTTTTTGGTCATCTGTATACTATCTCTGGAAAAATGTCCATTTGCCCATTTTTAAATTGGGTTCTATGTTCTGAATTCTAAATCCTTATCAGATGCATGATTTCCAAATATTTTCTTCCATTCTGTACACTATCTTTTTTTTGTACACTTTTTATTCAACGGTATCCTTTGATACACAAAAGATTTTAATTAGGTAAGTCCAATTTATTTTTTCACTTATTGTTTGTGCTTCTTGTGTCGTACTTAAGGAACCACTGCCAAGTCCAAAGTCCTGAAGATTTGGCCTCCCATGGTTTCCTGTAAGCACTCTACAGTTCTAGCTCTTAAATTCAGGTCTTTTACCCATTTTGAGTTAACTCAAAAAGTGCAAGGGTCCAATTTCATTGTCCCAGTATTTTCTGTTGAAGAGACTGTCCTTCCCCCATTGAATGGTCTTCACATCCCTGACAAAAATCAACTCTGCAAAGATGTACATACAGGTTTGCATCTGCAATCTGCACTCTGGATTTTGTTCTACTGGTCCATTTATGAGAGCTGACATTAAGTCTTCGTCCTACTAAGTCTAACATCTGTGCTACCTTGGGGACAGCTTTTGTCCATTTTTTTTCTAAAGATTTTATTTATTTATTCATGAGACACACACACACACACACACACACACACACACACACACACAGAGACAGTCAGAAAGAGAAGCAGGCTCCATGCAGGGAGCCTGACATGGGACTCTATCCCAGGTCTCCAGGATCAGGCCCTGGGCTGAAGGTGGCGCTAAACCGTTGAGCCACCCGGGCTGCCCCCTTTTGTCCATTTTTTCCTGTGAATGAACCACTTATCATTTCTTTGCATGTTTTGTCATTTTTTTTTAAAAAAGATTTTATTTACTTATTCATGAGAGACACAGAGAGAGAGAGGTAGAGAGAGAAGCAGGCTCCACGCAGGGAGCCCAACATGGGACTCGATCCCGGGACTCCAGGGTCATGCCCTGGGCCGAAGGCAGGCACTAAACTGCTGAGCCACCCAGGGATCCCCCTACTTTGTCATTTTTCATTGACTCATTAGCCAAGTTTTAAAATGCCCTTTTCTCTTTCACTTTCATTACTACATTATAGTACCAAGAATGAGCAAAAATGGCAAAAGAGAACTTTACACGTCAGGTTTCTAAGGAACACCAGGTTTATTCCTGGATCCATGCCTGGACTGCCCACATAGGGGCCTGCCACACACATGGAGAGGAGGGCTCGATAGTGAGAGAACCATCAGAGTGCCACAGTTAATGCTTACTTTTGTGGCTCTTAAAAAAGTGTCAAAAGTTTTTTTAGTTCAAGAATCCCGTGTACCCTTCTGTGTGTGAAGACAAACCATTCTCTATCCTTGCAATGCTGACATTCACAAAGGCTGCATCTGCCTCTCAGGGACAGCAGGATCCATGGGCTCAGCCTGAGACAAGAGGGCAGTCCCATGAAGCAGCCTCCTCAGGACCCCATGGGGGCTGAGGCTGGGGAGTTCAGGATCATCCCACCGAGTCATCCCTGCTGATAGGCAGCCTCTAATGTTAACCTGGGAAGAACAGAGTCTGGGAGGCCTATTCTAGTTTCTTAACTTTGATAAGTGGACATGGGAGTCACAAAGGGAGAGAGCAGAAACCGCATTCTTGGCAGGAAACAGACCAGGTCCTTCAGGTACCAGCTGGATCGGGTGAGAATGCCTCACTCATCACCCTGTAGCCGACAAACGTACACTCCCATGTGTGATCTGACCCCCAGCCCTTGCCCAGCACTGGGCAGGACATGGGGAGATGGCAGCACCGTACACAGCAGAATGCTCCAGGAGCAGTGGCCAACAGCTCATCAGAGTCATCATGAGACCTCCAAAGGGCTGCTGGGCAAGAAGCTGCCAGGAAAAGCCTAAACTGCCAGTGTTTAAACCACCCTGGTAGGGAAACAAGTTTCCTAGCACAGGACCTTCTTTCTCAAAGAAAAGAGAAAAGCAAAGAAAGATCCCATACTGGGAGCTCAAGCCCAAGACAATAAAATGTAGCATAGCTCTTCACTTCAGTAGGTCTGTCCTCAGACGTTAGTTAGGTCTTTGCAGTGAAAACTTACCACATTTAAATGGAATTAAACTAGAAATTCAAATGGGTACAAGATCCACTTTGGGGCTAATCCTATCTGAGGCCTCTGATTTGTCTCAACAGATTCAGTTCTAAAGACAAAGGTGGACACTTGCCAGGACTGAGCAGCACAAGCAGAAACCATCCACCATCATATGTACCCCCCATCCAGGGCCCGGCTGGAGCCGGCCTGGCCAATACTCACCCATGAAGCCCAAAGGGAGTGAGGTGAGCTTTCTTGCCAAGGTGTCCTTACAGAGGCTCTCATCCAGCTTCAGTGGGTGCAGGTAGACCGTGAAGATGGTGGACCTGCCTGTGATGATGGGGGGCCCTATCAAGAGAGAGACACAGATGGCCAGAACAGGGTCACCTAATGCCACTTCGCAAAATCTACAAGGACAGTCTGAGGCTTTAGGCACTCTCCCAGCTATGTCTTTCACACTCAGTTATTCGACTAGAGCCAGGGAGCAATGACAGAAATACCCCAAATGTTATGTACACTCAGCTCTTGAATGTGTAAAACACCTTCCTGACTATGCTGCCACTGACCAACCTCAAACTCGTTCCCAGGGCTGTGACCTGACAGAGAGCAAGACAAGGACCACCCCGGGCAGCAGGCAAGTCCACACAGAATGGGTGCCTTCTCACAAATGGAAAGTGCCAGCAAAGATGCTGTCCGAGTAAAAGGTGAAGGTGAGCTCTTCTGTTCTTTAACACTTCACCAAAACAAGAAGTGAAGAATATGATCTGTCACATCACTCCAACCTGTATGGACTGAAGTGACATTTTTGCAGGCCCAGACACATCTGTTACTCCCAAAAGTGGATCGCCAGGAGACAGGGACTGGCAACAACCAAGGGCATTCGTGAGCTTCCACTTTCTCAAAATGTTATTAACATTAACTGCTGTAGGAGCCTGATCAAAAGAAATTGCCTCCAAATACACAGATAATGATCTAACCTGATCTTTAAAACAAGGACATGAAGACCCAACCCTGAATGCCAAAGTGACAGGCATATTCGCCCATGTAAATCAGGCAGTCAAACTGGCCAGGCTGTATAAGGGCCGGGTAGAGGATGTCAGGGAAGTTTGTGCCAGCCGGCACCACAATGTTCATGAAGAGGTGAACCCTGGACATGAGAAGCAAGTGAGCCCAAGGAGAGGGCTCAGGCTGGTGTTCACTAGGACAGGACTGTGTTCCTACCTAGCTCTCCTCCTAAGGTCCTGAGAACATGTCCTCTTTCTGCACACCTGCCCATCCTTCTGGGTCCACTGGCCACCCTGAGCAGCCCTGCCCTGGCTCTGCACTTCTTTTGCTTACTCCAAACTGACTGCAGAGGCTCCTTAGTGGGGCAGACGTTCATGCCCAGGGCTGGCTGATAGCCCCTTATCTTCGACCCTTCATAGGCAGGAACCAAATAGCACACTAGTGGCTCTGGTTCTCACAGACCTCACTGCTCTGGCTGAGACACATGTCCATCAGAATAATCAGACATTCCTCAGCTAACTGGGATCTCCATGACCTGGTCTCAGGGTGTAGACTCCCATCTTTATTCATCACTGGTGCCTGACAGCCTGGACTACCTCATACACCCTCCCCCCTGCCCTAGGGAGCAAGGAGACCTCCCACCGGCCGCACTGTGTCAGTGCCCCAGCCATCTGTCGGGATCTCCATTGACTCAGCTCCGCTGGACTCACAGGGCCCAGGGAGCTGGACTGGTCAAGGGCAGTCAGGGCTGCAGAGAACAGGGATGCCCAAGAGAGGAAGGGGTGGTGCTCCCACCCTCCTCGCTCTCAGAATGTTCTCCCCATCAATGCTTTAAGATATCAGAACAGAATGATATCTAATTAGAATCACTGTTGAATACTAAGTATAATAGAAAGTTTTGGAAATGTTTTGGTCTGAATAGGAAAAAACTAACACAGAAGACCTAACTATTCATCCTCTCAAGGTCTGCTTCCAAGGCAGCCCTCAAATGACTCTGGGAGACTGAGGAGGGTCGCCACTGTTCCTCAATAAGAAGGGCTCTCTATGCCTAAACTGTTTCTGCAAACAGTGTGGTTTATGTTGAGCACCTGCCTTCCTCCTGGAAGGCTGGGATTTTGGTACATACTAGGGAAATTGTGCCATGTGACCAGCCCCCAGGGAAAACTGTGGTCAGCCATAAGCCCACGTGTTGTCACAGCTCAACACCAGGGGCATCAGTGCCTCCTGCCCCCTCCTCAAAGAAGCTGCAGCTGAAAAAAAAAAAAAGAAGAAGAAGAAGAAGAAGCTGCAGCCGACTTCCCTGGACTGCACCCTGCCCTATGCAGAATTTGCTCTGTGTCTGTCATTTGTCACAGTTGGGGGTACAACCACACCTGAGGTCCTGGGAGTCCTCCTAGTCAATCACCAAACCCAGGGTACTCTTTGGCAATCCCAAAATGATGATCAAAACTTTCCACAGGCCCAGTGAAAGCTTCTCCAAACTGGAAAATTGGCATCAACGCCTAGATGTTTCCATTAAAGCCTCAGCAGATCTAAGAAGCTATCAGACACACTCAGCTGGAATCACTGAGGAAAAGTCTTAACTGGGAGGTAAAAGAGCTATTTTGGTACATAAAGTGGGCCTGGGCACCCATGAGATTCTGGGTCAGGGATGGCAGCAGAAGAGAGGCTCAGAGAGGAAGGAACACAGGTTCTATCCTATGCTAGGAGGGATGGGGGAGCTCCCATCTAGCTGGTCCACTCCCCAAGAGGACCTCGCCACCGCATCTCTGCTAAGCCCTTCTGATGGTAGGGCAGGGGTGGGGTGCATTGGCCTCTCATCTTATCATTGAGTACTGGGGTCCTGTGTTGATCTGACATAGCTTTCTCCACTAAGTCTGCCTGAAAGCAGCCTTCCTAAAAATCGAACCATCGGGGATTCTCACCCAGGGAGTTTACAGAAACTAAAGGCTGGAGGAGGGTCACGTGAGTTCTGGCAGTGCTGACAACACATGCCTGCTCTCAGCAGTTGTTGGTGGCATCCACTCACCATCCATCTCTACAAGCATCTAGTTCAGTATGTTCTCCTGCTTGCTCTGGCCTCTAAAGTACCCTTGGCCTCACATCCTGCCAACTGCATCAATTTCATCAATGAATAAGATACAAGGAGCATTTTTTTTTTTGAGCCATTGCAAACATGTCATGAAACTGAAATAGCAATCCACAGAGAGTTGGTTTTGTTACTGGTATGAAGACAAAAATGAGTGTGAACCAAAGTCTTTCCTCTGCAACCCAAAGCTTATCTGACATTCGTGGCATCATGCTCTATGCTTGTTGCCAGGGTCCACACAAAACCTGGGGCTGACTCAAGGGCAAGCAGCCACCTACCCTTACTGGCCCAACACCAACAAACATTTTGAAGAGCTCTGACCCACTCACAGTGATGAAAGACACTTTGGTCTCCCCTGCAGTTGCTTTGGCAAGAAGCATTTTGCCAGTACAAGGAGGACCAGTGAGCATGGCTCACTGAAACAGAAAGGGGACTCCTGGACAGATAGAACCCAAAAAGAGTCCCATTTTCTATTTAAACAGGTGGGGCAACCTGGGTGGCTCAGCAGTTTAGCACCACCTTCAGCCCACGGATTGATCCTGGAGACTCGGGATCGAGTCCCACGTCGGGTTCCCTACATGGAGCCTGCTTCTCTCTCTGCCTGTGTCTCTGCCTCTCTGTCTGTGTCTCTCATGAATAAACAAATAAAATTGTTTTAAAAAAAATAATTAAAAAAAAGGTGACTTCTAGGCATCACTACCAAGAATCCCTAAGATGATGCACCATAGTCTGAGGTTTTCTTTTCAATATTTTCTGCTTAGAAAATAAATGCATTCTGACCATAAAGAGTTCAAACACTATAGACATATGAAAGCCCATTCAGCTAAGCAGGTTATTTCTTCATAAAAGCTCCCAGGATGAGGGCTTGCTGGATCAAAGGGTCTGAATGTCTATTTTAAGTTGCTGTCAAATTGCTCTACAAAATAGTGACACCAATTCATACTCCCCCCAATCCCTCAGATCTTAGGCCACAGTCAGTCTGTACAGCTTCACAGCTAGCTGGTCTCAACAACAGAAATGCTGACCTGTGTGCTTCATCTGCTGAACAGGCATTGCCTATCTGTGGTCATTGGCACCATGTCTCCCTGTCTGTGACTTGCCCTTTCCTATCCTGGCTTAAGGTTTAAAATCACCAATTCACATTCTGGTAACACACCTCAATGTTCATTTTATGGATTACCATTACGCCTGAAAATTGAAAAGAGATTTAAAGCAGAGAGCATTGGGACGCCTGGGTGGCTCAGTGGTTAGGCATCTGCCTTTGGCTCAGGGCATAATCCCAGGGTCCTGGGATTGAGTCCCACATTGGGCTCCCCTCAGGGAGCCTGCTTCTCCTTCTACCTATGTTTCTGCCCCTCTCTCTGTGTCTCTCAGGAATAAATAAAATCTTTAAAAAATAAAAAAATAAAGCAGGGAGCATCTATTGTCCCATCTCTAGTGAAGGGTGTAAGTTAGCATCTAATTACCTCAAAGGAGACCATAAGTTTGTTTTTTGTTTAAGTCTTTAAAAACAAAAACAAAATACTCACAAAAAGGTAGGGGAGAGGGAGTCACAAAACTCAAACTCACAAAATGGTGATAGATTCCATGTCTCCATGAACACAGATGTGGGATTCACCGTGGATCCATCACCAGTTGTGTGACCGACCACACACACAGCTAATTCTTCTAGACAAGGAGGCAGTGGAATCCTGGGTACATGTGTCCACATATACTATATAGATCACTTTACTAAGTCATCAAACTTCATACCCAGGAGGAGCTAAAAAGCCATATGGTCCCTGATATCCTTAGCACCACACAGAATGACAGAGGGAGCCCCCAACCCCACCCCAGCCCACAACCAGCCGGGGGGGGGGCAGTCACACTCTAGGTGACCTGCCTGCCCTGCCTACTGTTTATCATACCCACCTTCCCCAGTACGTACAAGCCCCCTGTAGCACCCAACTGTAAAGCCCAGGTGAATGACAACTGGGGTGGGTGCTGGCCAATCTCCAACTGAGAGCCCAAGAACAACCCCTACCTCTGTCTCACATGCAAGTGCACACGCACACACACCTTTCTAGCTAACACTCATCAGACTACAGAACAGAAACGGCACCACCCATCTCTAGTCCCCAGGCTCACAGTGGTCCCTAACTTGTTGCTATTATGCAGAATAAACTCTTCAGTGGCAACCACCCTACAGGGAATAGCTGAAGAAAGCAAGAGCTCCTGCAAGGTCTGTGCACTAAGCACAGTCTACTCTAGGAGCTCTTCAGCTGGTCCATGGTCCAGGGATGACTGAAGGGTCTGTGAGTCAATGTCCTAAGATGCAAATCCTTCTGGGAAAAGGACTCCCAGTTTGTCAGGCCTTCAAAGGGTCCATGACATAGAAAGGGACCAACAGATAGATCCCACAGTCAGAATTACTATAGCTCCATTTCCTCTTATAGAACAGCCTAACCCACACCCACACTACACCTCTATCCCCAACAGGATCAAGGGCTTACCATAAGGCAGTTGTATCTGACCCCAAACCTGTTTATGCAAGTATTTGCTGTTTTAATTATGTAATTTAACATTATGTGAATAAAAAGGGAGCAAAAAAAAGGTTGCTCCTTCAAAAACTAAGTTGAAGGCTTTAGATAATAAAGCAAATAGCTAAAAACAAAACAAAAAACTGTCAAAGTGAGTAGGTGAGAAAACTCCAAGAGTAAGAAAAAAAATCATAAAAATATAGAAGGTTCTCTACTCAGTTTGCTTTGCTTCTAAGTTCTCACTTCATTCAGAGGAACAAACTGTAGACAACAAGAGGTTTTTATGCAGGACACTTAACAGAAGAGTCTGATCACTGGAACTAAATTAGAAGGAAAGACTGCCCTCTAAACGAAAGGGCATGAGCTTGTGCTTTCAGTGACCAAAGACACACATCTCACATGGGTCTGTACTATTCTTAGGGCTCTACAGTCCCACAGTTCAAAAAAGTAAACTCACTGTGGTTTCAATTTGATAAGAGGATCTTCACCATTCTGCCCTGGCAAACGCTACTTTTTCCCGATTAATAAAATATACAATCTGTACAAAAAGCTAAGTGGTCTCATAATGGTCCACACTAAACCATGGTGATCTCTGGCTTGGACCTGGAGTTCAGAGCACTATGATATTTTCTGAAATCAATACCTTTGGGGGACGACTGGGTGGCTCAGCGGTTGAGCATCTGCCTTTGGCTCAGGGAGTGATCCCAAAGTCCCGGGATCAAGTCCCACATCAGGCTCCCTACATGGAGCCTGTTTCTTCTCCCTCTGCCTATGTCTCTGCCTCTCTGTGTGTAACTCTCATGAATAAATTAAAAAAAAAAAAATACCTTCGGAATTCTGTTTCCTAAGTCCTGAAACTGCTTGGGATTCATTCTTCAGGAAATTCACAAATTCCATAATCTCCCAACTTGGCCTCTTTACACCACCTGCATCTGCAAACTATACATCCACATCGTTCTTCAAGATGCTGGTAGTTGTCTCCCCAGCACTGAAGAGGGGGCCACTCCATGCTCGCCACACCCAGCCCCCATTGGGCCTCTCCTCACAGCATAGAGAAGGATGCCCACTAAGAGAAGTGTAGGTGCCAGGCTTCGCAAGCAAGAGCTAGAAGATCCAAGGAAACCATTTTCAGTTCCCTTGAGAGAAGGGCTATGACAAGCAGACTGCTCTGAACTCTAGTTTTGTTATACAAGGAAGTAGTTTTCTTTAAAAATGTGCCAAAGCCTGGGAGCACCTGGATGGTTCAGTCGGCAAAGTGGCTGACTTCACCTCAGGTCGTGATCTCAGGGTCCTGGGATCAGGCCCCAAGTTAGCCCCAAGTCAGGCCAGTCTGCTTGGCCTGTTCCTTCAATCTCTGTCCCTACCACCACTCATGCAGGTGCTCTCTTTCTCTCAAGTAATCTTAAAAAACAAACACAAACATGTCAGAGCCTGGACACAGCATTCAGCCTTCCTCCAGCCCCGAGGTTCTCATCCCACACACATCTATCTATCCAATCTCACCTGGAATTGGCCTGTGGTGTGGGGAGGATGGCCACCCAGCAGACCCAATACAGCCTCCTTACAGCTAAGCCCTACCTAGCCTATTATTTTTTTAAGGCTGACTCGCCAAATGTTTTCCTAATCAATTCTTTCCTCAAAAACAACAGAACAGATTTATTTTTTTACTATTCGTTGTCAATTAGCAGATGCCTACAATATGATCAAAGGAAGCACACTCCAAAACTGGTTAAGCACTGAAACGTTCCGTGTTCGGATCCAGGTGACCCAGACTGGAGCCCCTGCCACTTACCTGTCACTCTCAGTGGTGTAGACCATTGATGCCTGCTTAGGGGGAACGATGCCCAGCTCCCAGTGAACAGTATCCAGGTTCCGCTCAAAGGTGTCAACGGTGCTGCTGTTAAACCACACAAAATTCTGCAGAAACCAAGATGTGAGGGCAGCCTAAGGCTGCCCTTCCCCACAGACACCGCCCCTCTCCCCGGGTGCTCTTCCAGCAAAGCCTGAGTGGAGCCTCTGTCCTGACCCCACAAAGCTGCAGGCTTTAGGTTTTGGATAAAAGTATAACAAGCTCCAACAACTTTGTCCTCGTATTGTTCTCCCCTACATCTTGGCTCATGGTTCTCACATCACAGTTTTGAGACAAAACTGAATCAGTTAAGAGTTCTATACACAGGGATTATGTCCTACCTGGAGCACTGCTACTGATACATACCAACATGGTAAATGATCACCTTCACACGGGTTGCTATTGGGTAGTGAAACCAGGAGAGGCATTCTTCTGAAAAAACAAAAAATTACACATTACATGGAAAAAAAAACCCCAAAAGCCTATGGCAGAAATATTCAGCCTTGAACTACCCCTCACCTCAGACACCATCCCAGCGCCAGGGATGGATCACACACACACCAACTGTTAACGACTTCCAGCCAGTCCACCTACGAAAAAAAGATACCAGAACAGCAGAGATAACACAGAGGGCTTTCGGCAACAAACCACAGGCCTCCATGCCCAGTCACGTTCTACAAGCATAGACTTCAGCTCTATCTCAGCCTACACTCTGCAGAACAGATCTGTTTTGTTTTCCTATTAACCTGAACACTTTTAGCATGGGGTATGAACCTATTTCCATTTTAATAAACAGAAACCAATTCAGGAACTGAATTTTATTCCAATTCAGGAATTAAAATCTGGTATATCTAGACATTAAGATTGCACACTGTCTTAAAAATCCAAAAGACAGGGATGCCTGGGTGGCTCAGCGGTTGAACGTCTGCCTTTGGCTAGGGGCATGGTCCCAGGATCGAGTCCCACATCAGGATCCCTACATGGAGCCTACTTCTCTGTCTCTCATGAATAAATAAATAAAATCTTAAAAAAAAAAATCCAAAAAGGCAGGGACACTAGGGTGGCTGAGTCGATGAAGCGTCTGCCTTCAGCTCCAGACATGATTCCAGGGTCCTGGGATGGAATCCTGCATTAGGTTTCCTGCCTGCTTCTCCCTTTCCCTCTGACCCTCCCCACACACTGCTGGTGCACTCTAGCTAGTGCACTCAAATAAATAACATATTGAAAGAAACGAAACGAAACAAAACTGAACATCTCAGCTTCTCTTCTGCAAAAGAATCCCCAGATGGCAAGACTCCAACAACTCTCACGTTAATGAGACAAGAGCTGGGGGCATCCTCACAGCTTCTATCATGTTCTAATCTCTTGTTTTCTGGATCACAGCCCAGGTGATCTGTCTTATTTTTTCCAACACAGTCCACTATCTCCTGGGTGTACAGCTCAACATAGGGAAGCCAGAGATACAGGGTATGAAGGAGCACACATCGATGCATTCAAAACAGGAAAGGAAGGGCCACAGTAAACACTCAAACTTACTTAGTGCAGGATGGCGAGTTCCTTCTTTATACTTTTATTTATTTCCCAAATATTTTGTTAAAGATTTATTTATTTATTCATGAGAGACACAGAGAGGCAGAGACATAGGCAAAGGGAGAAGCAGCCTCCCTGCAAAGAGCCTGATGTGGGACTCGATCCAGGGACCCGGGAGCCAAAGACAGAGCCAAAGACAAATGCTTAACCGCTGACCACCCAGGCGTCCCAGCTAAGCTATTTTAAAACAAAGATTGCTACTTAAGTTTCAAGATATTGTAGCTTTTTATTCCCAAATAAGACCCTAACAAAAGGCTATCTGTTCCAGGCCATGGACTTGGAAATGCATCAAGGGCTCAGGAGTGGCTGCACTCAAGTTTACGTATTTCTGGGACACCCTAAGATGTCATCAAGTGATCTCCCAACAACTCAGGAGGGGGCCAGGAGACAGTGCAGCATTCATGAAAGTTCCCTAAGTGCATTGAATCAGGTGCTTGGTCTGAGCCAGGGAAGAGTCTGCCAACACTGTGTCCCACAGGGACCAAGCACAGAGCCGCATGAGGTAAGACAGGGACGGAACGCTTCATCCTTCAGGGCTCCTCCAGGCTATGCTTTAAAACAAACAGACCTCAAGGGGACTCTGGAATCTGTCCAGAATGCAGACACAGGAGGATCCCTGTCTTACCCTTTCCCTCTCCTTCAGAAGGCAGGTCCTCGGGAGACAAGGCTGGCAGCTGCCATTCCCCTTCCCTGTAGTGAGCAAGGGCCTCTCTGAGGACAGACATGTGGGCAGAAAACAAAGGCCTCAGCCATAGACCCTGGTGGGAAACCATGGGTTTCTACAAACATCATCATATAGAAGGAAGCCCAGATCTTAACAGTATGCTACCTAGGGTAACAGGCAAACAGGGAGCAAGTCCTCTGCTCCTATAGGAGTTTACACTCAAGCCTGAGGAACACTTCTCGCAACTTCAACTACTCACAAGGACAAGCCAGGAAGGCCCTGTCAGCACAACATAGGGCCTGATATTGATGGTTCTGCCCTGCTCAGGGTCAGCCAGCAGGGTGGGACTACATTAGGAGGAAAACTTTAAGTCAGATATCAGATTAGAATTTAAAGATAAAGGGCAGCCTGGGTGGCTCAGTGGTTTAGCACCACCTTCAGTCAAGGGCCTGATCCTGGAGTCCTGGGATCGAGTCCCATGTCAGGCTCCCTGCATGGAGCCTGCTTCTCCCTCTGCCTGTGTCTCTGCCTATCCCTCCCTCTCTCTCTGTATGTCTCTCATGAATAAATAAATAAAATCTTAAAAAATAATAATAATAAAGATAAATAAACAGAGCTAAGCCTTAAAAGAAAAAATCTAATGAATATTAAAGTTAAGCCATGATACTAATGGGATGCTCACTCAGCAAGAAAGTGAGCATGACCATGACCACGTTTACTAGAAAAAGTAAAACTGTGTCTTATCCGTATCCCAAGGTTGGGACTGCTAAGGATCTAAGCTTGCAGACCACATGCATGGGCACATCATCACATGTACCAGCTCCCTCCGGGGTAGACATATTATAAATTTTCATCCCTAGACCTCTCACCAGGTAATACTATGCCAAGTGCTTCCAGGTGATTTCCTTCCCAGAATCTCAAAAATAGAAGTAAGAAAACCCCATGCCAACACCTGCTCCCAAAGCAGCCAGATTGTGGACACCTTTGTCATCCCAAGGGAACTCCCTCTGTGGGAGAAGAGAACACATTTTTTGGTTGAATAAGGTTAAATATGGTTCCTTTATCAAACAGTGATTTCCTTTTTCAGATATTATGAAAGACATCATCTCTCCAAATGCTCCCTCCTCACATTCCACCATGCGGCCTCTGTGTGTGGTGAAACCAAAGCCAGTCCTTGGGAGGAAAGGCGTCCACGTGATATATATGAATACATCAAAAGCAGCTGCTCACCAGACCACCCAGTCACCAGACCACCCAGGAGAAGCAGAATACCCTCAAAGAGCCCACATTTATGGGGTTATCTCTTATCGCCATATTTTTTAAGTTGAATTCATTTCTTAGGATCTTCGAATCAGCTTGCTCCAAACCAAGTAGGACCTTGGGGAAGTGACAGGTTGACTGGGTCTGGTCCTCAGATGTCCACAAACCTTCTGTATCTGTCTCAACCAGGCAAAGTCTCTCTGCTTTCCCCTCTCTTGCCTCCATCTGCTCCAGGTCCAGCATTCTTTTGGCTCACCAGTTCCTAAGAGAAAACAAAGTCTGACCTGAGAAAACAGTAATTACAACTTCCCAGAAAAAGAGGATTCAGAGAACAGAAAAATGCTTCCCAACATACACTTTCCTACTACTGGAGTCTTCTGAGGTAAAGAGGGGGCAGGAAAGAAAGAGGCTGAAACATAGCATCACCTCACCCTGCAGGGTAGGAGGAAAGCCTGCTGTGCCCTTCTCAGGTCACGGCACAGCTCAGAGTGGTGGAGACTGCCAGACCATCTCAACCCAGACATTCCCAGACATGAAGAAAATTTAAAACAATTAAATCTCCACAAAATCACCAGCAACTGGTATATACATGCCAGGCATGACCCAGGAAGCATTACTTTTACATAGCTGGCATTTAACTTTGTACACTCTTACTTCTGATGCAGTCAAATGCTCTGCCCTGCATAACTCACCCTTTTGGAGGAAAAAACAGATACCACTGAGAAGTAGCTTCCGATACATGTAAAATTCTTCAAATTTCACCTTTCTGGCTTGAAACCTGAGCCTACTAGCAAATCTTCTTTTCCTGTTATAGAACGAGCACCTTTCCATGCCAGTAAATGGGGCAAAGGAAGGAAGCAACCAATGAGACAGGCTGACACAGGTGGACTATCTACAAAAGTTCAGCTTCCCAAGAAAACCATAATGCATGTCACCCACTCTTGGGCATGATCCCCCCTTGTCCTTAGAATATTGTGACCCATAGACTAGATGACTGAATCCAGCCCCATAAACACCCTTGAAGACCCCAACCCCACTCTTCTGTCAGGTGCAAAATATGTATGGGAGGAGATGGGTCTGATTCAGGACATGTCCACCTAGGATTAAATGGCCCATTTCCTCCAAGTATAATCTGAGGATCAGGAGGCTTGAACAGTCCTAGAAAGCTGTACATATCCAAAGAAAAACTCTCCCCTCCCCATGTAACTATCTCAAGTGCATTTCCAGTTAAAATTTCTAAGAGGTGCTTTTTAGCACATACAAAAATGACAAGGGGAGGAACGAAAGCGAGTAATTGTTATCACGGTTTCTACCAGGCATTTAGCTTTGTTTGACCACTGTGATATTCCATTTCTAGGAAGTATACATTTGGCCCTCCTGGTCCAGACCTCCAATAGCCCTTGGAATTCCCTAGGTAGTAAAGGGACCTTTTGTCCTTATTCATAACAAAACTCTTTCAACCACATTTGAGTTTTGTGTTAATGAGGTGACTTTTGGAAAACCTCTAAGGATGGAGGCCGGTTGCCAGGAGAACCAAGTAATTAGAGGGTTAGAACTTTCATCACCACTCCTAACATCAGGGCAGGGGAAAGGAGGGGGCTGGAGGCCGAATTAATGACCAATCATCAATGATTTAATCAATCATGCCTATACAACGAAGCCTCCATATAAATCCAAAAGAACAAGGTTTGGAGCGCTTCTAGGCTGGTGGACAAGAATGCACTCACATTCTATGCCAAACTTCAAGAGGACAAAAGGTCCTATACTGAGGACCCTTCCAGACCTCACCCTTCACATTTCTTCATCTGGCTGTTTGTTCATATCCTTTAATAATATCCTTTGTAATAAATTGATAATTTAGTGAGTACATTGGTTTCCTGCGTTCTATGAGTCGCTCTAGCAAATCAGTTGAACTCAAGGAGACGGGGTTGTGGGAACCACCAATTTACAGCTGGACAGAAGCACAGGTGACACCCTGGACATGGAACTGGCATCTGAAGAGAGGGTATGGGGGAATGGGGGAGTGGAGGCAGTCTTTCAGGATAGAGTGGGTCTGTGGAATCTGATGCTAATTCCAGGTATATAGTGTCAGAACTGGGTTAAACTATGGGACACCCTGCTGGAGTCCCAGAAATGCATGGCAGGGAAACCACCCCTCCCCCACCCTCACCCCCACCGCAGCACATATATACATTAATGACCAGAAATGGAGTACTGAGTGTGGAAGATACAAACAAGATTTCCATATGAATCTAGGAAACTAACTCAAAACTTGGGGGAAAAAATTGCTCCCTTGAATAAGGAAAATGTGGTCTCATAGAGGCTTTTGAGGCAGTGATCCATCCATGGCCATGTTTCTCCAAAGTCAGTCAACAACAGCAAATGGAAGGGGCTGAGCAAGAAGCCCAGCAAGTCCTAGGACCAACAAGCCATAGTCCTCTCCCTTCACGTGCATGCCATTCCAACAACCCAAACAAAAGCCATGGAAGCTCAAAGGTCTAGGTGACCCAGGAAGGGACAAAAATATTACAGGAGAGTGGAAATCTACATAAGCTTTGCAGAAGAACTGTTCTATTGTAGTGAGGCATGTAAACAAATCTCCTAACACACTTCTATGGGCCTCTTCCTATTCCTTGCTTGGACATTTCATAGAAGAAACACACCTGATAAATACTCACTTCACCAGTCCATATTAACAAACTGTGAGGCAGAAGATGGCCATGACAAGCAGAGGAAAGAGGATGCCAACACCACATACACACTGGCCTGCCTGCTGTCACCACCCAAGGAGACTAACCCCAAAAGTAGTGAATGTCTAAAAAACGTAAAACTTTGAAAGTCTGATTTGTCAAATGGACCTTAGCACCTCTTCTTAGAGTTATTGGTTTTTCTAAGTCTCTGTTTCTTCTACTCTTTTTGTTTGTTTGTTTGTTTGTTTCTTCTACTCTTAAAGAATTTCTCAAACCCTTAAGGACAAAATGATGAGGCTCTAGCACTGTAAAGGCACACATCACATGCACATAAGCAGCCATACTGTCAGATCAGGAAAGAGAGTAAGAGAGAAACCAGTTTTCTTTCCTGACTTCATGCTTTGTGCAAACAACATATACTTACAAGCCTCATCACAGAGTCTCCAAAGAGAGAGAGAGAAGTGAGCACACTCCTAAATTCTGCTATGAGGGGCAGATGTGCTTCAAGCTAAGTGCATCCTGCACATCATCCGTGTTCTGCTTTCCAAACATGAGGCTCAGCTTGGCTTGCATTCAAATGTTTAGAAACACAGATTCACCTAGAAACCTCCTTCTGAAAGAGTTTCTCTTCCACAGTCATATCAAAACCATAAGACGTGGAGATGGTGGTGTAGTGATCCAGAAATGGGAAGCTTAAAGTGTGGCTCAAAATGGAAGGCAAACAAGGGGGATGCATAGGGCATCCTGAGTCAACACACACCCTGTCCCCTGGTTCCCCTGCTATGGGGGAAACACTGAGGAAGGCTCACTCAGTTCCAGTGACCATTATGCTAATGAATGTAGGAAAAAAATACCTACCTTTGGGTGGTTTTGAACATAGCCACTGAGAAAATGATGTCTGTCTTCCCCAGAAGAGCCAGCAGCTGAATGCAATCCCCTGGAGGCACTGAAAGGGGAGAGAGGATTAGCCTTTTCTGCAATTTGATGGGGCGTTTTCTTTTTTTTTTTTTTTTTTTTTTATTTTTCTTTTTTTTTTTTTTTTTTTGATGGGGCGTTTTCTTATAGCAGTATTAGAGGTGGGAAGGGACAAGGATATGGCCTGAAGTGTAAACTTGCTGCCTTTACTTACCCGCTTAAACATCCCATTAAAATATGATTCAAAAAGGACAAACGGGAACTAAATTCACCGCAGAAATTCATAGAGTTTTTACAGCTATTGCTGTCAATACCTCCCCTCCTCCAATTCTACAACCATTTTTTGCCTGAGGCAATTTTGGTCACTGAAACTACTACAGCCTCAAAAACAAACATGATTCTAAGATTAAGTCATGTAAAATTTCAAAACCAAACAATACTATAATTTATCTTTGATCAGCCAAAGAAGGCAAGCACTTTTCCAGATCCAGTATTTTCTTCAATCCTCGAAGAAGAAAATGCCGTTTTTTTCCCCATAAGCTAACAATATTTAACACCAGTTAAGGACAGAGCAAGTTAGGTTTTTCACTGTTATGGGTCAAAAGCCGTTAGAACGAAAACAAACAAAAGAAAGGGGCACCTTAAGGGGCTGGCTTAGTTGGATAAGCATCCAACTCTTATATTCGGCTCATGATCTCAGGGTCTTGGGACTGAGTCTTGCATCTGTGCTCAGCAGAGTCTGCTTGAGATTCTCTCTCCTCTGCCTCTGCCCCTCCTCCCACTCATTCTCTAAATAAATTCATTCATTCATTCTGGGGGGAAAAAAAAAACGGAGAAACAAAATACAAACAAAACAGGGAAGCTCAGAAAGGAAACGCAGGGATCCCTGGGTGGCGCAGCGGTATGGCGCCTGTCTTTGGACCGGGGCGCGATCCTGGAGACCCGGGATCGAATCCCACGTCGGGCTCCCGGTGCATGGAGCCTGCTTCTCCCTCTGCCTGTGTCTCTGCCTCTCTCTCTCTGTGACTATCATAAATAAATAAAAATCTAAAAAAAAGGATTTAAAGAAAGGAAATGCAGTCAGTAAGGGTCATGAGGATCCTAGAACTTCTGCACCGTAAATGAAACTTCCCTGCTGCAACATGTCACCCTGTATAACAGGACCAGAGCCTGATGTGGAAGGAATTATAAAACCATGAAGACATCATGAAGGCGTGTTCCTATAACAGGAAATCTAGACTAAGATGAAGAGCGGGGGGAGGGGGGGTGCACCAGCTGAGTGGATGCTCCTCTGTCACCTCCTCCAATCCTCACCATCTGTCCTAAGAAGGTAGGTGTTACTATGCTCACTGCAAAGGTGGAGAAGTTTAGAGAGCTGAGAGCCTGAAGTAACACAAGTGGGAGCTGGAGGTGTCTGAGGAAAAACCTAACCTCCCAAGGTTTCTGCAGCACCACCCCAGAGAAGGCAGTGCTCGTGGCCTACAGTCTTAGAGGTGCTAAGTACTGCTGTTCAGGCCTCCGAAACTTGATAAAACATCCAATTCTCTTATTTCAATTTATGACTTAATCCTTTTCTGATCTGGGTTAGCAAACCACATCAGGTCAGATGCAGCACTCCAAGACAGTCTACCATCTGTTCTGGTGTTTGGTTTAGATGAGTTTTTTAAATTGGTCTTTGCATATGAAAGCCAAGATGTGAGGTTGGTCACAGCAAGATTCCCTTCAACAGGCAAAGTGCCACCCTCCTTTTCTTCCAGTCTGATTATCAATCAGGTTATCCTGGGGTCTCAAATTCACACAAATGCAAATCCACCAGGCACTGGCTATTCAATCTGCTGGCAAGATTGAATCTACTCCAAACACTCACTTCCTCCAGCACTCAACTATCCCACCTAAAATAACTGGCATATATCCTTCTCCATTCCCTTCTCTTCATTTTCTACTTCCCTTGTTCTGCTTCCTTTTCCTTCACCCTCATAGAACCACCTAATGTGCCATGACTTGTTTGTTGTCTCATTCTCCTCTTGCACAGCAGGGATAGCGTAGCAAGATCACCAAATGAGAAAATAACTGCAGGGAAGCTTCCAGAACATAAGCTTCCCTTGAGGAGTGTTAACCGCTAGGGTACATCTTTTAACTATAAAGCAGATTTATGACAGCTTCTCCAGCTTTTGCAAGCCCCCCCTCAGCTTATAAATACAAGAGAGCAGCCCACAGGGGAGAGCTCTTGCCTGTCCTGTTCACCATGATATCGCCAGCTTGTTGATTCTCAACAGATGAATGACTCAGTCTGGGGGAAAAAAAAAAAAAAAAACTCAAAGATCATCCAAGTTCCTTCATAATTAAAACCAGAGGCCCATGGAAGTTCAGTGACTGCTGTACCATCTGACTTCCACCGTGTGTTAACAACCAGAACAGCCTTCTGCAAAGCTGAGGTGCCACAGGTGAAAGGCTCTGTTTTCATCCATATTTCTAGAAACAAAACTGACTGGCACCATCTCCAAAATGAAAAGGGATGAAAGGGAAAAGTTCCTTACTGAAGACAAGACAGAAAATGAATCCATAGAATCCTGCCTCTTTCACTACTGTCTGAAAACAAAGGTATATTTCTTGGATCAAAATTCAGAAACTCCACATTTGTGCAGCAGAAAAAAATTAAGGCAATGGGATCACTGCATCCTGGGATGTATCAATCAATACAGAAACAGTACAGGGGCACCTGGGTGGCTCAGGTCAGAATCTCACCCGTCCTGAGATGGAGCCCTGACTCACCCTGCCCGCTCAGCTGGGAGTCCGCTTGAAGATTATCTCCCTCTGCCTCTCCCCTTGCTGTACTCTCTCTAAAATAAGTACATCTCAAAAAAAAAAAAAAAAAAGGAAAAAATAGAACCATAAAACGTGGGATTCTATTTCATAGTATCTAACCCCAGGAAAGGTCTACAACACATAAGAATAAATAAATATTAAAAAAAAAAAAAAACAAATAGGGATCCCTGGGTGGCGCAGCGGTTTGGCGCCTGCCTTTGGCCCAGGGCGCGATCCTGGAGACCCGGGATCGAATCCCACGTCGGGCTCCGGGTGCATGGGGCCTGCTTCTCCCTCTGCCTGTGTCTCTGCCTCTCTCTCTCTCTCTCTCTGTGACTATCATAAATAAATAAATAAATATTAAAAAAAAATACAACACATAAGTATTTAAAAGTGAAGGCACTGGAGCACGACGGACCAGAACTGCAAGGTGAGGGACGTCCCTGGCCAGTTCTGGACTTACATTTCCTTTCCTATAAAACAGGGCTATAGCAGCGCTTTCCTGCAGGACAGTTTTAAGACTTAAAAAGAGACAATTCTTGTAAAGCCCTTGGCACGGAAGCCCTCAGGCAGTATCCGCGGTTAGGAGAGTGGTGGGGAAGCGAGGTCCACAAACGAAAGCCGCGTCAGAGATCCCCGTCCGTTATCAGATGTGGCCCGGGCTTGCGGCCGAACACCAGGCACCCGAGAACACACGGCGGGCGGCAGGCGCAGGGCGACTCGGACCAGGCGCTCAGTGCGGGGCTCTGCGGAGAGCGGGGAAAGGAGGCAAGAAAGGGGGCCCGCACCGCGCAGGGCACGGGAGGCCGACGGGAGAAGAGCAGGGACTCGGGGGCGGGGGGCCGCGCACCGTGTCCCCGGGCCGCCCGGCGGAGAGGGGATGCACCCCCGGCCCCTACCGCGCGACAGCCGGCGCACCCGGATGGCGTCATCGCGGCGCCGAGCGCAGCCCCCGCCCCCGCCGCCCGACACCCGCAGGCAGAACCTCCCCGCTCACCTGCCGGGCTGTTCCGAGGGCGCTCGCGCCTGTCCTGGCCGTCCTGCCGCCTCCCGGGCCACCGCCGCATCTCCGGAGCACGACCAGCGGCCCTGGCGCCGCCACCAGCCGATGAGACACTCCCGGCCCCAGACCTCACGCAGCTCTGGCGCTCGGGCGCGCGCACGCGCAAAATAACGACAAACCCTTCCTAGTGGCGCCACACCCCCGAGGGGGTCCCCGAGGGGGTCCCCGCGGGCTCCGGCGGCGTCGCGCGTGCGCAGTACGGACGCGGCGCGGGCTGGGGACCGCTCTGGGACTATCCGCCGCAGCCTCGGACTTTTTAGGGATCGGAACGCGCGCGCGGTCTTCCCTACAGCACAGAACCCCCGGCGGCCGCCGCGGGCTAGATGCCGCGAGGACACCCAGCGCCTCTACACCTCCTTTAAGTCGGGCACCTCCAAGGACACATCTCCCGGGTCCTCCAAGGGAAGCGGCTCACGGAAGTGCTCCGTCCCCCGCCCCAACCGGCCGCCCCGCCCGGACGCCACCCCCCTCCGCCCGCCGGCTGCGGTGCCCCTCAGGAGCCGCCCCCCGGCGGAACTGCCGCTTTCCTGCCCCTCCTCCACAAAGACACCGACTCGGCGTGTGCTCTGCAGCGTTGTTGCCCCTTCACGGGGCTTTGTTGTTTTTCTGGATCACGGCGACCCACGCCGGTTTTAATGTCCCTGCAGATGTGCTGTCGGAGATTGGAAACTCTGACATCAGAGGCCCATGCTGTCTGCTTTCGAATCGGGAATAAGCCACCGTTTCTGAGAAAGGGGGCCAGGACGGCCTTTGGTGACCTTCTCACGTCTCCTGCCTGCGCCTGCCGGCAGCCCCGGTTTCTCTCCCAGGTTTTGCAGGGGAGCATAGAGTAGCTACGCGCCTTCTTGCACGTGAGACTGCTGTGATTTTATTACAGCTTGGAGGCAAAGATGCCTGGGAAAAGGTCCCTAAATGCATCGGTCATCCCAGGTACCAAAAGGGAACGGAAAGCAATTACCCTCGACCTAAAATTGGAAGTGTTAAGACGATTTGAAGTGGGTGAAAAGCTCAGCCAGATCGCAAAAGCCTTAGGCCTTGCTGTCTCGACGGTAGCCACAATCCGAGATAATAAAGAAAAAATCAAAGCGAACTCACAAATAGCTACTCCCTTGAGAGCCTCTCGGTTGACACGCCATCGAAGTGCACTCATGGAGACCATGGAGCGCCTGCTGCACGTGTGGCTTGAAGACCAGAGCCAGAGGAATGTGCCCCTGAGTGTCACCATTATACAGGAGAAGGCTAAGAGTTTGTTTGATGACTTACAGCGTGAAAGAGGTGGAAGCTCTCAAACAGAAAAGTTTAGTGCAAGCAAAGGGTGGTTTGTGAGATTCAAGGAGCGCCATTGTCTGCTCCACTTCAAGATGAACAGTGCAGCTCCTGGAAACAAGGATGTATATCCAGAAATGCTGAGAAGCATCATTGAAGAAGGTGAGTACACCTCTCAGCAAGTTTTTAATGTAGATGAGACAGGGCTTTATTGGAAGAGAATGCCAGAGGGAATGTTTATTTCTATGGAAGAGAAAGCTAAGCCAGGCTTTAAATCTTCCAAAGATCGCTTGATGCTGCTTCTTGGTGGCAATGCAGCTGGGGACTTTAAGCTGAAACCCTTATTGGTGTACCACTTGGAAAATCCCAAGGCTCTGAAAGGGTACTCCAAGCCCAATTTGCCTGTGATTTGGCGGTCAAACAAAAAGGCGTGGGTGACCAGGAGCATCTTTCAGGAATGGTTCACATACTTTTTTTGCCCTGCTGTTGAAAAATACTGTGCCCAAAATAATCTCACCAATAAAGCATTGCTCATCCTAGACAATGCACCATGCCACCCAGTAAATTTGAGTGATCTGTCTGATAATGTAAGAGTGGAATATCTTCATGACAGTACAGCTGACTCAATCCAGCCCATGGGTCAAGGCATAGCCTCTACCTTCAAAGCTCATTACTTGAGAAGAACCTTTGAGCACATCCTAGAAGCAACAGATGGAGAAGATACAGCCACGATCAGGGAGTTTTGGAGTAAGTACAGTATCTTGGATGCCATAGACAACATTGCAGTAGCTTGGGAGGAGCTCAGACCAGCAACAATGAACAGTGTGTGGAAGAAGATTTGGCCTGAGTGTGTTCAGTTCCATAGTGTTTCCCAAACAGATGACATTGCACAGCTTCAACAAAACATTGTGACCCTCGCCAAGAATGTGGCTTTTGAAGAGGTTGTAGAAGCTGATGTGGACCAGTTGCTGAGGTCCCACGAGGAAGATCTTTCAAATGAGGAGCTGATGCAACTGGAACAGGAGCCTAAAGGAGAGGAGGAGAGTGAAGATGTTCCACCTGCCCTGCGCCAACTAACCACAGGAGAGCTGTCAACAGCCTTCTCACATTTCGAGGCAGGTTTGCAAGTCCTTACCAGTAATAGCCCCAATGAGGAATGGAAAATGCAAGTTTCGAGAGCAATCAATGATGCAATAAACTGCTACAGGGAACTGTACAAGGAGAAAAAGCGGCGCTCAAAGCAACTCTCTTAGCGGCGCTCAAAGCAACTCTCTTTTTCAGTGTGTGTAACCAAACATTCATCAAAATAAAGCTGGAAGTAAAAAAGATGACCTCAAGGGATGAGGCCCAGCCAAGCCTCTCTATTTCCAGGTGCTTCACATCCCTGGAAACTGTTTCTGGTATTTTCATTTTGACACTTGAGAGTATCAAATTTTGTCATTAAAATTTCAATTAAATATGTGTTTTAGAATATTTGCATGCAGGCATACCCAGGAAGATTTATTTTTTTTTAAGATTTTATTTATTTATTCATAGAGACCCAGAGAGAGAGAGAGAGACAGAGACACAGTCAGAGGGAGAAGCAGGCTCCATGCCCGGAGCCCGACATGGGACTCCATCCTGGGTCTCCAGGATCACACCCCAGGCTGCAGGCAGCGCCAAACCACTGCACCACCGGGGCTGCCCGGAAAATTTCTTTAAAAGGAGAAAACTGTAAGGAGGAGACTAGTTCATCTAGACATTAAAACAAACTATAAAACTGCTGTGATTAAATCAGTGCAGTAGTCAGACCTGTAGAATAAGATAGAAAGCCCAGAATTTTTTTTTAGTGGTGCAAGATAACTGGTTAATCATTTAGAAAAAGGTAAAATTAGATTCATGCTTCATAGGATACATAAGAATAAACAAACAGGTCAGGGACCCAAAAGTAAACTTTGAAGCCATACAAATACTACAAAACACATAGATGAACACCTCTTTGATCTGGTTGCTGGGAAATTTTCTGACACAAAACCCAGATGAAATTTTAAAAAGTTAATCAATTTGACTGCATTAAAATGTAACAAAAGAACTTTTTCCTTGGGGGAATATCACTACAAATAAGGTCAAAAGAAATTGACAAACTGGAAGAAAATATTTGCAACATCTCACAGATAATGGGCTAATACCCCAGATAGGTGAAGAGCTCTTAGGATTAAGAAGAGAAAGGGCAGCCCAGGTGGCTCAGCGGTTTAGCGCCACCTTCAGCCAGGGCGTGATCCTGGAGACCCAGGATCCAGTCCCGTGTCGAGCTCCCTGCATGGAGCCTGCTTCTCTCTGCCCCACCCCACCACCACCGCCCCCGTCATAAATAAATAAAATCTTTTAAAAAGGATTAATAAAAAAATACCAAGAGAAAAGGACAAAGGATATAATTCGTAAATAAATACCTTAGAACCTGAAAAGATGCTCAGCCTCATTCATAATTAGAGAAATGCAAATTAAAGCTACACAGAGGGATCCCTGGGTGTGATCCTGGAGTCCTGAGATCAAGTCCCACATGGGGTCCCTGCATGTGTCTTCTCCCTCTGCCTCTCTCCCTCTCTCCCTCTCTGTCATGAATAAATAAAGTCTTTTTAAAAAAAAAAAAAGCTACACAGATAACGTCTCACTAATGAGATTGGCAAATAATCAGAAAGTGTGACTACACATTCTGTTAGTGAAGCTCTAGGGTAACAAGCACCTCATACATTGCTGATAGGAATGCAAATTGGTACAACCCTTATGGAGGGGCACTAGATACTCATAATAAAAAATAGATTCCTTTTGATCTAACAATCCCACTTTTAGGATTGTACCCTGAAGATACTCCTCCAACAAAAGAAAATACATGTGTACAGATCATTTGTGCATCCTTGTTTGTAATTGCAAAAGTGAGGAGACAGCCTGAATATTCATCTATAGAAGAGTGTTCAAATATGAAATGGCTATTATGCACAATGGACTATATAATCTAGATGTAAATGATGATGACAGTAATAAAAGAGGAAGAACTGATGGGGAATGGTTTCCAGGGTATACTATTGAAAAAAGCAACATGCAAAAGAACAGTATGCTGCCATTTTTGTGGAAGAAAGAATGGGAAGGGGAATCCCTGGGTGGCTCAGTGGTTTAACGCCTGCCTTTGGCCCAGGGCTTGATCCTGGAGTCCCAGGATCGAGTCCCACATCAGGCTCCCTGCATGGAGCCTGCTTCTCCCTCTGCCTGTGTCTCTGCCTCTCTCTCTCTCTCTCTGTGTCTTTCATGAATAAATAAATAAATAAAATCTTTAAAAAAAAAAGAATGGGGAAAAGGAAATAAGAAAATATATATGTATCTTACTCATTTTTGCAAAAAGAAACACAGGAAAGAGAAGCAAGAGACTAAAGAGATTGGTTTCCCAGTAGGGGAGAGGAGTGAAAAGGAGAAAGGAATAGGAGGAGGTGTGGAGGAAGATATTTGACAGGCCTTTTTTAAAGTTTTGTTGTTATTTTTAAGATTTTCTTTTTAGGGATCCCTGGGTGGCACAGCGGTTTGGCGCCTGCCTTTGGCCTAGGGCGCGATCCTGGAGACCCAGGATCGAATCCCACGTCGGGCTCCCGGTGCATGGAGCCTGCTTCTCCTTCTGCCTATGTCTCTGCCTCTTTCTCTTTCTCTCTCTCTCTGTGTGACTATCATAAATAAATAAAAATTAAAAAAAAAAAGATTTTCTTTTTAAGGGGCACCTAGGTGATTCAGTTGGTTAAGTGTCTGCCTTCGGTTCCAGTCATGGTCCTGGGATCCTGGGTTTGGGCCCTGTGTCCGGTTCCCTGCTCAATAGGGAGCCTACCTCTCCCACTCCCTCTATCCCTCTCCCCGTCTTGTGCTCTCTCTCAAATAAATAAATGGAGAAAATCTTAAAAAAAAAAAAAAAAAAAAAAAAGAGCCCCAATGGCTCAGCAGTTTAGCGCTGCCTTCAGCCCAGGGCCTGATCCTGGAGACCCAGGATCCAGTCCCGCGTTGAGCTCCCTTCATGGAGCCTGCTCCTTCCTCTGCCTGTGTCTCTGCCTCTCTCTCTCTCTCTCTCTCTCTGTGTGTGTGTGTGTCTCATGAATAAATAAATCTTTAAAAAAAAAGATTTTATTTTTAGGTAATCTCTACATTCAATGAGGGACTTGAACTCAAAACCCTAAGATCAGAGTCGTATGTTCTACCAACTGAGTCAGCTATGCACCCTGGCCTTTGGTAAAGTTCTGGCATTGGGAACCATGTTAATATATCACAAAAATAAAAAAGAGAAATAAGCCAAAATGGAGTATATGAATGGAACCATATTTCACAGATACCACACACCCACAGTGACAAGGAAGAAACATCGAAGTCCATTTTGACACTTGAGTTTTGATTGTATGCCCTCAAGCTGATGACAAAAAAGAACTCTAGACAATTATTAAACTCTAGTTACTAAGCTGCTTTTACACAGAGGCATAGGTTAGCGATGCGGAAGGTACTTTCTGTGTGTCTAGGATTGAGCAAATGTTTATGGAAATAGAGCCAGGTTTCTGTCAGGAAGGGAATTACAAATATGCAAAAGGGAAAGAACCTTGTGGTGTTGCTTTGAAATTGGAAATATCAATGTGAACTCATGGTTTTTAAGATGTTTCTGGAGAGTCAGATACTGTTTTCTAGCTTTCTATTAAAAGGACCTAGAAGCAGTAACAGCCCACTAGTAATGAGCACACCACACGACCATATCTGGTATCTGAATACCATTCTCCACTAACAGGTATTAGGGCTCCTTGAAGAAATGGACAGTTTCAGGACTAGGACTGGGAAAGTGCAAGAGAAACCAAGAACAGTTTTGTATGCTAGAAGGTAAACAGTGCTTAAAGAATGACAGGAACATGTCAAAAGGACACAGGAGACTAGTGGATCAAAGCCAGCACCTCCAGGAAAGGGACAGATGATGCACTGAGGACACAGCATCACTTTTAGGGAATTCCCACCCAAAGTACAAAGCCTGAATCCTATCAGAAAAATCCACATTCAAGGATATCCTTCAATTAGCTTGTGTTTTTTTTAAAGGTGTCCATATCATGCACCCTTCCAAATTAAAGACAGCTAAATATTCATAGCAGCTGACTGGTAAAATCTGAATAAGTTTTGTTGTAGATTCTATATCATGCCAGTGTTAATTTCCAGTCATAATTGAACTGTGGCCATGGTTCCACCACCACCAAGTATTTAGAGGCAAAGGGGCATCATCTCTGCAACTTACTGCCAAATGGTTCAGAAAAAGAAATATGCATATGCGGAAAAAGAATATAGCAAATGTGGCAAATGTTAATATTTAGGGAATCCAGGAGATGAATAAATGGGAATTTTTTTTTAAGATTTTATTTATTTATTCATAGAGACACAGAGAGAGAGAGGCAGAGAGAGAAGCAGGCTCCACGCAGAGAGCCTGACGTGGGACTCGATCCAGGGTCTCCAGGATCATGCCCTGGGCTGCAGGCGGCACTAAACCACTGCACCACCAGGGCTGCCCAATGGGAATGTTTCTGCAATAATTCTGTAAGCCTGTATTTGTCAAAATATAAATGGTGAAAATATTATTGAATCACCTGAAAGGGAGGGAAAACACACTTCATCTTACATCGAGTATCCAAAGTGTAGCTTTACAGTTATTTGTAGTTGGAGGTATGTGCTCAAACATGCTGGCACCAGGCCCACAAACAGCCCTCCCACATCATCCCTCCACCCCAGCAGAACTCTCTGGTTTCTTTAGACATAGGGTTGCAGTCTGTCAGCCTACCTGAATTGCAACCGGGTGTGGATGACGTATAAAGACACTTTCTAAAGGAGAAGATTCCATATGTTCCCTGGGTCATGGCCCCTTTGAGATCCTGGTCATAACTGTAATCATGATTCTACAAAGAATGTACATATACAGGGGCTTGAATATAATTTGGGAGGGGGGCAGTTATAGTTCTGAAGAACATGGGAATGGTCTTGAGTTGCAGTTAGGGCCCTTTTTTGGATATAGCTTATGAAAGAGGCTGCTAGGAGCTGAACCTGTGACTTGCATGACTAGCCAGTTTCTCGATGATTGCATTGGGTTGATGAGATAATTCTTCCACATTGAGGACTCTAGAAGACACAATTTCTGTGTACTGAGCATTCTCTGCATGCCAGGCTCAGTGCTCAATGCTTCCTAGAACCTAAACTCCCCACAGGGTATGTTTTCATCATTCTTAGAAATGGAGCTGAGGGGAATCCACACACTTAGCCCTCTGTCTGATACCCAACAAGAACTCCTCCCCAAAACAGATTACATTTGACTCCACTAGATGAGGAAGACTGTGGGCTCTGCCTAAGCCTGCAACTGCTCTGCATGTCAACAAACCCTGCCTTGTCCCCAATTCACCACACAAACCAGAGTCTAGAGAACACAGATTTAATGAGACAGCGGCTGCGGCATCATTACAGCTGGATGTGCCTTGCTTCTCTTCTGTGAAGTGTTGACCATGCAAACTGGTTCTTTGGTGGGTTCTTGTACCAGGCTGTGGACTCCAAGACCCACACATGATTTTGTTTAAAGACTGTCATTTAGAAAGGGTAGGTGGAGATATTGGGGAGGAGGAAATGGGAGTAGTTTAAAAGGGAGCTAACTCTTTGTCCAGCAGACACCAGCATATTAATGCTATCTGTGGACACAGTAATTATAACTGCAATAATGTGATGTTCATTACACAGTAAATTGGGGAATAGCCAATATCCTTATGACAGAAATGTAATGCAGTGGTGATAAATGTGCAGATCTGGAGGTGTAGGAAAAGGGCATTTGGCCCTTAAGCCCCTCTTCAGCCCTGAAGAGGAGATGGGGAAGCAGGGTGGGGACCTGTCATTGACACAACTTCACCAGTGCTTGTTCTCACTGTTACCCCAAGGCAGATGAGAACACACAGCAAGAGGCCTTTCTGATGCAGAGAAGTGAGGAGGAGGTGACACTGTCTTTATCTACCCCTCTCATCGGCCAGCAAGCTAAGCTGACCTTTCTGCTGGCTGAGACCTCACCTCTTGGGCTTCCCGGTCGAAGGTGATGGATATCCAAATGGCTATGTTCTACCACCACCACCTATGTGTATCAACCATGCACATCAACAGCCAAGCACAGTCTGGGAAAGAGGGCACAAGAGACTGGAAAGCCACATCCTGAAGCGTCCTCTTCCCATAGGCCTCCCCCTCAACGGCAGGGTCTCTGAAACACAAAGCATCTTTGCAAATACCGAGGCTGACTGTGGCTGCCCCAGTGAAGAGCTGTGGGTGCTCGTCCTCTGTCCAGGGATTCCATTTGTCAGCTGGTGTACAGAACCTTCCACATCCCATGCCCCATTCTTCCTGCACAACCTCTGGGACTCCGGCCCAAAGTTCCCTTGAGCAAATATTCCCAGTGCCTGACCTCAGACTCCCAAACAAAAGACCACTGGCTGGTGGTTTCTGAGCTGTCCAGAGTCTGCCACAGGCACTGTGGCAGCAGCATGAAGTTCCTCAGGCAAATAGGCCTACTACAGAAAGCCAACCCTGTTGGCTAACCTAGAACCTCCCCAGACCCTGCTCCAAACTGGGAAAGGGCCCAGCTTCTTACAACTGGACCCCCAGCCACCTAGCCTGGAGCACCACGGTAAGCTGGCAGAGCAAAGGCAGGAACAGTGGCTGGTCCACCCAGGAGGAAGAGCTTCACAGCTCACTTCCCTCCATGTTGTACAGAACTGGACTGGCCCTGTTGGAAGAAAACCCAGAGAGAGAGGCCCTCAAGAAATAGGAGCAGGGCTCTCAGGAGACAGTCATGAACAACCCTAGCCAGGGACAACCAGAAGTCCCCAAATACAAGGCTAAGGGGACAGGGGCCTTCAGGTAGATCCAAACCATCCACTGTAGGTAAAACAGGATAACGCTGGGTGTATGCAGCCAGTATTCCCAGGGCCTGTCAGCCACTCCCCCAAAGCCCTCAAGGGTTTTCAAGGTGGCCAAGGCCCCCACAGCGTTGGGTGAGAAACCTTTCCACACTTCCCTGCTTATGGAGCCCTGCAGCCTTCACAGTAGCACACTCAGGAAAGAAACAGACAAGACTTCCACAAGTCCCAACAAGTGCCTGGGAGAAGGATGATGGTCCTCATGGTGCCACGTACACCCCTCTGGCCCAGCACAGGGGACAAGTCCAGGGACTGTACCCTAGGGGTCTCCAGAACACAAGAAACACCTTGACTTTGGCAATGACCAGCAGCTCGGATGCCAGATAGGCCTGGAAGGGGTGCCTGTTGTTCTAGGCATCCACATCTGGACCAGGCTCCTGGAAGAGTGACTGCTTCCGCAAGGTGAGCCGAGCACATTTGGGACACGTGGTGGAGTTGTCATAGTAGCAGTCCCTGGGGACAGGGAGAATGGAGTCAGTCCCAGCAAGGGTCTGGGCTCTGCATGTAAATTTCTACCACTGAGCCTTCACAGGCTTCATGAGCCAGGCCCTTCTATCCCCTTTCTACAGATGGGGAAACTGAGGTAGTTTCTATCAGAGGGCAGAAACCAGGTCTGCACCCAGGTGCACCCAGGTCTGTGACCCAGTGCCTCAGTGCAGACCCCTTACAGGGTGCACGGCAGCTAGCTGGTTACCATGTGACTTCTGCTTGGAGCTCTCAGACTCTCGACCTCCGTATCTGCTTTTACCATTGCTGCATAGAAGTCTCCACCTGAGGCACTGGGGGTGCACAGGGTCCTGGGGTCTATTATAGTTTTGAAGGGACACAACAGTACTTGACATCTGTCAGCACACACACTGCTGCTCAACAGAACCCACATTTGGAGCATTAGTTTTTGCCACAGTCCTTTCCTTGACAGCAGCCCCAGGTCTGCAACGTCCATGGTTGCTAGGACAAACAGCAAGTGCCAGACAAAAATCCACAGGGACAGAAATGGGAGGTACCCATTTGAGTCCAGTGTGAGATGCCATGCAAGGCCCAGCAGGCACACACCTATTATTAGTAATTGTACTTATTAAAGAATTAAATTATTTTTCCCAATGTATGTGTATTATTTTTCCAAACATCCACTAAGTCTTTTCGTCATAAATGCTAAATGCTTAAGTTGTTTGAACCTAAGTACTTAATAATAACTTTAGGTATTTCTTTTGGCCTAGGGATGTTTGAAGAAAATCTCTGAGACACTGAGGGTGCCAGGAACTAGAAAGTTTCAGAACCTCTGGCTGCTGCTACACCTCAGGGCGGGTGGAGAAGGGAAGCCGGTCAGCCTCCATGTGCACACCTGCAGCACCACCCAGCCCCATGGGTGCTTATTCCCAGCAGAACTTCAAATTTACTCTTACACACACCAGGGTGTAAGCCCATATTAGGATCAAGGCAGCAAGGACTGACACCCAAAGGCCTCCCTCACCCTCCTTCCCGCTGTGGCAGGGAGCTCCCAGGCCTGGCCTGAGGGAGGGTGGGAGCCACACTCACCTGTGGAAGACGGCAGAGCACTCGGTGCACACAGATGTGTGGCTGTCGAACGGGAACAGTACGTCACCCTCTCTGCAGAGCTCACACACAAAGCCCTTGGCCTGACAGCGCTGGGGGTAACAGCGGAGAGTGGAGGGCAGGTCAGTGCCTGTTCCAAGGGCATCTAATGCCCTCCCTGCCCTCGGGACTGGGAGCAGAGAGATACCCCCCAGTCTGCAGCAGGGGGCACACCTCACAATCCAGCTTGATGTGCTTGGCGAAGAGTGTGTGGGTCTCCGTGAGCGAGCAGCCGAGGCGGCCTGTGTGCGCGTCCAGCAGGTCCTGGATGGAGTACATCTCATCGTTCTCCACAAAATGTTGCCGGTCCTGGAGCTGCGGGTCCCAGCAACCGTGACCCCAAACACTGGGTGAGGGCCCCTTCCACTGCCTACCCATCGTCCAGGCCTCAGGGCGCTCATGGAAGCAACAGACAGTGGTGGTCTCTATGCCTCCCATGGTGCTCCCCTAGCCATGCTGCTGCTTGGCCAGCCACCTTGCTGCTCCGAACACATTGTGCACACCCCAGCTCAGCCCAGCATGCCATACCTCTTCCCAATCCTGCCCCCGTTTACCACCTCCTTTCTCTGCTTTATCTTGCCCACATACCTCACCACCCATTTATGCTTCTTTCCCACCTGCAGAGTGCGCCCTGAGGTGAGGATGAGGATTCCTGCCTGTTTTGTTCCCTGCTCCCTAGGATCTAGAACAGTGAATTCCCCTGAACACTTGTTGAACAAATAAATAGGTGAGCCTTGAGAAGTGTGGTCAATCCTGCCAGGGCGGAACTGTGCCCTGTGTGTCCACTGTGTGGAGATCCAGGTAAGGGCTCTGCAGAGTGATACCCGCTTCCCTCGGTGATGTCGTCAGAAAACACTTCTGTGAACAGAATGCCTGTGTGCTTACTGAAGACCTAGTGTCCTTTGGGACAGAGTATGGGAGACACTCTGCTAAAGCAAAGCACAAGCTACAAAGTCATTGGAAAAAGACTTGGGAGCAGCGTGTCCTCACAGCCCTGACTCTCTGTTTCCCCTTTGCCCTTCCCACCCTGGATTTCCAGCTCCCACTCTGGGCCAGTGGCCTGACCTGCAGGAGCAGACGTGCCTCCATGGCCTCCTTGCAAGTAATGAAGTATGGCTTCATAAGCAGGATGTCCTGGCGCAGCTTCTACGGACAAGAGGGGCAGGTAGGCATTCTCAGCCAGGTGGCATGTCTGGATGGCCAAGGGGGCTGGCACTCCAAGTCACGAGAGGACAGGAGGTGACTTCCCATCCCCCAGGATGGTGCCAGATCTGAGAGCTCCAGCCATGCTCCAGTTCGAACCACAGCTTCCAGGCCAATGCACCCCGAGGAGCATTTATCCTCAAACATGTGGTCCAAGAAAGAGAAAGAATGTCATACATCTTAATAATGTATGTTGATTATGTTGAAATAATCTTTTGTATATTAAAATTAACTTTACCTGCTTTTTACTTTTTTAATGTGGCTACTAGAAACTTTCAAATTGCCTCTGGGCCTATTATCATATCTTGACTGGACATTGCTCTAGTGTCTGTAACCCTAAGGACAGCTAAGGGGCCCCACTGAACCTTAGCAGGTGGCATCTCTGCTCCCAGGACACATGGGGAGAGTAGGGTCCACCCTCACCCCTGCCCTCTTCAGCCTCACCCGGATCTCTACCAGCTCCTCCACGTAGTTGAACAGCAGAGGGTTGATCTCCCTGAGCCTGAGAACTGGCCGAGACACCATCAGTGCCAGGTAGCGCATGCTACAGCGGGATACCTGGGAAGACATGATGGAGTGGCACTTCCAGCACAACACACATGACCCCCCAGAACTATGCTCCCCCCCAACCTAAGGCAGGCCTGAGCACTGGCTCTCTGTCCTTGGGGCTACATCTCCCCCCCGCTCCCACACCAATTCCCCCCCAGCCTGAGTACCAGCTCTGGCCCCGTGCTCTCCTGCCCTTGCCTTGCGTGGCTCAAAGTCCCAGTTGTGCACGACTCTCGCAGGGATGACAGCCAGGTCATTCCAGTGGCAATGGCTGCAGTAGTACTGGCCAGTATAGTCACACTGCCGGGCCTCACTGGGCACGCCCCCTGGAGAAGGGACGGGTTATTACAAAGTTGAGGCTGCCTTCAGGGTCTCTGACATAATGCATAGAAAACATGGTTGGGGGGAGCCACCCAACTGGGAGGTTCCACCCTCCAGACCTGACGCAACCTCTTTTGGCCACAAGACCTGAAGCAAATCAGGACACCACGTTACCCTCAGTTTTGTCATCAGTAAACAGGACAAAATAGGACCCCCACCATAGAACTGCTGAGAGGACCCCATGAATTAAAATTACTGAATCTCTGGAAGAAGGTCTGACACGTGGCACGTAAGTGATATTGTGCAATTTTTCCTGTCTAGATGGGCTCTCTGTGACAATGGAACCACACAGGAGGCTGAGTGTAGGCCAGCCCTGTGGGTCCTCCTAAGTGACCTGGGCTGGAACCTCTGTCTGCTTGAGTGGGAAGTGAAAAGGTGCCAGCAGCAGCAGCCTCCTGTCACTTCCCAAGAGAACAGGACACCATCCACAGGGGCCCAGCTGTCCCTCGCTGTCTGATTTATCCATTTTTCTCACACCTGCCCAAAGCCCCCTCCCTCCCCCCTCTCCCCATTCGTTCCTGGGGCACTCACGCAGAGAGATGGGTGCCCGGCACTCTGCGCAACGGTAATCTTGGCTGTCCAGCCCTGTCTCGGGGCAGATGTTCAGCTCATATTCGGCTTGGTGGCTGACTTTGGAGCGCACACAGGGCTTGGAGATAAGGTTCAAGCACTTGCTGTGACATCGGTAATAACATCCTGGAGTGGGAAGACCAACAGTGTGCCTCTCAGAGTGGGGGGCATCCTACAGCCCAGACTGGCCTTCAGCTCTCCCCCAATTCCCACATTAATCTGACAGTTTCTCCAGACCCCACTGTAGGTCTGAGAACTTCAAGACCTCCTCAGTCCCCATCCCAAGCCTTGCCCTGGGGGCGCACGCAAGCCTTCCTCCTCAACCCCAAACTACCTGCCATTCCCACCTGGATGCCACAAGGACATCAAACTCACTCTGTCGAAATGAAATTCTCGTTCTTCCTTAACAAGCCTACCTCCCACCTGGTGGTTTTCCCCACCTCAGACTTCAGTGACTTCATCTTTGCACCTGCCGAGACTAAACATAGCAATGTCATCTCAACCTCCCTTTCATATCTGTTTTGCACCCTTCTCATCCCACACAGCTCCACCCTGATCAGAGGGCTGTCATCCTCCCCGTGTACCTCTGCACTCCTTCCTTCATGCTCAGCTCAGCAGCCAGAGTGATTCTTTTGAAACCTAGGCATGTCCAGCATCAACTGGTGGCCCCCAGTGCACTTATCAGAAAAGCCCATGGCCACTTCTGAGCCTACCTCGACCATGCTTCTCTCAGATGAAGTGCCCCAGCCACACTTCTCTCTGGTCCACACTGAAGACACTGGACACACATCAGCCACAGAGCATTTGCAGAGAACTCCCCCATGGGAGCATTCTTCCCCAGATATACTCCTGGCTTAAACCCTGACTTGCAAGTTTTGCTTGAATGTCACATGATGCCTTTTCATTCCATCCTAAATCCATACCCATCACATTCCCTGACCCATGTTATTCCCTTTCCTTATTTTTCTTCAATGCACTGTATTGTCTATATTCAGTGTGCTCATTCGGAACAGTACCATCCACAGGAAGTCTCTGCAAAAATAGAAATGTTCTCTTTGCACTGTCCAATATGGTGGCCACCAGCTTCATGTAGCCATTGAGACAGCACAACTAAGGAGCTAAATAGTTATTTATTTTAACTAGTTTAAACATAAATTTGAATAGCCACATGTGGCTTGCAGCCACCATACTAGAAAGGCAAATGTGGATGTGAGCCTCATAAAGAGTCTTTTGTCCCTTGTTTTATCCCAGGTACTCCATAATGCTCAGTAAATACTGAGTCCACTGCAGAGAATTCACCCAACCAGAAGCCAGATGAGGGAGCAGAGCTGCAAGGTCTCTGTCCTGCCCTGGGGACCAGGACTGCCCAGACAGCTGAAGCGGGCCTGGGTCTTGGCCCACCTGTGCAGGTGTACCAGGTCTGAATGAGTCCCCAGATAATGGTGTTACACTTGTCACAGGTTTGCTTGACACTCTTGCTCTTCTCCTTGTAGAAACGGTGCTCCAGGAGGACTCGGATATTGGGCTCATCTTCATTGGGGTCCTGGGGAGAGGCCCAGGGAGGGGTCACAGGTGAGCCTGTTGCAACTCCTTTCCTTTTCTTCCAGGTACCATTTATAGCAAATATTGTGAGTTTCCCCCAATGTCACACCCCCTGTTCCCTTTAGCAACAGAACTCCCCAGGCAGGCCTGGACAATGCAGATGACAGACTCGCTTTCCCGGCACCGAACTACTGTCCTGGGCCTATGTAAAGGCCAAGGGTGTGTGAGCAGGAGTGGTGTGGCCTTCTCTCCCCTCCCAGCTTTTCATCTGCTATGTATAGACCCAGAGGTTCCATGGGGCCATCTTGGATTCTCCATGAGGACTGGCAAAGCAACAAACACAGAGGGCCCAGGATCCGCAACACTGTGAGCTGCCGTATGAACCCTCCGTCACCTGTGAGATCTCCACATGAATAAAAGTACACATGTGATTCCTTGAAGCCACTATACTTTGGGGTGTCTTTGTTACCAAAGCCTTATTTGTACCCTAATGAATATTCTACTTTCTAAATTCCCAGGGACTCATAAGTCAGTACAGGGACACAGTGGCAGCCAAGATAAAGAGTACACACCCAAGGACTGCATGAGGTACACCTGTGGGTTTGGGTCTCCAGAATCCATTACCCTTACTATTGTCTCCTTTGTGAACTACTCAGGAAGCCACCCCAAATACACTCTAGGTCATGAGGCTCAAGGTAGGACATGCCTCACTTACTTGAGCTAGTGGATGGGCTTGTGCCCAGGACTGGCCAATGGAGATGAGACTCACAGAGAAAGAGCCTGCACATGGGGTAAAGGCCTACTTCTGCCCCTCCCTTTCTGGGTGCGTTCTACCTCAGCTCCTCAGCTCCTAGAATGGGAGACTTCTACATCCTCACATTGTTCCAGTGGCCTCCATGGTGAAGTAGGCCAGCACCCACCTTCAGCTCCTGGAGCTTCAGCCGGAGGTGTATGAGCCTAACTACGGCATCCTTCTGCTTCTCTGAGTGTTCAGGCAGCTCCAGAATCACCTGCTTGCATTCCTCGATAGCCTGCCGCAGCTGCTGGATGTCAGAAGCCAGGAACAGACCCTGCCCAGGTTGGCAGGTGACAGCATCAGATGGCTACTTTGCATGCTCTCCATGTGGAGGTCAACCCCACAGCAGACCTCCCCACTCCTCCCTTGCCTAGATGAAGAAACTGAAGCCCGGTGAAAGGGGACTGAGGACTTGTTCAAAGTCCAGGAAAGTTAAGAGTAAGGTAGGAACCACCCCGTACCACCTGCCCCCCGTGGACCTGTCCACTCACAGGCCTCTGAAAACCTAATTCAGGATGTTTTTCAAAACACAACTTCCTTATTTTAGAAATCCAATCACCTTTCTGGCTATGCTATTTTGCTCACTTCTACAGAGCTTCCTCTTGAAATGAAAGCTGGGGAAATGACAATTTGCCTGTCACGAAGGAGAGAAAGTGGCCTCCAGCTTGATCACAAAGCCCAGAGATGCCCGCATGCACCCACCCACCCCTAGCACCAGCAACTCATAAAGACTCAGGGCCAGGACCCAACAGAGGCCCTAGGTTCAGGATACTGCTGTCACTTGGGAAGGAAGACAGGCTCAAGTCTAAGCTGGGGAACTGAGGCTGATCTCACCCCAGGAAAGGGACAGAGCTGCCCTCGGGAGCTACCCTCCTCCTCCAAGAGACCAAGCAAAGAGGAGGTGACACCTTTACTCTTGGAGTTTGGTGTGTGGCCTGCAGGAGGGGCTCAAAAAATTTTTAATGAAAATACAAAACACAAATACAAAATGAAAAGTAAATGAGAAATACGGGCTTCTGAGTGAATCTTTTTTGATTTTGGTTACATTAGAATGTTACTATGTTTCTCTCAAGTAAAAGTTGAAGATACTTTGCACAAATCTAAATCATTTTCAAACTTTTTAAAAATAAAATTTTGGAGCCCTTTAACTGAAAAAAGAAAAAGTTTCCGTGGAACAAAAATTGAACAGATGAGAGTGATCCCGTGGAGCTGTGAGGAGGCCACCCTCCTTCCCTCACCCTGCTGCAGCTATAGGATTTCCCAGGAGCCCCAGCTGAGGTGGATTAGTCCTGCTGCCTGAGGATAGGGTGATAAGGAAATGGCTGGCTCCTCCTGCCTTGGGGGCTCACCCAGTACCCCTCCTACCCCAGGCCCAAACCTTACCACAGGGCGGGAGAAGTGGTCCTCAGATAAGCCAAGATCCATCACTCGTTCAGTGCAGCAGAATTCTGGCTCTCCAGAGGGCAGCTCAGGCAGGGCCTCTGGAGTGGGCATAGTGTGGTAAGCAGTAAAGAGAGGAAGAAAAACCAACCTGCCTTTCCCCAGGAGTACGTTGGAGTGGGAAGGACCAAAATGGATGGGAAAAGCCTACTGGAGATGCTAAGGGGAGCCAGCCCTGCCCTGGTATCTGCCCTGTTTGCATTTGCAAAGGAACCCAGAGCCTGCACAAATAAGAGAGAGCCAGGATACCTGGGTGGCTTAGTGGTTAAGAGTCTGTCTTGGGCTCAGGGCCTGATCCCACAGTCCTGGGATCAAGTCCCACATCTGGTTCCCTGCAGGGAGCCTGCTTCTGTCTCTGCCTCCCTCACTCTGTCTCTCATGAATAAATCAATAAAATCTTTTATTTTATTTTATTTTTTTTAAATAAAATCTTTAAAGACACAGAGAGAGAGAGATTCAAAAAGATGAGATAGAAAAAATAAATCTAAAACCAAAAATTAAAAAAATAATAAAATAAAACCAAAATTTAAAAAAAGAAAAGAAAGAAACCAAGAAAATGAGGTGGATACCCATGGTGCTATGAGAGGTCCACAGAACAGTAGTAGAGAAATATCTCAATTTTTTTTTTAAGATTTTATTTATTTATTTGAGAGAGGGCGTCTGGGTGGTTCAGTCAGTTAAATGTCTGCCTTTGGCTTGGGTCATGATCCCAGTGTCCTATAATCAAGCCCTACATCGGGCTCTCTGCTTGGCAGGGATCCTGTTTCTCCCTCTCCCTCTGCCTGTTGCTCTGTCTGCTTGTGCTTTCTTTCTCTCTCATTCTCTGTCAAATGAGTAAATAAAATCTTAAAAAGAAAGAGAGAGAGAGAGAGCATGAGCAGGGGAAGAGGGAGAGGCATAAGCTGACTCCCTACTGAGTGCAGAGCCCAACACACAGTTCCATCCCAGGACTCTAGGATCATGATCTGAGCCCAAGTCAGACACCCAACTGACTAAGCCACCCAAGCACCCCAGAAACATCCTAATTGCAAACATACCTCATGTATGCATATATGGATTCAAGGCTGCTGGGTAGTTGTGGGAAGAATTCCTGCACGCCTGTGTGGACTCTAGGAGATCTCTGCATGCACCCTGAATGCCTTCTGTTGACTCCATCTGCAGTGCTTAGAGCTCACACCCTCCTGACCTGAGTGCGTGTTCTAATGGGGTGACAGAAGTAAGTAAACTACAGAACAGGTGGTTTGTGCCGAGAAAAGAGAAGTGGCCAGCAAGGTATCCAGCTATTTGAGAAAGCCAGCACTGTCCATGGGAGGAATGAGGAACACAGGATGGGGGGCCCAAGTGAGGGGTCATACTGCCCACTCAGGCCTCCTCCCAGCACCCACCTTCAGAAGTGACTTCTGAGGTCTCCTCACTGGCCCTCTGCTCATGCTGCCTTGGCCCAATCTCCTTGTTGAAGGGGTTGAGGTGGGCCTGCCGGAACCGGGCCAGCTTCTCATCATATTCCATAGCATCCCACCTGCAGGGCAAGAGGAGGGCAGAGATGAGCATCCATCTCCTAGACTCACGGCATTCCCATCTCCTTTCTGAGGTCCTAGGGTTTCAGAGGGGATGACCAGCCTCCTTCACTTCCCCAGGAGAGTCCCAGTAGAACACCCCCACACCACAGCCACCATCCTCTGCCCATCTGCAAAGCAGCTCAGCCTGTCACCCAGCCCCTCACTGGTAACATCCCTTCAGGAACAGCAGCCCACTCAGGGCATGCAGATGGAGCAAACAGAGCTAGGAGAGGAACATGACCTACCCAAGGGTCCCCCACCAGTCTGGAACCTCAGCCCCCTACCTCCCAGCACAGGGAGGCCCCAGATACCTCACTCAGCCCCAGTCCAGCCATGCCCTCCCTGCTGAGAAGGAAAGGCTTGGCTGCTCCCATGAATCAGCACCTCCTAGGACTCAGTTTCTTGCTTCCGGCCCCAACCAAAAGTGCTCCTTTTCTGTCAGAGCTCCCCAAAACTATAGCCACTGAGCAGAACCATCAGTGATGATAGCCAGTGGTCAAAGTACTGGACACTCCGGAGCCAAAGCCAGGATCCGGACCTGCTCTGCCTCCTGCACTGTGGCCTTGGGCAGGGACCATCCTCCTGGTGCCCCAACAAGCTCTACATCTCTGCTGGAATGTGGAGAAGACTCCATGAATGCTCCTTAATCATCATGTAGGCCAGAATGACACCTCACTGGCCTGGATTACCACTGATGCTCTATTGGTCTGAGCCAGGGCATGGCCCCATACCTTAGGATCCCAGGAAACAGGGAATGCTTAGCTCACCACCTGGCACTTCTCTCCCCTCCCTAGAGCTCAGCGAACTACAGAACACACAGGGCAGACGGCTCCTGACAAGGAAAAAGGGGCTTTGACTGGGGCAGTGGTTTGTATCCCAGGTCCTCCCACTCAATGAACTGGACCAGATTCCTTAGCCTCTCTCCCTCCAGGGTGACATGAGTTCAGAGGACGTCAGATTTTTTTTAAAGCTTTGTAATAAGGGTCAGGTATTAGTTATGTTTTCTCTGTGCCTATTTGGTCTAAAATAATTTGTAATTATCAAAGACAATCCTATGACTCCTATCTGCACCCCCTCCAAAGGAAAGAGAACTGATCCCAGATGCGACAGCCTTGACAAGTCATCCCCACCCCTGACCAGTGCTGGATGTTCTGCATCTGGGTCAGAAGCTCCCACACTAACTGTAGGACCTGTCCTACCTGTTTGGCCTCTGTGGTGGGGATGTGGGTGGGGAGTTCCAGTCTGGCAGGACCCAGCACCCATTGACTGGCTGCTCCTGGATCACCACAGGAGAGGACACAGGTGCCTTGGGCTCTAGTCTCCTCTTTCTTATTACCTGGCAGCTTTGGGCCACTCACTCAGGGTGGCTGGGCCCTGAACCAGTGCCTCTCCAAATGGCACATGCCACAGTGTCCTGGGAAGCACCCCGATTATAGGATAGATCCAGCCATGTCAGTATTCACTCACCCCCATCTTCTCCAGTGGCGACAAAGATTCTTTGCCTAACCAGACTGTAGTCAGGCTCCTGAACCTTCTCCTAGGCCCATCTGTGCCCTTCCTGTGAAATCCAATCCTAGCAAGAACCCTGCTGTATCTGTTTAGCAAGAGACCTCCACCTTGATAACCTGGTCACCCTCAAATGTGCTGAGGGTGACATCTGATCACCCTGGCATGCCCTCATCAGAGATCTGGTTAGGTCAGTTTAGCCAGATTCCCCACCCCTGACCCCTGATGTTTCCCCCCACTGATTTTACCCTGCTCTTTGGCTATAAATTCCCGCTTGCCCAAGCTGTATTCCAAGTTGAACTCAGTCCCACACTGAGGTCTCTTTTCCCCAACTGCAAGAGTCCTCAATAAAACCTGCATTTACTTTTTAAACAACTATCCAGCTGAGATAGAAAAAACAGGTCTGTTTTTTCTTCTTTGACTGAGAAGGGGGGGGGGCTGGATTTTTGTCTTATCACAATTTCCCTCCCTAAACTTAGATGTGGTCATACGACTATGTTAAGACCAATGGAATTTAAACAGAAAGATCGGTGGGAATTCTTCAAAGGAGGTACTGCCCCTCTTCAGCTTTTCCTACTTCTTGCCACCTGGGAGGCAGATGTAATGGGTGGAGCTGTAGTAGCCACCTTGGGGTTGACATAGAAGCCCTAATCTGCTTTACCCCAAGCTTCATTCAAGTGAGATAGAAATAAACTTCTGTTTAAACCACTATTACTAGGAGAGGGATTTCTATCTCCTACATCTGAAACAAATCCTGACTGATCACCCCAAGAGCATTGTGGTAATAAAATGAATTGGTGCTATTCAAATCCCAGCTCTAACAGCTCCTAGCTGACATGTATGGTCTTGGGCAAATGCCTAAACCCTTCTTTGCTTTCGATTTCTCATGTTTCAAACGGGGGTAATAATTGTACCCACTGTATATGGTTATTACGAAGATTAAATTAGTTAATACAAAGTTCCTAGTATCCTGGCCAGCACAAAGTATGCATCCAATAAATATCAGGTACAGCTTACTATTAGCATTGTTACTAATGTTATTAAGAATCAGATAGCCGGGATCCCTGGGTGGCGCAGCGGTTTAGCGCCTGCCTTTGGCCCAGGGCGCGATCCTGGAGACCCGGGATCAAATCCCATATCAGGCTCCTGGTGCATGGAGCCTGCTTCTCCCTCTGCCTATGTCTCTGCCTCTTTCTCTCTCTCTCTCTCTCTCTCTCTCTCTCTCTGTGACTATCATAAATACATAAAAATTTTAAAAAAAAAAGAATCAGATAGCCATGATTTAAATTCTGGGTCTCCCAGTGATGAGCTATGTGACCCTATTCCCTTACCCACAAATAAGGGAGAATACCTACCTCCTGGGGTGGGTAGAAGGACTAAGTATGTCAGGGAAGCCCATAGCCCAGAGCTGCTGCTAAGCAAACTATAACTGTCATCACATGATGACCAGCCCAAACCCAAAGAAACTTCCCAGCATTTTAAAATATGGCCAGAGGAGGTCAAAGGAAAGAACACTTCTGCTCCTCCCAACAGCTTTCCTCTGGGCTGGACACTCCCCTGGAAAAAGCAAAGCATCTTTCAGGTATTTCCTTATGGGCAGTGCCTTCCAGCTCCAGGCCTGGCACAGAGGCCATGGATGAATGAATACATGGTCATCTGACCTCTCTCAGCCTCAGCCTCTAACCTGCCAAGTTGGAGAATCATACTTCCTCAGGCTTCTGAGGGCAGACAAGTGGTGTCCCAACACAAAAGCCCATGGGATGCAGCTCACAACAGCTGACTTTGATCGGCCCCCAGATGCTCCACCAGGTCCAACTCCCAGAGAGCCCCGTGCTCAGATTCAGGCTTGGTCTCTAGGAGGAATGAAGGAAACCCACTAACCAGCCTCTGCCCTCCTCCAGAGAGGACCTTTCTCCAGCAGGGGAAATGAGGGGAGGACAAGACAACTTAGCAATGCAAGGGAACCTCAGAATAAAGCCCAAGATCTCGAGGCACTGAAAGATCCCACGCTGAAGCGCAGAAGCACTCCTGATGCACTAAACCGGCCTCCAGAGTCCTGCCTGGGGTACAGCCACCAAACAGGTTCTATTATCACCCCGGACACAATTGGAGGTCCCTAGAATTCCCCCGGGAGAGGGCAGGGGAGAAGGTACATCCTGTTCTTCATCCCTGGAAGGAGGCCTGGCCGGACCCTGCAGGGAGCAGGCGCAGGGGCACTGCCCTCTAAGAGTATTTGCCGCTGAAGCCCGGCAGAGTGGCCCCGGGTCCGCGAGGAGCCACCCCTAAGAGACACCTCCCGCACTTCGCTGGCAACAGGCACACCCTCCTGGGACCCCGAGCACCCCGCTCCGCATAGGGACAGGCCCCTTGCCCCCTGCCCGGCCACTCCACAGGTGAGGACACTGAGGCCCGGCCTTCCCCGAGGGTGCACACCCGGGGGAGCCGGCGCGGGCCTCGCGGACCTGCGGACAGCGCGAGCTGACGGCCGGACGCGGGGAGGGAGGGTCCTACACCTGCCCGAGCGCGGGGGCCAGCTCCGGTCAGCAGTGCCCCCAGTGCCCGTGAGGCCCGGGACGTGGGCGCGCTGACCCAGCAGTCGGAACCCCGCTCCGGCGGTCGCTCCTCCCGCGCGCCCTCGGGACGGGGGTGGGGGGAGGGGGGACTCCCGAGCTGCGGGAGGGGCCCCTCCACCCCCAGCACCCCCGCCCCTCACCTGGCCCGCCCAGATCCCCCCCTCCGCCGCTCACCTGACCGCCGCCGCCCTAGCTACATTGTAACCCGCCCGCCGCCTTCGCTACATTGTATCCCGCCCGCCGCTCGCTGCTGCCGCCTGCGGCCCGGAGGCTCATGGCAAGCGGGGGGCCGGAGTCCGCGTGCCCCGCCCCGCGCCCGGCGGCCTCCACGTCCCGCTCCGGGAAATGGGTGTCAAGGACCGCGCGGCGGGCGACTGCGTTGTCTGCATTTTCTGTAATCATAAAAGCCGTGCTTTAAACCGAAACCACAACACTTAAGAAGAAATGGTGGTATTTAATTTCTTTTTTAAAAGCCCAGTTGGGGGGGGGGGAAGCCCAGTGGGAGGGATCCCTGGGTGGCTCAGCGGTTTGGTGCCTGCCTTCGGCCCAGGGCGTGATCCTGGGGTCCCGGAATCGAGTCCCGCGTCGGGCTCCCGGCATGGAGCCTACTTCTCCCTCTGCCTGTGTCTCTGCCTCTCCTCTCTCTCTCTCTCTCTCTCTCTCTCTCTCTCTGTCTCTAATAAATAAATAAAATCTTTAAAAATAAATAAATAAATATAAGCCCAGTGGTTGGGGGTGGTAGGAGGGGGAGAAAAAGGAAGAGGGAATCGCCGTGCAAACAGCAGCTGCTGGTGCTCAACCACGCGGCCCTACGTGGTATTCACAGCTGGTGAGGAAGGGAAGTGCCGTCTCTCCATCCCATTTTACAAAGGAGGAAACTGAGGCACAGTCAGATCAGGGGAGAATGAGTTAGGGGGACATTGGAGAAGCCTGTGTCTGAAGTAGCCGATATTATTACTGCTTTCCAAATGTGCCATGCCCCTGCTTTGTTTCTCTCTATGATCCTCACCACTGCCTGATACCCTCTCATACAATTTTACTTGTCTGTCCCCGCCATCACCCCTCCTCCCACTAGAAACCAAGGGCTACAGGTAAAAGTTTTGTTTACTTTCTTCACGCTTCTTGCCTAGAACAGTTCCTGCACAAAGTAAGTGCTTCCTTAAATGGACTGAAGAAGGGATAAGTCCCTGAGTCCCTGAGAGGAAGAAGGTTTCACCTGGCCGGTGGCCCACTCCACAGATATGTGTTAGCACTAACTGTCCAACTGAATGAGTGCTGCACCAGGCTTGGCTCAGGTCCTGTGACACAGTGGTAAGAAGACAGACAAGGTCCCAGGACTCAAGGAGCCAGACTGACTATATGGAAAGATGCAAGTTAATAAGATGTGATGAGGTATAAGAAAAAAAGAAATAGGGCAGCCCCGATGGCTCAGCGGTTTAGCGCCACTTTTGGCCTGGAGTCCTGGGATGGAGTCCCACATCAGGCTTCCCGCATGGAGCCTGCTTTTCCTCTGTCTATGTCTCTGCCTCTCTCTGTGTGTGTCTCTCATGAATAAATAAATGACATATTTTAAAAAGAAAGAATGAAAGAAAGACAATGATAAGGTAGTGGATAAAATCAGGGGAGAAGGACACCATGCTCAGTTTAAGACCCAAAGGGCAAGAAGCTGAGAACCGCAGAAGAGCTGTGGGAAAGCATCCAGAGGAAAACCACAAGGGCGAACCCTTGAGGAACTGAAAGAGCCCAGTGTGCCTGTAGAACAGAAAGCAGGTCTTAGTGGCCTGAGCTTGGTAAAAGTGGGAGCCTGGTAAAAGGTGAAGTGAGAGGCAAAGCTGTAGCATTTATAAACACATTGACTTTGATTTGTGCCAAGGTGGGAGCCATTAGAAGCTTTATTGAAGTACTTCAATAAATGGACATACACTAAACTGCACATGTATAAATATACAATCTGATAAGTTTTGACATATGCATACACCTAAGAAACTGTGACTGTAACTAAGATAATAAACCTATCCATCATCCTCCAGTGTTTCCTCATCCCCTAATGCAATCTTCCCTCCCTATCCCCACCTCTATCCCCAGGCAACCACTGATCTGTTTTTGGTCACTGCGTTGCATTACATTCTAAAATAAAAATTTTTTTTTAATTTTTTATTTTTTTTAAAGATTTTATTTATTTACTCATGAGAGACAGAGAGAGGCAGAGGGAGAAGCAGGCTCCATGCAGGGAACCTGACATGGGACTTGATCCCGGATCTCCAGGATCAGGCCATGGGCTGAAGGCAGCGCTAAACCACTGAGCCACCCGGGCTGCCCTCACCATAATATTTTGAGGCTCATCCATATTGTAGCAGGTGTCAGGTGTCAGTTTATTCCCATTGCTAATAGGATCCTATGGTGTGGATGGACCATAGTTGGTTTATCCATTCACCTGTTGATGAACATCTGTGCTGTTTTCACTGTTTGCTATTATGAAGAAGCTACTATAAACATTTGTGTACAAGTCTGTGTGGAAATGTGCTTTAATTTCTCCTTGGTAAAAAAAAAAATTTCTCCTTGGTAAATACTTATGCGTGAAATGGCTAGATCGTATGGTAAGTGTTTGCTTAACTTTCTAGGAACCTGTAAAACTTTTTCTCATGGTGGTTGTGCTTGTTTCACACTCCCATTGGTGTGAACATTCTGGTCCCTCCATGTCATCACAAACATTTGATGTCAGCAGTCAGTCTCTCCATAGAGGACTTTGAGCAAAGTAGTGGCATTATTTTTTTTTAAAGATTTTATTTACTTATTCATGAGAGACACACACAGAGAGAGGCAGAGCTATAGGCAGAGGGAGAAGCCAGGGGAGCCTGATGCAGGACTTGATCCTGGACTCCGGGATCACAGCCTGAGCCAAAGGCAGACAGACGTTCAACCATTGAGCCACCCAGGCATCACGACTTTTTTTTTTATTTTAAATCTTATTTTATTGTGGTAAGTTCACCTAACATGAGATCTACACACTTAACAGATTTTTAAAAGATTTTTTTATTATTCATGATAGAGAGAGAGAGGCAGAGACACAGGCAGAGGGGGAAGCAGGCTTCATGCCAGGAGCCTGACACGGGACTTGATGCTGGGACTCCAGGATCACACTCTGGGCCAAAGGCAGATGCTAAACTGATGAGCCACCCAGGGATTCCCCAACAGATTTATAAGTATACCATAGAGGATTGCTAACTATAGGCACAATTTTGTATAGTAGATCTCTAGAACTTATTAATTTCACATAACTGAAACTGTACTCATTGACTAGAGTCCCTCCCTTCCCCGTGTCCCTGGAAACCACCATCCTGCTCTTTGCTTCTGTGAGTTTTGACAATTTGGGTAACTCACATGAGTGGTATTACGCAGTTTGTCTTTCCAAGTCTGGCTTATTTCATTTAGCATAATGTCCTTAAGGTTCACCCATGTTGTTGCATATTGTATGATTTCCTTCTTTTATGAGGCTGACAGTATTCTGTTGGATGTATCTATCAAATATTCTTTATCCATTCATCTGTCAAACAACATTTACTTTGTTTCCATATCTTGGCTATTGTGACTAGTGCTGCAAGGAAGTGGGAGTACTAACATGGGAGTACTAATATCTTTTTGAGATCCCCATGTCAATTATTTTAGATAAATACCCAGAAGGGGGATTGCTGGATCATAGATAGCTCTATTTTTCTTTTTTTTAAGATTTTATTTATTTATTCATGAGAGACACACAGAGAGAGGCAGAGACATAGGCAAAGGGAGAAGCAGGCTCCAATGCAGGTAGCTTGATGTGGGACTCGATCCCAGGACTCCAGGATCACGCCCTGAGCTGAAGGCAGACGCTTTAGCCGCCAAGCCACCCAGGGATCCCAGCTCTATTTTTCATTTTATTGAGTAGCCCCCATACTGTTCTCCAGAGTGGCACCATTTTGCATTCCCATAAACAATGTGCAAAGATTCCAGGTTGACACTTGTCTTTTATTTTTCTGCTAATAGCCATCCTAACAGGTATGAAATGGTATTTTGTTGCGGTTTTGATTTGCATTTCCCTCATGACTGGTAACATTGAGCATCCTTTTTTAAAATTTTATGTATGTATGTATGTATGTATGTATGTATGTGTGTGTGTGTGTGAGTAATCTCTGCACCCAATGTGGGGCTCAAACTCAAAACTCCAAGATCAAGAGTAGCATGCCCTTCCAACTAAGCTGGCCAGGTTTTTGTATACATCGTGGCAATTTGTACATCTCCTTAATAAGAATTGGTCTATTCAAGTCCTCTATTTTTTCATCAAGTTGTTTTTTGCTATTGAGTTGTCAAAATTCCTTATATATTTTGGAAATTAACCACTTACCTAATAAATGGTTTGCAAATATTTCCTTCAGTTGCATAGATTAGCTTTCCACTCTGTTATTTCTTTTGCTAGGCAGAAGCTTTCTGGTTTGATGAAAACTTGTCTCTTTTTGCTTTTGTTGCCTGTGCATTTGGAGTCACATCCATGAAATCATTGCCAAGGCCAATGTCATGAAGATTCTCCCTTATGTTATCTTCTAAGAATTTTATAGTTTCAGGTCTTATATTTAAGTTTTTAATCTTTTCAGTGTGTATGGTGTAAGATAAGTGTCCAAGTTTAATAATTTGAATATGAATATCCAGTTTCCCAACACTACTTGTTAAAGGATGAAAATCACAGGATCATTTCAATAAATATAGAAAAAGTATTGATAAAATTCAATACCCCATCATATTAAAAACTCCAGGAGCACCTGGGTGGCTCAG